AATTTTCATTTTCGAATGATGATCATAACAGGAAGTACGACGTTATCTTCAATTTTTTAAAAAACGTAATTAAACATAGAAAAAAATATATTATGTCTACTATGTATCTGTGTGTGTGTGTGTGTGTTTGTGTAAATGGTCATATATTGATTGAATGAAATATTCAACATTTATCCATCATACATCAAACGATAACAGAATCATCATCATTGTCAAATTGTATGTATATCTCATTTTTTTTGGCCTTCAATTCAATCAATGGTTTTCGTTTTGTTTTGTTTTCCACAACATAATATAAAATGGTCAAGATATCATCATTTTTAATCTATCATGAGATGATAGAAAAAAAAAGAAGAAAGAATCGATCACATGATTGATTTAGTTTAGTTTTGTTTTTTTAGTTTTTTATTTATTGTTTTCATTTCATTCACTTACAAAGATGAATGGTGTGATAAACACACACACACGCATGCACACACCCATTATCATTATCGATTCTATTCTCTTTTTTTTTTTTTGTTTGTTCCGACCCTTTTTCCATTTCCATCTTTGATGATTTTGATTGATTTAGTTTAGTTTTGTTTTTTTAATTTTTATTTATTGTTTTCATTTCATTCACTTACAAAGATGAATGGTGTGATAAACACACACACACGCATGCACACACCCATTATCATTATCGATTCTATTCTCTTTTTTTTTTTTTTGTTTGTTCCGACCCTTTTTCCATTTCCATCTTTGATGATTTTTTTTTAATTTTTAAAATAAATTAAAAAATTTGTTTATTTTAGGTAAATTGATTGATATTTATCTAATAGAAAAAACGACACAATAATTGACAATGCAAATTTATCGTTGGTGTATGGTGGTCGTCTTCGTCTTCGTAAATTTTATTTAATCAAATTATACGCACACACGCACGAACTCACGCACGCACTGTAGATGATGATATAAAAAGTGTTGAATCCAACATTTATTTGGATCATTTTTCATTTTCTAGATTTTCGTATTGGTTAAACTGTTTCTGTTGTTGAAGCAGAAAGATTCATTCATAACTAATTATATCCAATCACATCATGTGTGTGTGTGTGTGTGTGTGTGTTTGATGAACCAAATCGAATGATGAATGTGGAGAATGCATCCATTGCATTCAACAATGGTATTTATTTATGTTTGTCGGTATGTTTCATTCTAAATCCAATCCTAATCTTAAAATCATTTTTTTTGTAGATCAAGTGCAATGAATTACCGAACAAATTACAACACACACACACACATATACATCAATTATCTAGGGAGAAAAATAAATAAAAACTCTAATTGTGACCGTGTGTGTGTGTGTTCGTTTTGTTCATTATCATATTTGATTATCTGATCTGATGAGTTTTTATTTTATTATTATTATCCAATTCTTATTTTTCTTAATATTTCATTTTAGGACATTCTGGATCTCAACGTTTCATGAGAATAATTGGATTGAATGGTGTTGGTGTATACAGGGTAAACAGAACGACAAAACCTGTTCGTGTGTTTGCCAAAGGTTTATATTTTGTTTTTCTTAACTACAATTAAACAAAATAATCAATATTCATATCTGAATGGCCAATCTTTCTGGTCTTTTGCATTTTGTATTTTTCACTTGATCTTTTTTTTAATTAGTCCACATTTTTTTTGTTGTGCTTTTTGTTTGTTTTATTTATATTTTTTTCCCTTTGATTAACAAAAATCATTCATTCATTTTCAATGAATCGACAAAGGTTTGTATCCATCATTTTCAAATAGTTTTTTTTGTGTGCATGGTAGCCGGTAATTTTGACGATTTTTTTTTTCTTCAATTCATCAACAGGCAACAGAAAACAAAAAGGAAAGGAAAAAAAATTTTCAGGCCCCCATAGTTTCTGTCTCATGTCACAAGATTGAAGAATGATGATGATGATGATGATGATCACAACATTTTTTTTGTGTCTCGTTTGTTGTTGTTGTTGTTGTTTTCTCTCTCTCTCTCTCTGATAATTTCATTTTGAAATTTAAATCTCGTATTAGTCACGTTATTTGTGTATTTTTTTTTATTCATTCATTCATTTAGTTGAATTTTGATCATCATAATTATGAATGATGATGATGAATTGTGAAAAAATTCCAACCAAAAAAATAGAATCAGAGAGAGAAAAAACACACACACAAATCAAATGAGCATGTATCATGTGTTTGGTTCATCATCATTTCACTTCAGTTTCAAAACAAAAAAAATTCTTGTGCGTGTGACAGCGGCTATTGGATGTGATTTTTTTTTTAATTTATGAAACAAAAATAAAAAAAAATCTGAAAACATTCAACGGAAAAAAAATTTTTCAATCATCATGTCAACAATAATTGGGTCCATTTGGGTAAGTTGTTTTTTTGATTTGATTTGTCCTAAAGTTATCATCAGACCAAAAAAAAAAAAAAAAAAAAAAAAATGGAACGATATGGCGACACATATGCTTCAGCAAAAAGTGAAAAGTGGACAGGGTGGTCAATGGAAAAAAAAATCATCAACACATGTAAATCACAATATTTATTGATTGGATAAATGAGAAAAATAAAATAAAATAAAATTTTTTTTTGTGCAAAATAAAATCAAAAATGAATTTTATGTATAATGAATAATGCAATGGAATGGAAAACCATTTCTTAAAAATCACCTTCATCTTTATAACGGAATATTCTTTGATGGCGATTAAAATATTGTGATAAATGAAAATAAGACATTCTTGGATCAAAACGAAATTGATGGCCAAATTTTTCATGATATTCTCTATATTCTGGATGAAATCCATTGTGGCCATTATATTTTGATGAATATAATGGTTTAGGATTTTTCACAAATTCAATATGAATATTTCTATATTCAATTCGTCGATCACTATGATCAGGTAATTTTGTTTCATTTTGTTCACCATCATAATCATCATCACCACCGGTATGGATGGTGTTGATGAAATTGGAATCATTTTTATCCACCAAAATTGATTCAATTTGATCATTTTTTGTTGTTGATTGGATAATAATATTGGGATCATTATTTTGGTCATTATTGGACACAATTTCATCGTCATCATCATCAACATCAATCGATGATAACGATTCAAAATTACAATCGTCATCAATGGACATGTTTTCAATGTCATTATTGTTTTCATCAATAATACAATAATCTTTAATCAATTTTGGTGATGATGATGATGATGATGATGAATCAATTTTATTCTGTTTCAATTCATCATTCATCGACACTTTTTCGATTGTAGTAGTAATGGTTTCATTGTTCGGTATCATCAATGACAAATGGTCATCTTTCGTCAGGACTGATTCATCTTCGTTATTATTGTCATCTTGATTTTTCGTTGCTGTTGTTGTTGATAAAATATCATCGAGAATTCGTTTCGTTCGTCGTGTCAAAATTGTTGGTTGTGGAAATGATCTTTTAACATATTTTCGCCGTTTATTTGGAACATTTGTTGTCGTTGCCGTTGTTGTTGTTGAATACACGTTATTATTGATTTCATCGATATATTTTTGTTTGAATACCAAAAGATGATCATTGTTTTTTATAAAACATTTCAACATTGGTTCGATTGTATCACTAATTGTTTTTTTTTTGGGGGGGGGAGGAAGAGGAACATGAATTAATAAATGGATGGAACAAAAAAAAAATTTTTTTTGTTGTCTTTCATCAATATACTAACATTATCCTATCCAATGTGTTCAATGATGCATTGGTATCGAACATGGCGTTGGTCATCAGCAATCTTTCTGAAATCGTACAAATTTCCAATCTGATTATGGCTAAATTATCACCGGTTGATTTATAAATTTTTTTTAATGATCCTATTATCATTCTTAATGAACTAGTATCGATTTCCATTGATGATGGTGATAAATTAGCTGCTAATTATAAAACGATTAGTAAAGGTTATGTAAAATTAATGAGAGGGTATAATGGTTCATTTTGTTTCATTCTGTTTTTAGCAACACATACATGATTGATTTGAAATTTCCAATGTATTATGATCATTATGATGATTGTCTGTGGATACAACACAATGGTTATCGGGCCAATGATTACATGTTGATGATTGTTCCATTTTTATTTGTCATCGATATCGATTCTATTCACGATTTGAACATTTACGATTGAAAAAAAAAAATTTGGCTACAATTTTTGAGCATATACGTACACATCAAATAAACCAAAAAAAAAAAAAAAATCACAAATAAAACTTGTTGCGCAAGTGCCAATTGAAAATTCTCGAAATATGAGAAAGAAAATTCGAAAAAAAAAATTTTAATAAACACGTGTATAGGTCACATGAATTCCATGAAAAAACAACGAAAACGGCATCACTATCATTTATGAAAAACAACAGAAATTTTCAATATTTATTTCCACGACAAACGATGAATTGATTAATATTTTTTTTTTTTTGTAATTTTCAAATAAACAAGAGTCGCTACATAACACAACCGACGGCATCTAATACAGCCACCCACCCACACACACACACACACACAAAATGGATTCTTCCAAATTTCACAATATTGTTGAACAAAATGTTTTCTGTTTTTTTTTTTTTGGTTTGGTTTGCTTTTGCTTGTGTGTGTTCAATTGATCTGTTGCATCATAATGATCATCGAATTGCATCTCGATAATTATTTAAAAAATGATCATCATCATTATTCGAATTTGTTTTCTACCAATTCATTTGAATTAATGAATGAATGAATGAATGATATTTGCCAATTGTTCCACATAATATTACCACACACAAATTCGATGACATTTCCTATATATAGACAAAAAAAAGTGGTTGTTATGTGGTTGTTGTTGTTGTTGTTGTTGTTTGAATGAAATGAAATTCGTCGTATTTTTTTTTTTTGCAAAATGTCAAAAGAAAAGACAACAAATCACTATGGTAGATTCGAAAGATTAGATTTGAGATATGAAACATTTTTTTTATATATAAACAAAATGATTTTATTTGAAAAAAATTGACCGGAAATTTAGGTTTTAAACCCATTAAACATATTAATATGCCCCATTCAGTGTTAACCATTACCATGAATTTGAAAAGAAAATTTTTGTTTTTTATCAATAATAATCATCCAATGTGTAGATGATTTTATCATTATTATGAACATTATTTAATTGTTGTTGTTGTTGTTGTTGATTATTGCTGGCAATATAATATGTAACATGATCATGATCAGATGCCGATACATCTATTGATGGAATTGTTTGCGTAATTATAGCGTTGATCAGATTATTATCCATAGGATTTTGTTGTTGTTGATCATAAAATGATGATGATGATGATGTTGAATCAGCTATTCGATTTTTCAATGATGATGATGATGATGATTCATGAATCGTCGAATATGTATATTGTACATCAGGAGTTTTGAATGTTACTTTTGTTGATGCTAATGTTGGTGATATTCGATTATTATTATTAGGCGAATAGTTCGAACTACGGCCAGAAGATGGCATGATCTTTTTCGTTGTATTTCGTTTATTGTTACGTTTTTTTGAATATTCATATTGATGATGATGATGATGATAATGTGGATTATTATTATTATGATGATGATGATATGTTGATTTCTTATTATTATCTGCATTATAGCCCATAATTTTGGCCCAATATTTAAGAACGTTTTCCGTTTCCTGATACATTGAATGATGTTGATGATGATGATGATGATTATCATTACCACTATTACGTGCATGTATTACAGCTGTTGATTGTTCACGTATATTTCGAATCTGTTGTTGTTGTTGTTGTTGTTGTATGGAATCATTTTGACCATTCATTGTTACATCAACCGCTGTATTCAATTTCTCCAATGACCACATTGTATCAATTGGTTTACAAGCACATTCTGTATGATTAATAAATGTTAATTGTTCAATATTCTGATTACGACGTATCATCATTGTTGATGATGATGATTGTGGTACACCAATAACGAAAAAATATAGTGTCACTTTTTCCACACGTGATGGTTCACATGAATGTGTTGCATGTGGACAACAACCGGTAAGATCTGAACAACGATATAATAATGTTGCACGTGGTAAATAAATTTTTTTACTATCATTCAAATAGATTAATTCTGCACGTGGTTTGGAACATTGTGCCTCTTCATTGATACGTATACCATGTTCATATGCTTTTTGTGCCAATGTACGCATCATATTCATTTGACGACGATAATTTAAATGATGATGATAATGTGATGATGATGATGATGATGACATATGTTGACCAATATTCATATCGATTAATGATGATAATAGAATTATTATTATGGCCGAAATCATTTTTCTTGATGATGATGATGATGATGAGCTGAACATTTTCATTTTAATATGAATTTAATTTTTCAATCTATCTAAACGACAACAGCAAGAGTAAAACAAAATCATGAAAAAAATCATTCACGCACATTGAATATCGTCCAATATTGTTGTTGTTGTTGTTGTGATTGTTGATGACACTATGATCTGATGATCTAGACTTCCTTTGATCAAATCAATTTTTTTTTGTCGTTTTAAACTATACAATTGAAAATATAAATTGATGGCTTCATAATAATGGAAATGAAAATGAAGATCATGTCGACAATATTTTTAGCCATGTGAATTTTCAAGGAAGAACAGCCAGAAAAAAAAATTTTGTTATTATTACCCATATACATGCCATTGCACTGTGGTTTTTATATCGATAGCTTTTTTTCTTTGGACGGTAATATTCAATATATATGGGAAAAAAACCTCTCAGGAATCAAGATAGAAAAAAAAGAGAAGAAGCCAATGTGAATCCATCGTGAAAGAAAGAAAGAAAGAGAGAAAGAAGACATTGCCATCGAACATGGAATGTTTTAACATCATCATCATCATCATCATTATTTCATTCATTGGTTGGGTTTTCTGATTTCACCAAATCGATTGGGCCATTGACTGACACACAATTGTCGTACATGCATACATACACACACACAGATGTAATATAATCAACTAGATCGACAATGATGATTATATCATCGACAAGGTAATAAAAAAAACCAGGCAAGCCAAAAAAAGTTTGATTACCTCATCATTATCGAATCGAATTGAATCGAATCGAATGAATATTTTCAAAATGTTTTTAGAATTCGAATCAAACAACGAATACTCCACCTACTTTTTTTCTTTGTACTCCTACGAATAATTTTTTTTCTCTTCCAAGTTCAAAGTTTTTGGTTTCTGGTTTCGTTGATGATGATGATGCTGATTTGATCAATAATCGTGATGATCATGATGATGATGAAAAACGAATTTCAGCTACCGAAACATGGTATGTTTTTTTTTGTTTGACAATAAAATTTAACCTGTACATTTTTTGAACTAATTTGCATATTTTCATTAATCAATCAATCGATCTATGAAAAAAAAAATTTTCAATTTGATTTTAAAAATACAAACATTGTTTATGAATAGATCCAAGATGTAGTTGTATCGAACTGTGAATCTTGTTTTTTTTGTCTTTTAATTTTTAATCACCATCCTCAATTGACCTTTGAAAGTGTTCGACGATGATTTTCTAAAAAAAGCTGCGAACAAGAAAAATTTTGTTGATCAAGTTGTTTTTTTATTTATTCGATGATATCATATGTCCAAACAAACAAACAACCAAACAAATAAACAAGCAGACACCGGTTACAAACAGATCTGGCTGGCTAAATTAAATTAATCTTAGATCAATTGATTAGATAATTGGCTGAATTATTATGGTTTGAAAATCGGCTTTTTTCACGGCTCTCCAAATAGGAAAAACCTAAAAGTGAAGCAAAAGAAATGAAGAAAACGAAAAACCGGTCAAGCGGTGGTGGTGGTGGTTATTTACTTCAGTCAGAAATGTGGCGATTATTTTCAAAGATAAATTCACGATTATAATCCTGATGATGATGATGATGATTACCCGAAACTGTATCGAAATTCACACGCCCAATAATCAACAAACACTTATCGAGGTGTTGAAAATTTTTTTTACCAGGAAATTCGAATGATAAAAAAACATTATTGATTAACCTGAATGGAAACATTTAAATGTCATGTTTTCGAATTAAATTATCATTATCGTTGCGATTACCCCATGACCAATGTTATAATGATGATGATGATGATAATGGAATTTCCATTTTTTTCAAATTACAACATCGATATCATTACAAAAAACGACAACAACAATAATGACCGTGATCAAAATCAAAAAAAAAAACTTCCGCAATTATAAACTTATCGATAGAGTATTCGAATATGAATCATCATCATCATCATTAAATTCAAGACAACAAATCACCGAACTGATGATTGATATATAATAATGATGATGACAAGAGAAAAAAAATTCGATAGAATTTCATTTGAAAACAGAAAAAGGTTTGATGTCTTTGTTGTTCTTTATTCATCATGATGATAATAATTTTCATACATTCAATAGAAATATCGAGAATAAATAAGGTTGATTGCCCTCTTATATATGGACCCTATACGAACATACGTATTTGATGGCTATATTGTGTGGATGAATAATTTGAGAAATTCCCACACATATACAAACACTTACGTTAGGTAAGTAGTTGATATTTCATATTTTTTCTTTCTCTCATTCACTTTAACAAAAACTTCCGTAATCATTTTTTTTTCTCTCATCCACTTTTAAAATGTGATACTTGTTGTTGTGTTTCAACACACAAAAAACATCACCAATTCACCACAATATCAATTTTTATTCAAATTCAACATGTGAATCTTTGGTCTGTATAAGTAAAATGGCATTACTCAATACATAGCTTATTAATGATAACATTGTTTGATTTGTCAAATCAAACATTTCTTTAACATTAAAATAGAATGAATCATGCATTGAACAAATTTGTTCCAAACAATGATATTCACTATCATTAATAATTAATGGACGTATTGATTTATTATTATTATTATTGGTCATTATCATCATCTTATTGGATTGGTTACGCTGTTGTTGTTGATGATGATGATGATGATGATGATAATTATTATTTGAACTTACTGCTAAAGCAATATGTTTCTGTATTTCATGTATAAAATCTTCCATTTCTGTATGCATCGATTGTGATGCCATACAGCTTAACCAAATGTCTAAAAACATTATTATAAATGCTATAGCTGGTGGTAACATTGCCAAAGATGGTTTAATGGATAAATGATCCAATATACAAATACAGGTAGCCATCCGTAAACCACAGGTCAATATTTTCACCAACATTGCTATGGATAAATGGCTATTAATATGGCCAATATTATCACGTAAACGTATCATTTCTTGAAATAATTTCCCATAATTTGAATACAAAGGTAATTGTTCTTTGTAAGCTATTTATATATATATAAAAAAAAAAAATATTAATTTTGGATTTCATTGTTTCATTTGCAGAATTACATTGAATTCGTTCATTCACCAAAATGGCTGCATATAAATACATTGTAGCCAATGAAGATATATTTGCTCCAAAAATGGTTCCACCCAACATAAAACCAATTACAATTGCAAATGGTTGTCGTTCAATAATCGATGCAACAATACCAAATGCTGATGAATACATTAAAATGATGATGATAATGAATACATAGATAAATCTATAATATAATAAACGACGATTACTATTACTAGATGAATCAATATTGGTACCATCACCAATGGTCTGTATGATTTCAATAATACGATGTCCATAAAAAATATTTGTCATTTTTATTGCTGAAAATTCCATCATCATACAAAAATGATAGATTTGTATCAAATAATCCATTGTATTATGGACAGCGGTTCCTTTGAATTGAAAATCAGCTGCATAGCTTGTTTTCGATATATACCATATTATTGTCGATGGTATTAGATAGAATAATTCTTGTATTATGACAAATAATATGATCAGATTTTTTTGCAATTTTTTCACCACATTACGACGAAAATATTCACCCATATATGAATTGCCAAATATTGTTTGAAACAATATTATTCGATATAATCGATGATCATATTTTGCCATTATATGCTCTTTTAAATCCAACGACGACGACGACGACGACGATGATGATTGTGAATCAAAATAAAGTATCATTCTATCCGAATGACAAAAACAAAAAAAATGATCCAGAAAATTGGACATTTTTTTCCAATAATCATCATCGCATGACAATAAATTCAAATCATAGATTGTTTCATTAACTGGCAAAAAAAATTCTATAAATAAATATCGATTGCAAATGAAAAAAAAAATTGATTTTTCCCAATAACAATGGAAAAGTTTTCAAAAAAAAAAAAAAAATTCATATCATATGAGAAAAATTGCACGTAAATATTGAGCTTTAATGATTGTTTTCCAAAGAAAAAAAAATGAAAAAGAATTCATAACATTCTCATTTTTTTTTCTTTCAAATTTATTTTTCATTTTTTATCTTCAAAAGTCACGTAAGAATTATTTGAATAAGAATAATTTTTAATTAAAAATTTTCTCAATGAACAATTTCGATGATGAACATGATTAGTATTATGGTTTTCGAATAAACAATAAAATGTTTATAAAAGGACTATCAATCAATATGGTGAATATGAAACCAAATACATAGGAATATATTGTATTTGTAAATATTAAACTTAATGTTGATAACCATTGTAAATCTAGTAATGAACGTCTTGAACTGATCAAAGTATTCACTATTAACAAATGTGTTAGATAGACGGAAAAAGTTAATTTTGAAAACAATCGAAATAATGGCCAACGTAGAAAACGTGTGATGATTGAATGGGAATTTTTGATACACAATTCGAATAGAATGATCAATATTGTGGCAAATATGGTTCGATTTAATGGATATAATATGGCTGACCAAAAACGATCATATGGACGGCCATAGAACCATGGTAATGTATCGAATGTACAGAATAGATAACCAAAACAATTGCTACTAAAGCACAAATGGTCTTTATTCTTGACCATGGATTATGTTTTTGATCTATTCTAGTACATCCATACCAAAAACCAATGAAATAAATGATTGAATGGCTCCATGGTTTGAAATAGATTTGAAAAAATCTACCAAATCCATTGACAGACGTCGAAATTGAATTGAATCCATCGAAATCACTGTATGAATGAATGAAAATGATTGAAAAAAGATCCGTATATATATTGTTGATCTTACCTTAATGATGTTAAAATCAGACCAGGTGGTAACCGGTAAATGAATACATGTAATGAAGTAATCACAATCGATGCCAACACCAGAATTTTGATCCATATCAATCCTTGTTTTGTAGAATTTCTAGTTAAAAACCATAAAGGTAGAATTGAAAGTAATCGTAATTGCATATCGACAGCCAGATACCAGGTATGTGTACCACACTATTTAGTATATGAATCAAAAGAATGCAAAATCATCATCATCAACAATGTATTGATCATCTGAATTTCTTACCATATTTTTCGGATCAATTAAATTTTGCATATAAATCAAACTATGCCACCAGGTTTTCGTACATTTCATTTGAATTTGTTGCATTCGTTTTGTCCATGTTGGACCATTTAACCAAATACCATTAAGTGGTAAAACAAATGATAATAAAATGTAGAAAATTAATTGTGGTGTAAATCGTAGATAACGAAGACCAATATATGAAATGACAATGAATCGTTTTCGTTCTCCATTATGAATCAGTTTCATTGTTGTTGTTGTTGTTGTATAACTGGCTAAAAAACCACCAATAAAAATGAATACATCGACTGGATTAATGAATTGCATTAATGATTGTATAATTGGTGATTTAAGTTTTTCATTTGCAGCGAATATATTCTCTAAAATCATACGAATCGATAGATTAATCATAAAATGTACACAAAAAGTCAACTTTGAAGCTTACTGTATGAATTCCAATCTTCATAAACAAACGTATGTGCTGTAATCACCCAAACATTTGACCAGAATCGTAAACCATGAATGAATGATAGATCATTATTATCATCTTTGGTCGATGATGAACGTTTCACTTGAATAAATGAACGAAAATTACGTAAAGGAGAAAAACAAAGCAGTAATCGTTCGAATGAATGTCCATCTAATGTAATTATTGTTGTGTGATTGAACAACAAATAATTAGAAATATTTCGATAAGCTTATATGAAACTTACTTTTATGAACAGCTAAAAAATCATACAAACCAGCTGCAAATGTAATCGATATGAACAAACCAATCATAAATCTGATGAAATATATTAATTAAAATATGAATATGAATAATGAAAAAAAATGGCAATTACATGGCAATCAGCTGTACTGTGTTTGGTTTCAATGGCCATTCTGGTTTTCTATTACAAGATATTTGTCGCAATTTAAAACCAAAAATCTCTATATTATTATGCCATAATTCGTTTGGTTTTGTACATGAATTTGGTAGACAAATTCCTCGTATGATTGATGAATAATAGAAAATCGATGATTCATTAGCCAAATGAGTGTAAATAGTTTTATTCACTATTATTCGATCATCAACATTCGATGGTATGATTCCATTGGTTCGATGATTAACATTATGATTATTAACAAATGGCTGTTTTGTTGGCATTGGCCATTCAAATTCAAGTAAACAATATTCAGGTATGATTGGTGATGATTTTATTTTATCAATACTTAAACATTGATCATAATCACCATAATCAGTTATTGTACCAGATATGAAACCACTTGGCACCAAAGATTGTGACCATGAATTGAATATTTTTGTTGCCCATAATTTACGTTCATGAATCATTTGATTCAAAATGTAGCGAAGATCTTGGCCACATTTTCGATCGATGAAATCACTGTTATTGGAACCACCGCGGTCATTTTTCTTTCGACATTAATTAAATCATTCAAATAATTGGGTAAGAATATTTGTTGAAAATCAATATCGGAAATCTGTAATAATTGATTCCATGAATAATTTGTAGAATTTGCATCGACAACAACAACAACAACAACAAGCGTTATGATGACTGGCCACAACAATAACACCAACGCTCGGCAATTATATCCGGCCATTTTTATCGATATCTTTATCGTTCATCGCTTATTATATCAGCAAATAAATTTTTTTCAAAACTGAAAAAAAAATTAAAAACGTCAACTTTCATCAATAACGTGACGAGGAAAAAAAAGAAAACGAAAACGAAAAAAAGAATTCTTTCCAAGAACGAAAATCAAATTATATTATTGAACAGGAAACTATGAATGTGAATTTCAACAACAGTCATGTCAATTCTATTTATAAATTATAATCATTACACAAACCATTAACGTTTTGTTTTCGGTTTTGATCGATTGTGAAAAAAATGGACAATCTTAATGATCGATTTAAAGAAATGTTTGAAATGATTGGCACATCCTTGTCGAATATAATGTTAACATCTGAAGTCACAGTACAAGCAACACCAGCACCATCACCATCATTATCGCCGACACCAACACCACAAACTCAACAACAACAACCTGTAGCACCATCGCCATCATTTTCATCGATACAACAACAACAACAACAACAGCCACAGCAACCGCAACAACAACAACAGCAACAACCGCAACAGCCAAATTTGATTCAACAACCAAAAAGTATTCGAAGTAATCGTTCAGCAACATCACTTAGATCACGTTCTCGAATGCAATTAATAAATCCACGTACAAAAAGTAAACGTCATCATCATCATCATCATCATCAAACGGAAAAATCGACAAAAAGTCGTCGTACACGTGATACGTTATCCGGTAAAAGTCGTAGTATCAATGTTGTTGCGAAATGATGAACAAAATGCCGAAAATAGTAATAATAATACAAATTATTCATTACCATTTGCAAGTGGATTAAATTCAATGGAACAACAATCGGCAACGGTTAATCGTCTTTATAGTTGTGCCGTATTCTTTATTCATTGTATACAACATCGAAAAGTTGCCATTACCAAACCATCTATACGACAAGCGGCATGGATGCCATTTATGCCGATGCCAACAAATAAAAGTTGGAATGAAGGTGGCCTTGCCGGCTTATTGATCGTTCTATCCAATGGTGATATGGATACATTTGTGCAGCTAAAAAATCGACCACCATTCCAAGATCGTTGGATCATTGAAGTGGCCGCTATACAATTACCACAAACATTAGAACTAATCAATCGTATTACATGGATGATAAAATTGGATCCGAAATCAAATTTTCATTGCTGTCAAGATAATGATATATTGATGTGGGTGGATGAAAAAATACTTGATTCCGGTACATTGGATTATATGTGGGGACCAGAATTGATTGATTTCTATCGATTACATATACAATCATCTTCAATACAATTACAACAACAACAACAGCAACATGTCGATGATAATAGTGATAAATCAAAATCATATTGGTGTAGCCTAAGTACAACGACTGGTCGTAAAAGTAGTTTTATCGAATACACTCTAGATTTGGCATTTCAATTCTTGCCACGTAATCCACCACGTACCGATGAAGAAGCAATGTTATTGAGTTCAAATCTATCAGAAAAAGATATTGAACGTTTATATAGTGATTTTCTTGACCATTGTTTTCCATCAATGTCAATGGCATTTCATTCATTTCGTGTTTATATGACAAAATATGGATTTCAATTTGAAGATGAACGTCTCACTCATCTGTTTATGGCATTCAATTACAATTGTAATGGATCCATAACATTTCCAGAATTATTGATGGGCCTTGCATGTATTGATTGTCATTCAATTCATAATGAAGTACGTGCAAAATTTGTAATGCGCTATTATGATGTGAATAAACGAAACTATTTAACACGTGAAGATATCCGTCAAATGCTTATCGTTATACATCCGAAATTGAAACGTGAAGAAATTGATTGTAAATTAGCGGAAACATTGCAAGTAATGGAACCAAATATGTTGGATGTGAATCGAATTTCCTATAAAGCATTTGTTGTTGCTGTTGGTAGTCATCGATTTCGTGGTACATCCAAATTATGTCGTGCTGATCGACCAGTATTCCAGATGATTACAAACATTATATTTACACGCCGTAAAAAACGTAGTGGTCGTGAATTCAAATGGTCATCGGCAATTGAAGAAACATATTCGGGTACATGTTCGAATTGTAAAGAAAAACAAATAACACTTTGTGATCATTTATTACGAATCGACAATAATGGCTATGTTTGTTCACGTAATCATTTGAAACAAATTAATAATCGTCGTGGTGTTGGTGAAACACGGACAAATTATTCATCATCATCGTCAAGTTCAAATCGAAAACGAAAATTTAATTTGAAAAATTTTTTTCGTAAAAGTGATGACAATGATTTTGAAGTATTAAATATTGCTTGGTCATTGATTCGAAAGATAAGAGAATTTGCACCATTGAAAGGTGACGCTAAAAGACCAAATGGATTTATGGCCGACAATTCAAGAGATAGTCAACAATTATATGATTGGTTTACAATGCTAGAGAGACGATTAAGTGAACAATTGGAATCAGAAAATCGTTGTGTTATTGTCAATTCACCTGCATTCATAATTGGTGATATACATGGTAATTTGGATGATCTGCTTACATTGGAACAATGTCTTTGGAAACAATATCCAGCTATTGATGCCAATTTAGTATTCCTTGGTGATTATGTTGATCGTGGTCGTTGGTCAATTGAATGCGTCATTTATTTGATGAGTATGAAAATTTTAATGCCAAACAAAATGACATTATTACGTGGTAATCATGAAGTAAGACCATTACAAGCACATTATTCATATAGAGCTGAATGTTTATCAAAATATGGTGATGAAATTGGTTTGAAAATCTGGGAATCAACTAATCGATTGTTTGATCGATTACCATTATGTGCCATTGTTGATGATGCTATATTCTGTGCACATGGCGGTATACCACGCAATACAATGGAAATTGGTGAAATACAACGTTTGGATAATTATATGCCGGAACCAGAACATTCATTTCCAATTGCATGGGAAATTTTATGGTCAGATCCCATACATCAACAACAATTTCTTGAATTAGCATGCCTAATGAATGGTGTGGAAGATCCACGTGAAGGATTCTTACCAAATCGTAAACGTGGAACAGCATTCGTATTCAATGAAGATGCAGCCACTAAATTTCTTAAAAATAATGGCCTTACACATATTGTTCGTGCACATGAAGTGCCAACAAATGGATTCTTTTTTCATTTTGATAAAAAATGTGCCACTGTTTTTTCCAGTTCACATTATTGTGGTAATAATAATGAATGTGCCGTTATGTTGGTTGAAGGTGATTCAATTCGTATAATTCGTATCGATACAGCAAATAATCAATCAGCAACAGATTAAAACTATATATGTGAAATTAAAAAAAAAGAAAAAAGAACAAAATAATTGTGTGTGTGTGTTTGAAATTTCATGGTTTCAATGATGATGATGATGATGTCTTAGTAGTAGATGCCGGTGGTTTTTCTGGTGAACTTTGTCTTGAGCTTGATTTTGATGATGATGATGTAGCCGCAGCAGCAGCTGTTGTTTCTTGTGATAATGGATTTAAATTCGGATTTACAATCGTAATTGGAGTTGAAGGATCCAAGCCAATCGATTCACCGATTGTAACTCTAGCCTTTTCAAATGTTGATGATAATTTTTCTTGAATAACGTTGATACACATTGATGTTAATGCAAGACCAAATAGAAAATAGATGAATGCATATAGCAATACATTGAATTGTGTGGGAACAAAATCACCGAAACCGATTGTTGACATTGAAATGAATACAAAATAGAATGCTTGAAATAATGTCCAATTTTCGAATGCCCAAAAAAGTATTGCACCAAGAAATAAATATAACATAAGTATGGCTAATGCCAACGATATAGGCAGATTGAATTCATCATCCATTTCATCGAAATCTAACATTGTTGGCATTGGTGTTTCCGGTGTCATCATAGTTGATGGTGACGTTGGTGATGATGGCGAAATGGTTACCATTGGGATTGGATTTTGTCGATATAATACCGATGATGATGATGATGATGATGCCATCATTGGATTTGTTGTTGATTGCAGATTTGGTTGTGATATTTCTGGTGGTGGTAACATTGTAACACGTCCTGTATTTGAATCAATAAAAAATGGTGGCTGTCGTTGAATTTTATTCAATGTATCCATTATTGCTTGTTGAAATTTTGTTGAACGTGTTGCTTTACGTCCCATATGTCGTACAGATCTTAATGAACGATCATAATAGATACGACGACAAGACATTATTAGATATTTGATTATTTTCGTGAATATTCTACCAAAATCGGCCAATACAATCAATAATAGTGGAATGCCAAAAAATGAATATATCATCGTGGCTGTTTTACCCAATGTTGTCACTGGTGGACTATCACCATAGCCTAAAATAACGAAAAAAAAGATGGAATTTTAATTAAAACTCGTAATTAAAACGTTTTTTTTTGTGTGACATTCTGTAATTAGAAAAAAGAAATTAGGTAAACAAAAAAAAACTGCTGAATCTTTAAAATGATGAAATGTGTTAGTTTTTTTATGGTTGAAAACTCGTAAACTACACACACACACACATACAGGAATTTCGAAATAAAATTTTTCTTTTCTTGAATCAGATCCAAATTCAATGTTACGATTGATGATATGCTGTGATGATTTATGACACACACACACAAAAATTTCTTGTCAAATTCTATAATGTCTGGAAATAATCATCATCATCAAATATAATTCCCATGCTGTGAATTAAAATTTTTTTCGTTCAATTTTGAAAATCAAATTGATTGATTGATTTTACGATTGAGAAATTTGACACCCACACACACACACACACGTACATATATAATAAGCAAGTGGAGATACTTACCGATTGTTGTAAATACAGTCATACTAAAAAATACTGAACCAATAAAATCCCAACGATCGGTTTCACCAAAACGTTCGATTGAATAATTTAAACGTTTTGAACATTGTTCACGTACAATCCAATCAAAACGATCCAATTCATCTTCAACTTTTAGATACCAATATTGATCAATAATTGGTACATATTGGTCATTATAATGTTCATTATCACCATCATCATCATCATGATCATTTGGTAATGGAAAATTTTGTCGATAACGCCATAATTCATCAATTATTTTATCAGTCATTTGATCAATTGGTTCATATAATTGTCGAATAATTGCCTTTGAACAGATTGATTGAGAAATGAAAATTTTCAATAATTTTTTTGTTTTATTATTCACTTACATTCTGTTCTTTTTCATGATTTCCTTCAATCGTTGAAAAAATGGCACCACCAAGACATGCATAAAGAATCAATGCAATCAAAAGTAATACATGTGTAAACCAACTTTCACTTAGCCGTTTGAGCCATACAAATAATCGTACTAATCGTGTATTGGTGCCTTCAAGTACATCATCAAAATTTGGTTTAACCAATAAACGTGTGGCCAATGTTTTTGGATCCACAACAAACATTGATCGTGATGATGGCACATTTCGAAATGAATTCGAAAAACGTGGTGATGACAATGATTGATGACTATTTTTACCGATACCAGATCGATGAAAACGTGGTGGCGCTCTTGGTGTTGTTGTTGATCTTGGTGATGTAATATTAGCCATTTGATTCAATGATGATACAATGATTCAAGAAGATACAAGATTTTCTTCTTATTAGGAAAAAGAATTTGATTCAAAAAAAATAAACAAAACAAATTCACATTACAAGCCAAAAATTGTCACATCATCATCATCATCATCATCAGGATCATTACGATTAAAATGAATAAAGAATTTTTGTTTTTATATTAACATTCTTGAATTCTTGAATTCTTCCTGTACGTGATATGATTATTAACGTTGTTGCTAATGAAAAGATGAAGAAGAGAATGTGATTATAAAAATAAAATCTAGAGCAAAACAAACACATGCAGACATATATGAAAATAAAAATCATGAACCGGTTCACGAAAAACAAAAACAAAAAATAATAATAAAAATAAAATTGTCATCAAGAAAAAAAAAAGAATAAATTTGTGGTTTATCCACACACACACAGGAAGAGATTCTATTCGTGTGTGTGTGTGTGTGTGTGTGTGTGTAATAATATGAAATTAAAAAGGATTTATACGATGCAATTGAACAAACCAGAAAAAAATAAAAAAAATCGGTTTAAAGAATTGGCATCACATTCACAATTAACAACAATAAAATACACACATCCACATACATACCAAATCGTAGCATGATTCTTGTTGTTGTGATGAACATATGGTGAATGAAAAATAAAAATAAAAATTCTATTTTTATATATCAAAGAATCATCTATATCTGTATTATATTATTCTTGTGAATATTTCTGATGATTGTAAATTCTACTGCATAATGATCATCATCATCATCATCATCGTAAACAGAATGATTTTGAATGAATGACAAGTCTTTAAAGTGATTAAATTGGTGATGGTGGGTGTGTATGTGTTTCTTTGATTGTTGAACAAATAAGAAATGTCTATGATGAAAATGATACAAATGATTTTTCCTCATTTTTATCAGAATCATTCGTTTATAATAAAAACACAATGTATCCAGTTTGAAACGATGATGATGGATCATCAGACGTTTTGTTTTATAAATTTTTTGAAAAAAACTCAAACGTCATTAACATTAATGCAACATATGACATGAGGATCTAAGAAAATGATCAAATGAAAAAAAATTGTTAGAAAGAAATTAAATCAAATCAGAATCAGAATATATTTACCTCGAAAAAATATTTATGATTTATTATATGAATACGACCTATACTGAAACCAAATTGTTGTTTCGAACTGGTCAAACGTTCATACATTTCTAATGTTTTGATTTTGATGCCAATTTGATTCGAACGTTCAAGTGACATTTGCATACGTGGCATATAACGTTTACTGCGATGCATCAAACGATTTTGTTCAGCCATTGGAAATAATGTCAATATTATGGTCAATATTTGTACATTGACAAACAGAATGTGTAACATCAATGATTGCATATTCATTGGCCGATATAGGATACGATATGTGGCCATTATATTGATTGGCAGATTACTGATCAATGCAAACAATATAACATTAGCCCATATTGTATGATTACTATTGTGAATCATAGAACAAATATATGTTAATTGTCGACGAAATTGTTGAAAAAGAAATTCATTCAAACCATATTTATTCGGCAATTGTTTTGTTGATATACGAAACATTAGATGATTAAGGAATCGTAATCTTTTCAATAGATATGCCTGTGATATTGTTGCCATATTTAGATAGATGATTGAATTTCTAACAAGAATATGACATACATAGAAATGATTAACTAAATCTATACATACGAATGTTATGAATAGCGTAGAATCACCATCAATCATTAAATGATGGATAAAGCTTCGAACATTAAAGTTCATGACAACAATAAAGCAAATTAAATGCGTAATTATGCTATAATCATGTATGATTAGAACGGAAAGAACTAGAAGAATTTTATGTTCACCCGATATATACGGAATGATTGGCATACGTATACGTTTAAAACGTTTGAAATTGATTTGCAGTTGAAGTTGTTTACAAAGATAGTGTATATTAATTATTTGCCATAGATTTGAATTATGATGATTGATTGATCGTATAAATGACCAAAATGATAATCGATTTGTCCAATGATTATCATCAGTTTGATTACGATGATGATTGAATAGTAAACATGAACGATATAAATCCATATTACGTACGGTAAAATCATAAACCGATGTAAAACCAATTAATCGATAATCATTAAAATAGATAACATATTGACTTTGTATAATATACAATATACCAATGGCAAGAGTCAATGCAGTTACACGACAATTTTCGATTTTATGTTGATAATAATGTAACGTCATATTTGAATGAAGAACATTGCCAAAAATAAGTTTTACAGTTGGATCATATGAAGCCAATGTTTCTAATAAACTAATATCTTTGAAACAAATAAATAAATAACCAATGATTCGAATGAATTCAATCAATAAAATGATCATTTCATGTCGATATAATCGCCAATGTTTTTCATTATTATCGTCGATAATTAATTGACGAATTTGATCATAGAAACGTAGTTTGTTCAACATATTTTTTTTCGATTTTAGAAACAAATCTGGTCTGGAATTTTTTTTTTTTTTTTTGTTTGTTTGTGCTGTAATCAACTTGTAGAGAATACAGATCATCATCAGATGAAAAAATGGTTGTAATAAAATGATTCTCTTTTGTTTTATATGAACGAATCATATAGAAAAATGAAATTTCAATTTCTCTCCATTCTATTTTTTTGTTTGTTTGTGCTGTAATCAACTTGTAATCATTAGTGAAAATTGAATATATTTTAATATGTAAACTTTTGTTTGGTGAATATACTACTTACCTGAACAAAATTTATCGATTCGTGGTTCGATTTTTGAAAAACAAACAATAGAAAAAAAATTTTTGAAAAATATTGAAAATTCGCCTCCATCTTCTCCTTAGAATATTGATTTTGATTTCCAGAGAAGAAGAGAGAAACAAAAGTTGCAAATTTGAATTTTGCTTTAAAAAAAAAAATACATTAAGAAGTCAATGATGATGATGATTTTCATAATCGATTGTTAATACAATCGATTATGACGGACGATCATTTATCATTGTTATTCAATAATGGATATGCAATTTCGGTATTGATACCACAACGATTAAAACCTCGTGCTAAACGAAAATAACCATGTTGTTCACCCCATGATTTGCCCCAACTATTTTTAATAATCCATGCATCCGGTGTATAACCGACCAACAGAACGGCATGATTAATTTGTTCTGGACACGAACTATCGTTAAATATACCGGAACGATAATTTTTCGTTGAAATTGGATCAGCATTAATTGCCGTATATAATGGACCAAATGCAACCAAAGCACGTTGAATATCATCATCATTCAATTGTTCAGTTTGAAATGATCGTGTATAACGTTGACGACTTCGTAAACAATAATTATCAATTTCGGCTATTACTGGATCAAAATATGGAAAACAAAATGAATCTCTTGCCCTGTATGGTTCATATTGTTCAGATGTTAAGCCATTATCTTTTACATAGTTAAATGCCTGATATGATGTACCACCTTGACAACCAGATCTAGGACCACTTGCACAATCAACCATTTGTTGTTCACTTAAATCAAATTGTTGATTCGTGGTACGATTTTTTATTAAATATGCAGATTCAATCGATCCAGCAGTGGCAAATGTCCAACAGCTACCACATTGGCCTTGATTTTTAGCTGGTGTTACCGCTTGATGATCACGCCAATCAAATGAATCGGGTAATGATCGCAGCGATGGTTGACATTGTTGATCATTGCCAGTCAAACGTTTTTCACGTCGTTTAGATGATGATGATGATGATTGACTTTCATTAGCAGGTGGTGGTGGTGGTGGTAATACGCCCAACATTCCACGAACATATGTATCGCTCTGAAATAAAGGGAAAAAATTTTATCAACAATCAAAAGAAAAGCTAATACCACTACCTTATCGGATAATGATGTAAATCCATATCTAATTCGATTTTTTTTGTTCATATTGGTCGAATTTCTTCCAGCCAATTTTGTTTGATTATCATTTTGTTGCTGTCTACAATAATCAATCATTTGCCTCATTGAATTGAATAGATTCATAATACTTTCGATTGAAATGGAATTTTGTGAAAATGTTTTCTATAAATAAATTGAAAAAAAATTTGTTTCCGGTTTCAAATCAACAAAAAAACAACGAACTTACATAATACGATTCAACGATTGAACCAAAATTCATGTTTCCATCAAAAATATTCATTTCATTCGTTGATGATGAATTATTCATGTCATCATCATCTGGTAATTGTGATTCAAAACAATCATTAATCGTATCCATTGATAGATTATTGGGTAGATTATCAATCAATTCACCCAATGATTTATTCATTTGTAATACATTTATTAGCGTATCAATCATATTATTACCACCATTATTGTTATCATCGCAATGGATCAACAACAATTGATGGATTGATAAAAATTTTAGCAAAAAAATCATCAACATAATAAAACGATCCATGATCGATTGCCACCGAACAATCGATTTCTGATTCTCTACACACACACACACACTTATATATGTTCGAAATTCTAACGATTGACGGAATACCATACACACACACACACAGATGGTTGTGTCGACCAAAAACCACCTGTGTGTGAATTTGAAACGCAAAGAAATTTTTTTTTTTAAATTCCAACAGATTTTGTTTTTTTAATCATGACTGACATGAATTGAATTTAACAAATTACAACAAATCACATAGCGAAAAAAAGGATCTACAAAATAAAAAATTGTTTTCTCTGTGTGTGTGTGTGTGTGTGTGTGTGTTTGGAAAAAACATGAATATTAACCGGTGAAAATCACAATTTTGAATACGAAAAATAACAACAACAACAAAAAATGGCAAAGATTTATATTTTTCTGAGCAACGCAATTTTTTGTTTTGTTTTGTTTCTTTCTTCTAATCATCATTAGAATTATTTAGTTTTTTCACTAATGATTCATATAGCCAAAAATGTAATGCAGTTGAAAGGGTTGATTTAAAAATACTCGGTATCATACCCTTATAAAAAGCGGCCAAATTTTCTGTTTGTATAGTATGTACAATACAATGAATGAAACCTTCATAATGTACAGTTTTACCAAAACTATTGCCACGTGCTGCTTCAAAGCCACGTATTTGTAAACGTTTTTTAACCAAATCTAATGGATAGACTAGAAATTTGGCTACCATACCGGATAGGGCACCACAGAAAAAACTTGATTGTATATGAATTTCATGGCCATGTTTATAACCAATATTTATGGCAATATGATCAGAATGATAATGTTGTAACCATCTTTCTTTAAATATATTATATGTAGCGAATTGAGCACCAGAAAATGGCATTATTTGCATTAATGTTGGCAGGAAACCACGATATAAACCAACACGGCCTTCATATTTTGCAATGGCCATAAATGCTTGCCGTGTATTATGATAGGTTTTCGGTTCAGATTGTGATACCATACGTGTACGTATAACATCAAATGGATGTGATAATAATGTGCCAGTAAAACCGGCCATTGAACCACAAATAAAATGAACTAATGGCTGTGATTGCATTACATGTTTATGTGAGATAATTTCTTCATGATCAATTAGCCATTTCAATGTTAACTTGGTGAGAATTTCAAATGATGAAAAATATGCCATGCCTAATCGAAAAAAAGAATTAAATTCTTGAATAATGAATAATAACCACAAATCAAATCGCTTACCATAAATACCGGACAACATTTGTGCAGAAACATGTCCTTTCCAAAGGGCATAAACAGATTCTTCGCGTATAATACAGGAAAATGTTTGTGTTAATGAACGATATTTTGATATTGATGATGAACGTGATATTGGTTCAATTTGTAATTGAAAACGTATTTTAAGCACATCCAATGGTTGACAAATAAAACGTGTTGCACAACCGGAAAGAAAACCAGAAATCACATAATGCCAATTGGATTTTTGTTGATGATTGTTATTATTATTAAAATTTGTTGATGATAATAATCTCAATGATGATGATGATGATGATGACGATGATGATGACGATGATGATGTGGATGACGATGTTGTTGTTTTATTATCAAAATTATTATCACTAAAATTTTTATTATTATTCATATCAACCATTATTGGATGTTGTGGTTATTTAGTCAGTATGTCCCATTGATATTCAAATTCGATTATATATCATAATTGATCAATTTTCTTCTTCTTCTTGTTTCGATCACCGTAATCACAAAATTAAATTAAATTTCAACTAAAATAAAAACTTCTTTTGTGTTGTTCATCACCAGGTTTGTTGATGTTTTTTTTTCTTTGTTGTTGTTGTTGTTTTCTCTATTCGTTCTATTATCTTCGTACATTTACACACAACCACAATAAATTAATGAAATTTTCTGCACTTGATTATAATGATTTTATTATTAACGGTGGGGCTTTATGAACAAAGTGAAAGATGATGGTGATATGGGGGTTGCCGCTATTTTTAATTTTCATCTATTATTGCTGTTATTTTGCCATTAAATATGATCTGATTTGTTGTTGTCGTTGTAGTCGTTATTGTCATTCAATGTGTGTGTGTGTGTTTTTGAATGTATCTAAACAACAATGATTCGAATGGAATGGAAGAAACGAAAAAAAAAATTTGATGATTATAATGAGGAATAAGAATGAAATTCAGTGAAAACTAGGGATGGGAAAAAAAGGGAAGAAGGAAAAAAAAAGAAGACATCATCCTCATCATCATCAACGATGATGATGATTGTCGTTAACCACAACAACAACTACAGCTACAAAAATTTACCATTCATTCACGATGATGATGATGATGAGGTGCTCAATTCATTCAGTTGGCCACAAAATCCATAAACAAACAAACAAACAAACAAAATGTGAAAACAACAAGTGAGTTTGATGTTTTGTTTTGTTTCGTTCTATCTGAAAAGAAATGAAAAAAAAAAAAATTTCACTGATATATCACGAAAATCATACCAGGGGATTCGTTCGATTTTTTGAATGACACACACACATATATAACGGTATATATAAATCTCATCAATCAAACAAAGTTGTTGTAATAATATATTTATTAACCTTGATGGATAAAATCCAAAGACAAGTTTGTCGCGCGCGCGTAAAATTTTTTTTTTTTTTTGTTTTGTTTCTGGTTATGGTTATTATTGATTTATTTAAGCATGATATATGTCGGTCTTATTTGTTGTTGTGTTTAAAATAAACTTGTTGCTGTAGTTTATATATACACACAATGGGTTTATTCATCATCATCATCATCATTCATTTGTATTAAAATCGAAATGAAAAAAAAATGTCATCATCTGATTAATAATAAAATAACCACTGACTTGTTTAGACGTTGCGCCCTCTCACTGTCTCTTTATCATTAAATGGATGGATATATACGTGATTTTGTTTTGTATTCAGAGAAATAAAAAAAATTTATGCTGATGATTGAAGTTGATGATGATTTTGATCCACTGAGGAAAGAAAAAAAAATAACATAAACATTTCACTTGTTATTATATTCTCAAATGAATATAGATTTGATTTTGTTTTCAATTATGGAAAATTGTTTTCATCTCATGTATAATAATAAATGAACATTTGAATGTGTGATAATTTGTTTTTTTTCAAATTTATTTCATTTTTCTTGTTGCGAAATTTTTTTTTTTTTTTACGAAGGTACATCATGCTGGTTTGTGTGTGTGTGTGTGTGTGGAATACACACATGCAGCAAATCATGCTTTGGATCGAATTTTTTTTTTCGAAAATCACATGACCGTAATTGTTGTTGATTTGTTTTTGATTGTGGTCATAATGTTTACGTTTTGTTTGCAAAAAGTTTATTTTCATACCAAAATGATTGATAATAAGCAACGCAACGTAAGGTTGTAGTTAAATGGTTATCATCAATATATTTTTTATTGTGACTACAATTTTTTATCATTTACGTTTTACCTCATATATGAACGGTAATCTTTTTTTTTTGGGCGAAGCCAAATCGGTTGATGTGATATTTTGTGTGTGTGTGCATTTGTGTGTCTTTTTTGAGCATTGATTTTTTTTGGGTTTGTTTTTTTTGTTTGTTTGTTGCCAAATCATCATCATCATTGATTGATAATTCTGATTTTTGTCATATTTTTTGTTTTCTTTCCGTTTTCTCTATGTGTGTTCGAGTGTGATCAATAGAACAAATTTAATTTAAAATTTGCTGCAATAATAAATCCATTGTTTTCGTGCAAACAAAACAAAACAAAACAACAATGATTTTATTGGAGCATTGATTTTTTGAAAATTTCTGAATATGAGTAAGTTTTTGTTTTGTTTTGTTTTCGTTTGTTTGTTTTACTTTTAAAATTTGATCTTTTGTTTTGCGTTTGAAAAAAAGGAAAAACAATAAAGCCGATTGCCATTTGATTTATAATCATCATCATCATCATCATCATTGTTTGCCAATGTAATTCTGATTTTTTGTCAAGTGAAACGCGACATTTTTTGTTTTCTTTCCGTTTTCTCTATGTATTGTTCGAGGAGCCATCAAATCATTGATCAATAGAACAAATTTAATTTAAAATTTGCTGCAATAATAAATCCATTGAAAAGAATTTTCGTGCAAACAAAACAAAACAAAAACAATGATTTTATTGGAATTCAATAATCGAATAATTGAAGATGTTCTTCGTTTGAAAATTTCTGAATATGAGTAAGTTTTTGTTTTTGTTTTCGTTTGTTTGTTTTACTTTTAAAATTTGATCTTTTGTTTTGCGTTTGAAAAAAAAGGAAAAACAATAAAGCCGATTCCGTAGAGGTAAAAGTTGCCGATTTCGATGGTGTACTGTATCATATTTCCAATCCGTGTTTGGATAAAACGAAAATTCGTATCAGTATTTCATTGAAATTCTATAAAGAATTACAACAACATGGTGCAGATGATCTATTGAAACGTGAATATGGTGATTTTTTGTTGAAACCACCGGAAAATGGTTATAATGTTACATTATTATATGATCTGAATAATTTACCAACGGATAAAGAATCATTGATAGAGAAGGCATCATTATTGAAACGTAATTGTTTTGCATCGGTATTTGAAAAATATTTTGAATTCCAAGAAAACGATATACAAGACACAAAACGTGCTGTTATCCATTATCGTGATGATGAAACAATGTATGTTGAATCACAAATAGATCGTGTAACGGTCATATTCAGTACAACATTCAAAGATGAAGATGATATTGTTCTTGGCAAAGTATTTATGCAAGAATTTAAAGAAGGTAGAAAAGCATCACATACAGCACCACAGGTATTATTTTCACATCGTGAACCACCACGTGAACTACAGGATACGGATGCACGTGTTGGCAATAATATTGGTTATATTACATTTGTACTATTTCCACGTCATACATGTAAATCGAATCGAGATAATACGATTAATTTAATACACACATTTCGTGATTATCTTCATTATCATATAAAATGTTCAAAAGCATACATTCATTCACGTATGCGTGCAAAAACATCGGATTTTCTTAAAGTATTGAATCGTGCACGTCCAGAAAAGATTGAAAAAGAAAAACGAAATATTAAGTAAGTGAACAAAATATATCAATCAATCAATCAAACATATTTATTGGTTTTTATTTATTATTTTTTTGCCAAAAAAAACTAGGGGAAAAATCATGAACATCCGTTAACCAAACAACATGTGGAATATCAAATGAAATGATGGCATGAAAATGGTAACAGCAATAATAATAATAATTTTATATTTCACAGAATCACAGAATATTCATCATCATTTTTTTTAAAAAAATTATTGTTTTTCGCATGGAATGAAAAATTGTTTGTTTTCATTATTTTATTCTCCTACTACTAAGTTATTATTATTACCATTCAGTTTCTAAATTGATCGATAATCAAAATAAAAAGTTTTCGTTTCTATTTAATTGAAATAAAAAAACAAAAATGAATAATGGTCAGTGTTTTGTTTTTCTTCCGAATTCGATTCGATCAATGACATTTTTCCATTCACTCATTGATTTCAAAGTTCAAACACCTTTTTTTCAATTTCAATCACTCGAATCGAATGATTTTTGATCATTTTTTGTTGTTGTTTTTGACTGATATTTGCAATGGTTGGCAGAAAAAAATGTTTTTTCTTTTTCAACCACCAACCATAATTCAGCGACACCTCATCATTATTTGATTGAACCGGCCGGTATTTTTTTTCTCAATGATGGTGATGGTGATTTTTTCAATTTGAAATGAATATAAATCACACACACACACACATATATATGTAAATTATAATCATCATCATCATTATTATGACGTTGACAAAAAAAATTTTTTTTTCGCGATATATATCGATGATAAGATTCCAAGATGATGATGATCAAAATTAAATCATCATAAATAAATATTCAATTCAATTCAATTTGGAAATGGGAATTTTATTTATATTTTCTTAGTGCTTGATATGATATTCATCAGTCGTCAGATTTTCTTTTTTTTTCAATCTTCAAAAGAAAAAACAAGCACAATCATCATCTTCGGAGTCGTTGGACATTTTTTCTTTTTTTTTTGCAACAAAAAAAAAAAATTTTATCTCAATCTCACAGACAAAAAAAAAAAATTTTTTTTAGATAAATTAAAAGAGAAGAACCGGCAATAACAAGTTTTATTCCTAGATAAAATGATGATGATGTGTAATCACACATTGACCGCATGAGAAATTTATATATGCATATGCATATGCATATATAAATCGATGGTAAGTGGTATGTACTGATGATAATGTTGATTGATTGATGCTCTATGTGTGTGGTTGTTGTCAGGATGAAAAGAAAAAAAATTTTTTATTCTTTAATCATCATATTGGCTGGTAAGCAAAATTATTAATGATGATGATGATGATGATGATCATGGTAGAGAAGAAGAAGAAATTGAACCAAATTTTTTTTTGAGTTTGTGTCCTCGATATCAAATTGAATAAATTCTTGAATTGTGCCCATTTTATATCGTTCAACCGTAACTATTTTTTTTTTACATTCGGTTCATTGCATTCAAATGAAATGATGATTGGCCACCAAGAACAAGGACACAAGATAGACGAATGCCATTGTCATGGCCATGAGAATTTTTTTTTTTTTTGGACCTTGGAATATTCTGTGATTGATTTGAATCATTTCATTTCAATTGGAGGACATATTGAGTGATGAGCTGGTTTTTCCATCTATTTATACATTCTTATTGAATTTTTTTATAAAAAGAAAAGATTTTTTTTTCTGGCGATGATGATGATGAATATGATGATGATGTTTTTTTTTCGCCAATTTATCTATTGATTACATTGATTGGCATTGTGGTATTTGTTGATTTTTTTTCTCATTGATCGAACTTTGATCGATCAACCATTAAGAAAATGTTTATTGATCAATGTATGGTTTCAGCACGCGTTTCGATTGAAGGAAATAACAAATATGAAACAAAAAAAAAATTATCAAAATATCACACACACAATCATGAACGTCATTGATATCAGGCGAAAAACATTTTTCTTGGTACTTTGATTATTCGTTTCATTTAGATATATACCAAATATTTTTATGGTATTTCGTTTATTTTGGCACACACAAATACACGGTTGATAAATCAAGCGCGCAATGAAAAAAATAATGAGAGCAACAGAAACAAAATCAGCGTATATAAAAAAGAATGGCCAAATTTTGTCAAATATCACATTTATAATAATAATTTCATTTGATTAAATTCATCAATTTCAGTGATCATCATCAACATCATTAGCATCAGAAATCCAAAATTTCGAATAAAATTTTTCCATACGTATTTTGTGTATGTGTATTCACGCATTATACATGTATATGCACACATATTCCTTCTTTGTCGGATAAACTGTGACATTTCATTTCATCATTTTTTTAACATTCGAGATTTAAATTCATAAATAATAATAATAGAAAAATGTCAACCTGAACCAAAAAAAAAAAAAAAAAGATGACTAAATCAATCATCAACGGTATATACTGAAAACAAGTAAGCAAGCAACCAGCAAGCAACAATTGTCATCGTCATCATCATTGTCATTGAATGTAAAAAAAAACCATCACCATCATGATGATGATATGTTCATCATCATCAATTACAATGAAAATGATTACTTGCTACACAGCTACCCTAAAATTGTTTGTTGTTTTTTTTTCATTGTTGAATTGACAATTTTTTTTTCTTGTTATTGATTTCAATTTGATTGATTTGTTTGTTTATTACATCCAAATCAATCAATCAATCAATCAATGTACAATGAAATGGTTCGATTTTTAATATCAAATATATATAATCATTATTATTAACCGGAAAGTAAGTAAGTAATAATAATAATAATAAAGAAAAAAAAAATGATATCATCATAAAGTTTTTTTTAATCATCATCGTTGTAATAATAATCTTGGCAACAAGTATCACCCGGTTTTTTTTCAATCTTTCAGTGCATGTATACATTTAGTGTATGCTGTGTGCTACACACACACATTCTTTATTTTGCCACAACCTGAAATGGCACACCAAAACCACCACCATGATCATGATGATGATCATCATCATCATGTATGGGTAAACGAATGATTTTCTTCTTCATTTTTTTTTGTGTGTGTTGCTATTCGCCTCCTTAAATCATCTGCCAAGTTACAAAAATGTGTGTTGTGGATAATGATCAAGAAGAAAGCAAAAATTAGAAGGTTCAGCCATTTTGTACATGATGATGATGATGATGATCATAATCATTTAACTTAAACAATTTATATAGAAAAAAAAAAGATTACAAAGCCGGCATTTTGAAAAGATTCACGCCTATTTGTTCATTGTTTGCCAATGAATTCATCATCAACAGTTTAATTCACTTTGATTCAATTTAGTAAATTCAGACACACAAACACACGGTGAATGTATGTCTGCTTCGTTTGGCTTTTTGTTTCGTCTATATATACATCGACCACTATCCATCCATCATCATCCACAATATAATAATTTATTCCAGACTTTTATTTCGAATCTCGACTGTTTCGTTTTTTTTTTTTTTTGTTGTTCAACTGTGAAGAATCCATCCATTCATTCATTCATTCAATTCAATTCGATTGAACACGTGCTTCACGGCAAATCATTGTTTTTCTTCAATCGCTGTGCGTTTGAAGATTTTTTTTTGTTTGAATTTAAATTTTTTTTTTGTTATTATTGACCACTTACCAATAATATTCTGTTGGATAGTCTGATTTTTTTTCATTATATATTCTATATAAACAATGAAGAATCTATTATTATTGTCGAATAATAATAATAATAATCAAAAAACATACATGATTGATGATTGTCATAATGATCTTCATGAAGATTTTAATTATTGCCAATTTATCTGTATGAAACAACAACAACAACAACAACAAGAATCGATTACTTTGATTGCTAGTGTTGCTGCTATTGCCACTGCCACTGCCAATGGTTCAAACATTTGGTTTGTAGATCATTCCTAGGGAAAAACAACAAAGGTAAGTTGCATTTTTGTTGTTGTTTTGTGAATTCTGTATTTTTTTTCTCATTGAAAATTGTTATTCTGTACAAATGAAATATAAAGAATTTGTCGAGGTTAGAATTTTCGTTCTAAATGATGTTTGATAGTGTTCTAAATTTAGAATTTTCAATGATGAATTTATCTATTTAGAGACAATGAATGTGAGAGAGAAAGAGAACGTCGAATTCTATTACCATCAACACTGGCTTGCGGTTTGTTTGAACATCCCAATCGTTGTGAGAATCAGCCACAACCACACGTAACAAATTCCATATTGTACGATGTACCCGCTCTACCATGCCATTTGACTGGTGGTGATAAGGTGTTGTTCGATGATGTTCAATACCCATACGAGCACAATAATCGATGAACTCTCTACTTTCAAATTGAGACCCACGGTCCGATATCAATATTTTTGGTTTGCCAAACCTATTCCATACTTCTTCGAGCCAATCAATTATTCTTTCGGTTGACGAATCAACAGAAGCTTTAGCTTCAATCCACTTAGATCGATAATCTTGAAGTGTAAATAAATAACGATTGCCCGATTCAGATGTTGATAATGTCATAATATCAATTGCAACTTTTTCAAACGGATTGAGATTCAAAATATCAGTTGCACACATAGGTTGTTTTGCAGGTCGAGGATCATTATCTTTTTTAACATTACAGACACATTTTCGAATCCATTGTTTCACGTCATTACGCCATTTTGGCCAGTAAAAACGACAAAATACAATGTCTAGACATTTGTGTTGACCAATATGTGTTTTGTTCAAACACATGAAAAATAAAGTTTGGCCGAATTTGGAAAATTTTCAATTTATCAAATTTTTATTTTTCATTCTTATCATTTTTTTTTTAGTCAAAATCAATTTGTTTGATTTGGTTTTTTTCCTATAGTCTCTTGAGATGTGGAAAAATTTTTGATCTGTCGATGGTGATCGATAGTATTGATTTTTATATTATAAAATGGTGATCTGTCGACCTTTGTGCTTTTCATCAATCGAATTTTATTCATTTTGTTTCCATTGGGTTAATATGGGCGTTTACTATTTACATCCCACCACCGTTTGAGTCAAATTGAGAAATTGTTTGTTTCCGTTTTGACATGTGATTTTTTTTTTCTGATAATTTTCAATGGAAAAAACTTTGTCACTAAAGACAAAATTTGATCCGAATCTAGTTCATTCATTCATTCATTCATCATCATCATCACGTCACATAATTATCATCATCATCATATTATCATCAAGTGATAAAACGAAAATGAAAAATAAAAACATTCGATTTTTGTTCACAATCGAATGTACATTTTCACATCATCATCATGTGATTATATATCACCAATTTCCGTGATGCTTAGAGGTTTTAAAATTTTAATTTTTCAAAAAAAAAAAAAATAAACAAACGAAAAAAAAAAAAATTTGAATTTTCAAGAAAAAAAAAATCGCCGGTACTATTTTCATCCAGTGGCCGTGAAATAAAAAAAAAACAAACAAAATTACCGATTCCATATATTGATGATGACCTAAATTGATGTCATTTTGTCAACATTAAAAAAATAAATGAATAAATGAATGGGAAAGCGAAAATGAAAAATTTTTGCTGAAAAATCCCATCAAATCAATCGATCAATCGATCAAATCAATGGTGATAAGAAAGAACGAAAAAAAAAAAATTTCTCATTCATTTCCTCGTAACAAAATGCATGAGAATTTTCCATTCATTCCATTTTGCATTCAATCAACCTCGATCGATATGCGTTCAATGTACAAAAATTTTTTGGATTTTTTTGTCCCTGATACCATTGGTTTCGAATGAAATTCATTTCATTTCAGTGCAATTTGATTTTTATTTTGGTTTTTCGTTTGGTTCACTTTCATCATCATCATGACGACATTCAATGAATCGATCAATTTATTTATATCTGAAAACAATCGATTTTTCTTTATGTTAATCAAAAATGAAAAAAAAAAATATTTTCATTTTATCATGATTGAAGTTTGTGTGTGTACCACAGGGGTAACAAACAAATATAACTAGAACATGAACAAACAAAAAAAAAATGCTGAAAATGCACCAAAAGAAATCAGTAAATAACTAATTATCGTCGTATATACGTCAAACTGATGGTAATTTAAATTTTTTTTATCGTTCTTAATCATTTCTTAAATTATATATACTCATTTTATTAGCATAATTTGGTCATAATTGATTTTGATTTTGATTTTCTTAATGATTTTTTTTTAATGACAGAAAAAAAAGAGACATGTATAGATTACAATAACAAAAGAACAAAAAAAAGACGCCAATTAACAACCACAAACACAACAATGTATAACTCACTGTTGTTTGATGCAATTTGATTCTATCACCACCGTTATTATTTGATTATTTTTGCATTCACAATTCATTTCACTTCGGAATCCGTAATCCGTAATCGGTAATATAATATTTAAATAGGATAAAATAGAAAAAAAATTTTGATTTCATTATCGAAACAAAACAGGAATAGAATGCATGGATACATACACCATATTTATATATATTTATTATATGTATGTTAATCATAATCATCATCATCATCATTACACTGATTTGTAATGACGATGATGATGATGATTTATATTACATGCCATTCAATTTGGAGGTAGTTTTTTTTTTTATAAATCAAATAAAGAAAAAAGAAAAATGGTCAATCATCCATTCATTTGTCAAATTGTCGATTGTTGCCATCATTTGTTTTTTGTTGACTGTACATTAGTATATATATGGTATATGTCTCTGCGTGTTTGTTTAATTTGATCAAACGAAATTTGTCTTTCTTCATCTCCACCCACATACACACACACACGTAGAGTTTGATTTTCTTATTTTGTTTCTTAATTTTTCTTTTCTTTTCTTTTCTTTTTGTTTTTTTTTCGCCACATTTTTTTTCCAGCAATAAAAAAAAATATATTAAGCCATAAACATCGATGATCAATACAAACGATCCAAATCTGGTTCATTAATATTATTATAATAGAATAATTATGAAGATTTATCATAAATTTAGCCAACAAATTGAACGATTTTGTTGCTGCTATTGTTGTTGCTGTTGTTATTCATACATAATCATGAAACTTTGACATTGGATTGTCATTCAAAATTAAATTCAAATTTAAATTCATCAACCGCCAACGACGACGACGACGACGACGACGATTTATATTTCATCATTCCACGATAAATTGACAAATTTGAAGAGAAACAACAACGACAACGACAACGACGACAACAATAAAATCTATCTACCATCATTGTCCCGAATATAGATCTCAGAACTTTTTTTTTATTATTAGGTTTCCTTTTCATATATACATACACATACATACACACACACACATTCAAATTAGGACATAATTATTGGTTTTTTCTCTCGAGAATCAATCAATCAATCAATCGATGAATCGATGAATGATGAATGAAAATTTTTGCTAAACTGCTGTTGATTATACACACACACACACACACATTTGATTAATATTCAAATTGTCTGCTGAACAAACAAACGAAAAAAAAACTGAAAACAATAATCTACCTGTGTGTGCAGTGTGCAAAAAAAAAATTTTTGTTTTAACATCACAAAAAAAACTTTTAATTAATTTTGTTCTTTTGTCAACTCACCACCGCCAATATCGTCAATTAGAATTTGATCAATTTGAGACAATTTTTTTTTTTTGGTCATTTGAATTTTTTTTTTGTTTTTCGTATTCATCATCATAAACACATAAATCATCATTATCATCATCATGTATGTGACAATGTTAAAAGATGTTTATACAACAATAACATCATCATCATCAACTACAGCGATATCATCGACAATGGAACCATTGGATCAACATTCTGTATTATGGATATTGATATTGTCATTTATTTTGGCATTTTTTCTCGCATTTGGCATCGGTGCCAATGATGTTGCCAATTCATTTGGTACATCAGTTGGTTCAAAAGTTTTAACACAACGGCAAGCATGTATATTGGCAACAATATTTGAAATCAGTGGTGCTGTATTATTGGGTAAGTAGTATTCGTTCGATTAATTGATTGATTGATTGATCGAATTCATTTTGTTTGACCATTTTTTTAAATTAGGTTATAAAGTATCATCCACTATACGTGTTGGCATGATATATGTGGAAATGTATGATGATACCAAAGTTTTAATGGCCGGTTATTTGGCCGCATTATTTGGTTCGGCATTATGGAATTTGGTGGCCACTTTGTTTGGTTTGCCAGTGTCGGGCACACATAGTATCGTTGGTTCTATGATTGGTTTTTCAATCGTTGGTCATGGTTTTGGTTCAGTAAAATGGCAAGAATTAATACGTATCGGTATGTTGGTTGGTTTGTTGTGTTTGTGGAATTAAATCCACTACATCGGTTTCTTTTTTCATTTTTTCATTTACAGTTGCATCATGGTTCATTAGTCCAATAATGTCTGGTCTAATATCATTGTCATTGTATTTATTTATACGTTGGTATATTATTAATCGTGAAGAACCGCTTAAAAATGGTCTGAAAATGTTGCCAGTTTTCTATGGTTTCACCATATTCATTAACATTTTTTCCATTGTTCATAATGGTCCATTATGTAAGTTGTTTGTTTTATGGATATTTATCTAACGAAAATGAATTTTTTTAAAATTTTTGAAATTTTAGTTTTAAAATACATCACCTGGTGGATTGCATTGATAATGGCCTGTGTTGTTGGCACAGTGGTTGGCCTTCTAGTACGAATATGGATTGTACCACATTTACATGCAAAAATTCTTGAAATTAAATCCAATCTTACACATACAGCCATTCAAATGACACAACAACATTTGGATCATCATCTTCATCATCATCAACAGAAGAATAGTAAAGAAAATCCGGTCGATATAATGAAATTAACACCAATTGTTAATAATGATGAAAATGGTGGCATTGATAATAGTTGTCCACCATCGGCTAATAATAATAATAATCAGAATCAGAATCAGAATGATGATCATGACAATAATAATATTCGAAAATCGATTGATGTAGAAATAGCCGAAAAAAACAATGTTCAACAATCGTTCGATGTTGATGATGATAAACCAGAAGTGGCAAAAATTTTCACCTTTTTACATATTCTAACCGCATGTTTTAGTTCATTTGCTCATGGTGCCAATGATACGAGGTAAGCAAACAAAAATCTGCTTCAATTAATTTGACTGTTTCCATTTATTTGTGGTTGAATTTTTTCATTATCATTTTTTTAGTAATGCAATTGGTCCATTGGTTGCTGTAGTGATGTTATATCAAACCGGTACACAAACAGATGAAAGCCCATGGTATTTATTATTATTCGGTGGTGTTGGCATGTCAGTCGGTCTTTGGATTTGGGGTCGTCGTGTCATACAAACAATGGGCAAAAGATTAACGAAAATAACACCAAGTACTGGTTTTGTTGCTGAAATTGGTGCCGCCTCAACCGTATTGTTAGCATCGAAAATTGGCCTACCAGTTTCAACTACACATTGTCAAGTTGGTTCGGTTGTATTTGTTGGTAAAGCAATGAATAGCCAAAAAGGTGTTAATTGGAAATTATTCATCAATATTGCAATATCATGGGCATTAACAGTTCCATTAAGTGCATTATTTGCTGCAGCTGCAATGTGGATACTTATGTTTACAGTATAAAACAATTCATTCATTCATTCACCATAATGATGACAAATTCCATAATGTCATAACGTCATTCATTTCAAATTTTTTTTGAATTTGTGCTCGTCATGATTATCATCATCTTATACCATATTGCATCGGTTTTTTTTTGTTTTGTTTACACATGCATGAATAATCAACACGTGCATTAGTTTTAATCAATTAAACAAACACACACACACATACACAAAAATGTCAACAACTGCTCCCCCCCCACAAAAAAATGACATCATTTTCTACATTTTTTTTCTACATTGATCATGAATCATCATCATCATTTTTAGAATCCTTAAAGACTATATATATTTTTTGAAAATACCAAATACATACACTCTCATACACAAACAAAATGATAACGAATCATTTACTTAATTTTTTTCTAAAAAAAAAAACTTTTTGATTATCGATTATTGATTATTTTATTATTTAAATTTTAAAAAAAAAAAATTTCAATTCACACGTTATTTCTATGTCTCTCTCTCTCTGTGTGTGTGTGTGATAATTTAAAATTTTCTAAATTAAATTACTGTATATATATAGAAAATCTATTTTTGTTGTACGAATGAATTTTTGATTTTTTGAATAATTACGAAATGTCATGTCATATGTCCACCTCCCACCGCTCTACCAAACACCCACCCACCCACCATCTACCTCTATTGATCTCTGTGATGTTTTTTTTTTTTTGATAAAATCAATAATCAATAAACGTTTTTTTTTTCACATTAGTTTTATTTTCATTTTCTATTCAATATTTTTTTTTTTTTTTTAAACAAAAATAAAATAAGAAAATTTTCAACAATTTTTTTTTTGTCATCGTTTCTGCACTGGACGATATTTAAAACTTGAATTCAATGAACGTCTTTCCCATAGATTACGACGGCTTGCAAATGACATTAATGCTAAACGTTTTTCATCATCATCATCATTGTCATCATTATTGTTATCAAGATGGTTACCATTATTGCCATTGCCATGATGATGATGATGACATTGATGATTTTGTTTTTGATTTTTTTTATTATTTATAATTTCATTCCATGCTCTTTTCTTTTTCGATACCGTTAATGATGATGACGACGATGATGTTGATGTTGATGATGATGATATCTCTTTGGATTGTTGTTGTTGTTCCAAATTATTCTCTTCATTCGATTTGTTTGTTGTCGCGTTTTTCTTTGTAGCCACCATTGATGATAATGTTCGAATACTGGATAATCGTTTCGAACGTCTTGGATTTGCTGTTGCTGTTGCTGTCGCTGTAGTGGCCATTTCTTTCGATTGCCTATTTTTTTTATTCCGTTTTACAACGGTCAATTTCGATGATTTTGGTGGCGATGATTTCGGTGTCGGTGGTGATAATGTTAATGTTGATGTTGATGGCGATGGCGACGGTGACGGTGACGGTGATGACAAATCGTCAACCGTTATGATCGGTGATGGTAATTGTTGTTGTTGTTGTTGTTGTTGCTGATGATGATGATGATGATTATTATTATCAATCATCATCATTTCAGCCATCAATCTTCTATCATAATCGTAAGTAAAATTTGTTGTTGCTAAATCAGCCAATGCATCACGATAAAGTAGATCGATATATAAATCAATCTGACGTTGATCAATATAATCAATTTGATTCAATTTTAATTGATCAACATTCATTGATGAATGATGATTTAAAATTTTTACCTCCAATCGATCAATAATGGTACGAATTTCTTGTAAAAATTCCAATACATGATGATTATTATCGAATCCATGTTTAATGGGCGGCAGATTTGTTGAATAATTCATAATTATAATTAAAATTTCTTTTGCGAGAAAAAAAAATTTAAATCAAATTCATTTCATTTATTCACACATCACCAGAAAAAAAATTGTTTTTATAATGACGTCCAACAACAATGTCATCGGTCAAAAAAAAAAAAAAAAAAAATTTTGGATAACAAAAAAAAAAAATTACCGCCTCACTTTTATTGAAATGCAAAAAAAAAAAAAATTCCATATCCACCCAACCGCCACGGATACGTAGAAATAGAACCTAAGATCACGTGATCGAAATTCGTTGCAAAAAAAACGATCATCTGTTGGACCAAAAAAAAAAAAAAAAATGATGTTTAAACGATGATGGTGATGGTGACGATGATCAATCTTTTTTTTCAATTTTAAATTTCTATATTTCCATCATTGCTCAATATTTTTAACATCTAAAAATTTTATTATACTCAACCCCCATGCACAAATGTTCAAATCATCATTTTTGAGTTCCATTTACTGAAAACATTTCGATTTTTTTTTTGTTCTCTCCACTCATCATTCATCCAATCATCATCATCATCGGGTTTCTTGGTCATTTTTTTTGCCCCTGTGCCTTGATCTCGATAATTTGTTGCTTCAAAAAAAAAAAAAAAAATTATCTCCTTCCAATACGACAACAACAATAATACAACATTTCATCATCGTTTTAATGATGCGCAGTTCAATATTTTCATACACATTCATCATATGCAAATTGTCTTTAAAAAAATTTATTGAATCATTGATCAACAACTACAACAATGATGATGATGATGATGCAAAAAAATACACGTCGTACACAACGTTTTAATAATAATAATGTATTACAATTTCAACCGGAAATTATACGTGCCATAATTGGTCATGATTCGATTCGTGTACGGGAATTACTTCAAATGAAGAATAATAATGATCATCATCATGATATGAACACATGGATCGATTGTGGCTGTCGTACACCATTACATTTGGCCGCTGCTTTAGGCCGTGATGAATCGTTACGTGTATTACTTGAATCTGATTATTATACGATAAATTGTCGTGATAATAATCTGGTTACACCATTACATCGTGCATGTCGTAATAATCATATTGAATGTGTACGTTTATTGATTGAACATAATGCCGATATTAATGCACGAACATTGACACATTTAACACCATTACATGTTTGTGCACAAATGGGTTCATTGGATTGTGCACGTTTATTAATCGATCATGTCAACAATATTGATGCAACCGATTCGATTGGTGCTACTGCATTACATTATGCTGTTTATAGTAAAAATTTACCACTAATCGAATTATTATTGGAACATGGTGCCAAAGTTGATGTACAGGATAAATATGGTCTTCGTCCTATACATTATTCAGCAATGGTCGATAATAAATTGGCCGTTATACAGCTATTAATTGAACATGGACAGACCGATGTTAATGTCCGAAGTAAATCATTATTGACACCATTACATATAGCCATTGTGGAAAAAAATCTGGATGTTTATAATGCATTATTAAATTTTGGTGCCGATATGGATGTAAAAGATTTGTATGGTAATACAATCGCTCATTGGGCTGCATATGTTGGTTATTTGCCCATTTTTGAATCAATCATTCAACATAAAGCCAATTTGATTGATATACCAAATCTTAACGGTGTTTGGCCATTACATTATCTTTGTATGATTCGATTTCCTAATCTAAATGTTTATCCTATTGTTGAACAAATTATTTATCATTATAAAAATAATGATGATGATGATGATAACGATGATGATGATGATGATGATGATCAACATTCAAATTCAAATAATTTGGCCAAACATTTAAATGTTGTGGACAAATTCAATTGTACACCATTACATTATGTTGGCTGTAATGATATGGAAATGGTCATATCAACATTAATCATTATGGGTGCCGATTGTAATGCCTGTGATTATCGATTAGAAACACCAATTCATAAAGCTGTTCAACATGTTAAATTAGAAAAACTGAAAATATTACGAAAACATGGTGCCAATATTAACATGACCAATAAAGATGGCCACACTGTTTTACATATGGCTGCATATTCAATGTTATCATTATTTTGTAAATTTTTAACAACCATCGATAATGATGATGAATTTGGTAGTGGTGATGTTATTTGCGATACAAAATCAATGGATAAATATGGTCGTACAGCACATTATATGGCCGCTTATAGTGGCAGTATGGATTGTCTTTATGAACTTGTTGCTTCCGTTACGATGACTAACGAAGATGATGATGATGATGATGATATTATATTGTTTCCACCTGTTGATGCATATAAACGTTCATTATTACATTATGCTTGTGCAAATAATTTTGTTGGCATCGAATTTATACGTTTATTATTACTTAAAGAAGATGAATTTGATCTATTATTTGATTCATTACCAACAAAATTATGTTCAACATTGAGACAATCATTCTCTCGATTCGATATTAATCAACAAGATATATATGGACGTACACCATTACATTATTTATGTAGACAACATGAATCGAATATAACCGATATTGTTCAATTATTCATTGAATCTGGTGCCGATATTTCTATTGTTGATGATCAATATTGTTTACCATTTCATTATGCCGTTGCAAATGGTTATTCATTGGCATTAAAATATTTGATCAATATAAATTGGTTATCAGATAAAGAAATTTATAGAAAATTATCCAATTCATTTATCTGTCCATTACGTTTGGCTGTATATTATGGCCATTCAAATGTATTGAAAGAATTAATTCAATTTGGTTTCAATGATTGTGATCAAGCATTCGAAATGGCCATACGTCGTTCACAATTGGATTGTGCACGATATCTATATGAATTATGTCGTAATTCGGAAACATTTATACGAATGTCATTGTTTGCCGCTGCTACTGGTGATCGTAAATCATTATGTTTATTATTCAATATAGTTGATAGAATATTGCCAAAAGAACGATTATTAATGCTTTCATCATTAAGTCCAAATGGTCATTCGGTAGTGAATTTTTTATTATATAAAAATGTGGACATTAATCTACGCGATAAGAGACAACGTAATGCACTATTCTATGCTGTAATCGGTGCAAATCATCATACAATACAATTATTATTGAAATCAGGCATACAATTTGTAAATGATGATCGTGGTCATAATGTATTTCATCTATGTGCACAACGTGGTGATTTACAGACATTTATTTTGTTGTGTAATTTTTTTCATAAATCAAATCATAGATATCTACAACATTTATTAACAACAAAAGATTGTAATGGTTTTACTGCCATCCAGATTGCATGTTTTGAATGTCATCAAAATATTCTTGAATATTATCTAAATCTAAATCTAAATCAATCATCATATGTATCATTAATGTTTTTTGCTGGGTATGTTGTTGTTTTTTTTCTGTTTAATCGATTGATTGAATTTTTTTTTCTCTTTCTGCAAATTAGATTCTGTCACAATTTGGAATTTATCCAATATATCCAACAGAAACACGGTGCAAATGTTTTGATTGATTCACGTGGACCATTTGATAGGTAATGTGGTAGCTGGTTTCATGGTGTTATGTATAATCAAATTTTTTTTTCGTTCTTTAACTACTATAGAACATTGTTACATTATTGTTGTATGTCCAATATTCCGATTGAAGATTTTTATTTAATCAAATTATTGATGATTGAATTGAAAATGGACATTAATCAACCGGATCAAAAAGGTCTAACACCATTATTGTATGCTTCATATTCGGGCAATTATTGTATTGTACGTTATATTCTGGCTAATTGTGCTGAAGCCAACATAATGGCCGTTGATAATGAAATGAACAATATTCTTCATTTGGCCTGTTTATCACGATCCAAATTGACTGGAATGATTTTAATTGAACATGCAAAACAATGTGGAAAAATTGAAAAATTGATAAATGGCAAAAATCACCATGAACAAATACCATTACATTTGGCAGCGAAAAAATTGATGCCAACGTTGATTAAAGAACTGTTATTTTGTGGTTCACCATGGGATTGTTATGATTCATTCGGCTATTCACCAAGTCTTTATTGTACGCCAACACGTTTATCGGCAATTTGTTTATCAATTGTTGAAACATTTATGGTGCAAATAGATGATGATGATGATACATCAGTTTTGGATACAACACAACAACAACAACAACAAACATCTGAAAATATTTCAAACAACAACAGCAATAATACAATCAATGATGAATCATCATCATCAATAATAATGGTGAATAATTCCATTGTAATCAATAGTAAACATGTACAATGTCAACAAAAATCACGTCAATCATTACCACCGATGGAACGTATAAAAAGTTATGAAAAATTAATCTGTGATAAAATTTCAAGATTATCATTACCTGCTGCTGCTCAACAACATCAGCCACATTCCAATCATAATCATAATCATCATAAACAGAATCATACAATAGCCAACGATAACGATGACGATGATGATGATTCAGATACCTATTGAGAATTGAATTTAAAACTTTTGCCTTTTTATATTTATTTTTTTCTCCTTCTGCTTATGAAATGAATTTTTGAACAAAAAACAAACAAAATCAAATAATATTTTTTTTATATACTTTATTTACCTAGTCTAACAAGAATAATAATAATAAAAAAAAGAATTTTTTCCAAACTATTGAATTGACTGATTGTTGTTGAGATTGATTTTTTTTTGTTCAGTGTTTCGAAACCATTCTTGATTTAACATTCATTGATTTCATTGTTTTCACCAATGATTCATTACTTTGACTTTTGATTGAATATTCTGGTGATGATGATGATGATGATGATAATTGTTCAAGATTGGCTGATTTGATTCGTTCTTGTGTTGTTGTTGTTGGTGGTGGTTGATGGAACAATACAACAGAATACACGACCAAATAAATCGAATACTTCGAACAGGGCAAGAAATGAAAATCCCATATAAACACCTAGTATACCACCGATTGCTCCCAATAATGTTGTAACGGTATATTTTGGATATTGTGTAATTTCCTGATAACTTAATGATTGAAAATAGATTACCACTTTGGCCATATTGTTTTTATCCAATTTCATTTCTGCATCTTCATCATTCGAATCATCATCCTTATCGATCACTATTTCGACTGCTTTGTTGTTGTTGTTGTTGTTGCTGTCGCTGTTGCTATTGTCATTTGGATTATTTTTATTACCAAAATTTGCCGTTGTCAATATCGAACATTGTTGTAATTCTTGTCCGGTTGAAACAAATTTTTCAAACGATAATTCCGTACATCTTGGTGGACAATCACAATTTATCGTTTCATTATAATACATCTGATGTATTTCTTCTGTACAGCGTTCATCTTCTTTTTGTTTACGATTATTACATTGTGGTACATCTTGTTTAGGTGGTGGTGATGATGGTAACCAACAACCACAATAAATTATCGTAAAACGTTGCAAACATAATTTCAAACAGATTTGTGTGGAATATGCATCATAATTTAATTCTCTTGCCCATTTTTCTAGGCCAAGATCACGCCATACATTGGAACATTTATCTGGATATGGATGTGGTAATCGTGTTATATTCACCATACGTACACCAATATATGTAACAAGACCTGGCGCTACGTGTACAGAATCTTGATCTGGATCAGCTCTTGCTGTACTATCATGTATGACAATTTTAGCACCAGATTCCCGCGATGTTGGCATATATTGTTCGGTTTCCAAATTCAATACAATTTCTAGACCAAATTTTGGTCCAGTAAAACCGGAAAGTGAATCCTGTACTTTAAAATGATCAATATGAAGATTATACGTGTAACAATTACCATAAGAATTGTAGAAAAAATGGCTAAAATCTTTTAATGGGCTACAAGTACGGCCAGCAAAAATACATTGTTTAATCAGATCCGTTCCATGATGGCCAATAAGTTTCGCTTCTTCGGGACGATTTTTAGCCAAATCAGCTAACCAAGATGAAAGTAAATCCAGCAGAAAAAACCACGGTGTTTCTCCTTTTTTCACACTAGATTTCAACGTTTCTAACCATGGTGTTGTACAATTATTCAATGATTTAACAATCTTTTGTGATGTATCATGAAATAACCGTATAAGTCGTGGTGTTTTGAATAGACATTCACGATTCATGAATGTTTTCGTTAATTTTTTCAACGTTAAACGAATATTATCCGGAAGTATATCGCCAACATCACTACTACCTAGTCGACAGCCAGTTGTATCGGTGAATGCTTTCATAAACAACATCGGTATAATATCCAGACTATTCGATACGTTGAAACCAAGAAAATTAGCCAACTGTGTCAATGTTTCATCCAATGGTCCACCTGATCCATCTGCCATTGATTTTACCGATTCTTGAAAATCATTATAAATATCAATAATACTGGAACCTTTTTGGCCATCACCACGTACGGCATTACCAACTTCTCGTACTGTTTTCAATATATCCTGTAATTTTAATTGTCGTTTTCCACGTCTTCCCGGTCCACGGCGATTGGTATTCGAACCACCTGGTTCTGATGAAGTTTTTTTCAATCCACAAATACTTTCACCTTGATCCATTAGATCTTCCATCATCTATGTGATAAGAAAAATTTCAACTACAACAACAACAACAAAAATAATCAAAAAACTTACATTTGAAATTTTACATTGATTCAACATATCACCAATTTTTGCACACAGAATATTTTCAATAATTTCTGGTTTTTCAACATTTTTTGCTGCACAAAATCTTGATCGATGCACCAGATTTAGATTGCAAATAGTTATGGCTGGAAATGGCAATACACGAGAATCAGCAATACGAACATTAACCGTAACCGGATATTGTACATAATCTTTAATCAAATCAATCAAATCACGTACAGTCAATGTGATGAATATGAGTACGACACCTATCCAAAATGATTTCCGTATACCAGTAGAGCTGAATATACGAGTGAAACCCGGAACACCGGAATCGGCACCCAAAGTTGTTAATCGTGTACCCATGATTGATGGCGATGGAATGAAATGAATTATTGAATATCAGAAATCATCAAATCAGAATATTATTGCAACTACCAGAACAAAACGAAAAAAATCCACTAGAATTGATTCAATCAATCAACAATTTTTCTGGGCCGAAAATCAACCGCCCACTATCCACAAAAAAGGTAATCAAATTGATTGATTTGAAATCGAAATGAAAATCGGTCGTTTTTGTTTTGGCCAAAAAAACCAATCCAATTGATTAACCTACAACCACTACATACATTCATCATCCAAAACAAATCAAAAGATCAAAAATTTTATTTCTTAAAAATTATACAGAGAAAAATTTTTTATTTTAATTTTAATTTTTCAACTCTCTCGCACATTGTCTATCACACTTTTTGTTTGTTTATGTTTTGTTGTTGTGTTGTTGTTTGTGAATGAATGTGATTCCAAATGGATAAATTTCAAGAATCAAATTCATTGATTATATTGGATATAACGATGATGATATAATGATGAACACACACACACACACACTCCCACTCCATAAACATGTAAACACCCACTCAAAATGTGAATTTAGTTTGTTGTTTCAATGTTATTTTGGCAATATTTTTGTTTGTGTTTGTCTGTGTGTGTTGATGATGTATTTAACAACAAGATTGTAGGTAGTAGGAGTTTTCTGGGTGGTGGTGGTGGTAATGGAATCTCACATATGTAGAATTTGAGTAAGAAAAAAAATTTGTCATTTTTTTGTTGTTGTTTAACATCGAAATTTTTCATTCCGATCGATTTCCATTTATACAATTTATATAAATCAAGTGATGATTGATCACAATAATCGGTTGATTTCCATAATGAATGAATGATGATGATGATGATGAAAAAAAGGAGAAAAATTCATAATTCGAGCAGACAAAATTCATCATTCGATTTTTTTTGGTTCATCATCATTGGGCTATACCTTTCTGGTTGTTTCTGTTCTGGCATTTTTTTCTCCACCAATTTCATCCACGTTCAGCTGTAATTGCTGCTGCTGCTGTTTCTAGAAAAACGATAAAATTGGTCAATAATCATCAAATTAAAAACAATAAAAACTAACCTAATTATTTATCATCATCATCGTCATCATCATGTGTATTTTATAATTCGGTTGTTGTTGTTGTTGTTTTCATTTCATTTGAAAAATGAGTATCTGTTCTTATGTGTATATAGGGAGAGTATGTTTGAATTGTTAGTTTTTTGATGTTGTTGATGTTGATGATTGATTGATGTAAATGTGTGTTTGTAGGTTGTTTTCAATTGTTGTGTGTGTGTGTGTGTATTTGATTGGACTGATGGATTCAACTCTCATACAACTCTCTTTCACACGCAGACACATACACACATTTTATCATGAATTCTTGATGAAAAAAAAATTTAATGAATCGCTTGATGATGATAATCACTCTCTCTCTCTCTCTCTCTCTCTCTCTCTCACACACACACACACACTCATATTTCATACCCTCACACACACTCATTCTATTATTATAATTATGAATTTTTTTTGTGCAAACTAATTATTTTTTTCGAGATAATTTAGTTAGATCATTAGAATTTAGACAAAAAAAATTCTAACATGGCCACCACAAAACACACACATGAGTTACAATGACGACAACAAACGCACATGTTTTTAAGTGAAGAGAATTTTCGTTTTTTTTCAATAATTTAATGATTAAATGGTGAATCCTTTTGTTGTTGTTGTTGTTGCTGCTGCAGCTCTTGTTGTCGGGCAGCATCTTGCCAGCCAAATGCTGCTTCAATTTGATCTTCATACGATAGACCGAATTGATATTCATCACCTTCCATAGATGGTTGTATTGGTGCAGCGATTTCATCATCGGCGCCAAAATATTTTTCAATAATTTCATAGACTTTTTGATAAATTTCAACATTTTCATGTGATTGTAAAAATTCAATTTTATCAAGACCACCACATTGTTCGATAGTCATGGCAACAGGATTATTACCAAGAGAATTATCTTTAACAGTTTCACCAGCTTTTAACATATTTTCAATACCATTCAATGCTACCGTTACCATTCTAGAATCGTGAACATCTAAAAATTCACAAAGAGCCCGTACACCACCGGCTTCAAATATGTAAAGAATCTGTTCAGTAGAACCACCTGTAGTTGCATTTGTAATTGCCCATACAACTTCTTTTCGTACTTTATAATCACGATGTTTCAACAATTCACACAAAGCAGGTATTATATTGGCATTGATTACGGCTTGAATCTGTTCTTGATTACCGGCGGTTATATTCGATATGGTCCAACATGCTTCTTTAACGATTGTATCTTTTTGATTAGATAATAGTTGAAACAATGCCGGTAATGCATTGGCATTAATTATAACTTGTGTTTGTGCATCATAGCCAGTAACAATATTACCGACAACGCGTAATGCAGCTGCAATAATATTCGATGATGTATTGGATAATAATTCAACCACTCGACGACAAACACCAGAATCGATAACAGTTTGAATCTTTTCATTAGGACCATCAGTTAAAAATGATAATGTCCAACATGCATCAGCTAGTACATCGGAATCGGCATTGAATATCAATCGTGCTAATACAGGTATACATTGTTTGACAACACTAAATTCTGGATGTGGATTTTTACCACGACATAGATTCGATAATGTCCATGTAGCATTACGCATGGTTGACATACGAAGATTATCGCTGAATAAACTATCAAATCAAACAAATTCAATTAGTAATTAATCAAAAAAAAAATCCATTAACTTACTTAAGTAACGGTGGCATGATGTTATGACCAAGAACAAGATCACGGCAACGTGATGAATCACCAGCAATATTGCCCAATGCCCATACAGCTTGTTCAACAACATCTTCATGAATTGATGATATCAATCGAATCAATACGGGTACAGCACCAGCTTCAACAACACAATTAGTCTGTTCAGAATTACCAGATGCAATATTGGTCAATGCCCAAGCTGCTTCGAATTGTAGAACTGGTGATTCGTTTTCTAAAAAATGAACAAATCGTGGCACTATACCGGTTTTAATAACCTCTTCAATTGGTGGATTAGGTTCTTTCGATAATATTTTACGGAATTTTTGTGTAGCATCAAGATTCTTTTCCAGATCATCAACAGATACATTTCTAACCATATCATCAGTAATACCGGTATCATTGCCATCCAATGTTACAGATTGATCGACAATATTTCGTCGTTTAGATAATTCTGTTTCACGTTTTTGTTTACGTAATTGAATACCTTCTTCTTCACGACGACGGCGAAGTTCTTGAGCATCGGAACCAACATTTTTATATTTACGATGTCCAGATGATGACATTTTTGGCAATGTTGATATTGTTGTCGATGATAATGATGATGATGATGATGAACCGTTAATTATTTGATCGCTATTATTTATATTTGGAAGTCCAGAAATGGCCGGTGATGCTGATCGATTATTATTTCGCAGATTATAAACCTGGTAAAAAACAAACAAACAAACAAAAAAGTCAAACAATTTTTTTCCGAATGAAAGAATAAAATTCTTCAAGTAAAACGACTTTAAGAATGGAAAAAAAAATTCCTGAATCAGAATTAAATTATGGGAGAGAGAGAGCGAAAAAAATTCGACAAAATAAAAAATTAAATTTCAAAAAAAAAAAAAACGACAGCAAACAAAAAAAAGCGTGCTTGATTGATTGGTTGGTGTGAAATTCAGATGAATATCATCAAACTGGGGATATAAAGAAATTTTCTCACTCACAAAAATTTGGTTCAATTTTTCTTGTTGCTCAGGATGTTTTTTTTTCTACTGCTGTTATTATTGTTGTTGTTTTTTGATTATCGAAGATGATAAATTTTGGCTTTAATCGAATTTTTTTTTAATCGGCAAATCACCATACACACACACACACACAACGTACATTAAATCTATATACAATGTTAAAATGATATATACAAAACAAAACAAAAACAAAAAATATTTTTCTATTCTTCAAAATTTATAGTAATCATCATTGATGATGATATGATCATCCAAATACTTACCACCACTTTTATAAATGAGATGAGGATCAAATGAAATGAAATGAAAAAAAGAAAAGAAAAGAAAAGAAAAAATTTATTACAACGACAAAATGATGGAAAAAAAACCGACATTTGATGAGAATGAAAAAAACCCCACACACACACACACACACACACACGTTGGTTTCAATATTGTAGTAATAGTAGTAGTAGTAGTAGTAGTGGCACAGCACATACAACGAATCTATGAACGGAATTTGAGAGAGCGAATTCGACGAATGAAATGTGAAATGTGAAATGAGAGAGAAACAACAACAACAACAACAACAACAAAACAGTAACATTCAATTTGTTTTGACCGTTCATAAATGACATGTTAAATTTGAATTTTTTTTATTTTTAAATCAACAATTTATTCATGTCACTTACTTTTTTCATTTTGAAGAATAATAAAAGAAATTCGGATTCGGATTTATTTTGCTGCTGATGATGATGATGATGAACAATTGATTTGTTGCTTTGTATTTGAAATTTTAAATGATGATATGACTGAAGAGAACATGAATGATCAACAACAAGAAAAATTTTTTTCGTTTTTATTCATTCGAGAAATAAAATAAAAAAAATTTGACATCAATTAAATGGTGAAAGATTCAAGTTTGAAATAAATTGAAAAGTAAATTAAAATTTTTGTATTCATAGTCAAATTTTCATACTCCTACTACTTACTACTATTTATCTATTTATCATCATCATCACAATTATTATTGACTAGTTTTGAAAAATGACTTTGACCATCATAAAGTAATGATAGTGGCGATCCATCTTCAATAATTTTACCATCATCCAATACCCAGATACGATTACAATCCATGATTGTATTTAAACGATGTGCAATGATCAACATTGTACAATGGGCAAATCTTTCACGTAATGTTTGCCTTATTTGATGATCTGTTTGTAGATCAATATGTGCAAATGCTTCATCCATAATAATTAACTTTGAATTCATTCTGGTGGATGTTTTTCGATGTTGTAATAAAATTCTTGCCAAACAAAGTAATTGTTTTTGTCCAACACTTATTGTTTTACCATCGATTAGTGGTTGATCTATACCGTATTCAAATGATCGTATTAAACTTCCAAGACCAACTAGATCTAATACTTGCCATAGATCATGATCATCATAATGATTTTGTTGATTATCGGTAAATAAAAGATGAAGATTTTCACGTATTGTTCCATCGAATAAAACTGGACATTGTGGTATAATACTTATGAATTGTCGACGTAATTCGAATGTAGATATATCACGAATACAATGTCCATTTATTCGAATTTGTCCATCAAAACAAACTAATCGTAATAAAGTATTGATCAATGTTGATTTACCGGCACCACTACGGCCACATATTCCAATTTTTTCTCCATGTTCAACATGAACATTTATATTTGTCAATGCACGAGTTTTTGGCAAATCAGTATCATAATAGGCAGACATTTGTTTGATTTCAATAGCCAATTTTGATGATATTTTCTCGTTTGCTTCAAGTTTGATCGAATCATTCATATGTTCACGTTTTAAGTGATCGAAAATCAATAAATTTCGATAAGAATTAATGCAAAAATCTGAATCGATTGCACGTTTACATGCCCATTGTGCAATACCGATTAGATTGAACATTGAAGCTAAACATACACCGATCAATTGTTGATTATATGGAAACAATTGTAATGCCAACAAAACAAATGTTATGTAAAACAATGAGATTAGATCGACCAATAAACAGAATATTCGACTGGAAACATTTTGTCCAAACAATTCGGCCGTATGACCATTAATAAGCTGATGGAATCGTTGTTGAAAATGATCAATTACACGATAAGCACGAACAGTTGTCACACCATTAATTGTGGATGTAAGATGTGAAAATACAGCATTCCTAGCTGGTAGTGAAAAAAAAATTAACATCAGAAAACAGATGAAAAACACCATATTGATTTGTAATTAAACTTACCATTTAATTCAGATTGTCGAACCCGATGAAATGGACGAACATAATGTTCGAGAAGTGTGATCAACATTATCGTATAGATCAAAGTGATCAAAGCCATATATGGACTTAGAAATAGAATAACAAAAATAATGGCCAATACTTGTGATGAAGCCAAATTCAATTCAAATAATGTTGCTGGCAATGTTTCATCCAATATACCAATATCACGTGAGAAATAATTTAAAATTTTGCTATCAAAATCGCCATTATTGGCCGTTGTATTGACAATATTATCCACTAATTGATTATGGAATATTTCCGATGCTTGATGACATAATTTATAAAATGAAAATGATCGAACAATAGCTAAAATGATACCGATCAATATTATAGCCGTATAAATTTGAATAAAATTTTCGATATTCACTTTTTGTGATTGCCATTGTGAAAGCCATTGATCACATACATAAAGCATTGATTGTGTTCCAATTGAAGTAGCCAATACCAGATAAATTGATCCAAAATCAAATGATCCACGTTGAAGATATTGCCACATATCATACCAAAGATTAAGGCCAACTGTTGATTTAATCTTAGAATCTGAATCAGCTGATTGATCGGATATTTTCATTCGTTTGTAAGAATGTTTTTCTTCTGATTGTTGATGTTCATCTAAAATTCGATCATTTTCAATAAAAGGTGGAAGTGGTTCAAGTAAAGGTTTTCGATAAAATTCTGTTTGTTTCTGATCTGAATTCAATAAAAGTACACGAATATTATTGTTACCATGATGATCATATGCAAAATGTAATTGATGTGTAGCCATAATGACAATTTTATCACGTAAATATTGTTTAATACATTGATCAAATATACGTTTAGCTAGACGAGAATCTAATGAACTGAATGGATCATCCAATAGATAAATATCTGCATCACTGTACAAAGCACGTGCCAATGTGATACGTGATCGTTGACCACCACTAAGATTACCGCCACCTTCATCGATAATGGTTTGATCACCCAAAGGCATCTGTTCAAGATCATAATCTAAACAGGTAAGTTGAAGAATTCGATAAAATCTATCCGAATCATATGGATGGCCAAATAAAATATTCTCACGAATTGTTGCATTAAAACAGAATGCTTCCTGTTCAGTATAGGCGATTGATCCACGTACGATGAAATGATTCGATTTTCGAGCAATTAATTCTCCAAGTAATGTAAACAGCAATGTACTCTATAAAGAGATAATCAGACGTTATCATGAGTCAAAAACTCAAAAAAACGGTTTACCTTTCCACTGCCCACCGGTCCAATGATGATCATAATTTGTCCACGTTCAATTTTAAATTCAATGTTTTTTAAATCAAAATTACAATTATCACGTCTTATCGAAAGGCTTAATTCATCCACATGAACCAATGGTTTGTTGTTGTGATCTAATGATCGAATATTTTCATTTCGAACATTTGGTTCATCAAGAAATCGATCCATTTGTTTACATGCAATAATCATATCAATTGATGATGATATTGCTTGTGGTAATGTCCATATCAATGAAAAACGTAATCGTTCAAATAAAGTGATTGAAACCAGTAATGTTTCAATGGAAAATTGTTCCTGAATATCGGCAACATTGAACATGATCAATGATAATAAGAATGTCAAATACATGATAACTCGACTTGACATCAATGAAAACGAAAGCATTATTGAACGTGCCACTAATGGCCAATGAATATGTAGGATTTCCATACGTCTTGCTAGAAATATTCGTCGTATGAATGGCTGTTCAAGTGCTAAAATTTTTAACGTTCGTAAATGGCTAAATGTTTCATTCAAAAATTTTAACCGTTGATCAGTGAAAGCAATTGCTGCTGAACGTTGTTTAGAAAATCGTCGACTTAGATAAGAATTGAATAGTGAAAAACCAATAAACATAGTGAATGCAATCAAACTTGATGGGCCAAGATAACCATATGCAATGATCAATATGACAATTGTTTGCAAAGGTACTAGAATTAGATGATAAAATAGCAGAAAAAATTCATCAAATCTTCGTGTTTGTGCGGTCAATAAGTTAAGAATTCCAGATATATTTCGATGATAATCAGATTCACAGGAAAGATGTAAACATTTGTTGAATATCAATGATGACCATACAATTTTTGTTCGCATTGAAAGTCGTAAAGCTAACAACATTGCTGGATGATGACAAAGAATCAATGCTAAACTTGTAATCAATAAACTAATAATCATCCATATTGGATTTGTTGATGATGTATTCGATGATGATGATGATGATGATGAAAAATATCTGATAATCCATCCAATCAATATTGGCTGTATTGATTTGATTATACAATCCTGTATAAAGAACAATATGAACGGTAGTCTAATTTCATGACCAAATGTTCGTAACAAAGCCATAAACGTTCGATTATTGTTGTGATGAATTAAAGTCATTTTATGATGTTGTGATTGATGATAATTTCTAGAATGAGAAAAAAAAATTCATCAAAATAATGTGAATATATTCAAATCGAAAACTTACGAATTAAATTCATGGAACAAACGATTAGCTTCATCCTTTTGTGGACATTCATATGATGATGATGATGATGATGATGATGGCGAAGATTTACTAGATGTGGATGATGAATAAAATTGAAATATCCATCTATAAATGAAAAAAAATTGGATCAAAATTAATCAAACAACAAAAAACGATCGATACCAACCTCGAAAACAATCGATGGTATAAATGTGATTCGGCCATTTCCGTTCAATACAAAATTTGCGAATCACACAAAAAATTAAAATTCGAACACAACAAAAATTTCGTTTATAAATTGTTATTGTTTGCTAATGAAGTGTTTTCTTTTCTGTGATATCAATCATCAATCAAAATCAAAATCAACAACAAACTCGCCAGCAAAAATATTTACAGGTCAACAGGTGATGTCATCGAGCAACACAATGTTATACTAAATAACTGTAAATAAAAAAGTAAGTCGGTGGTAAACAGAAAATTTCATCATCATCATCATCATTTATTGCCTTTAAGAAGAAAAAAAAAGAGACTGGTTATATTTTTATTGGTTGAATGACTTTAAAAAGCTGATATAGTAGATGACAATGATGACGATGAATTAGAAAAACAACAACAACAACAACAAAACGGTATAGTAGCCAAATATAATGATGGAAAACCAGTTTTGTTGTTGTTGTTGTTGTTGTTTAGACAATAACCACAATGGAAAAATTTCCGTTGTTTTCACAACTAAAAAAAAATCAATCCAAGTTGGTTTTTTTTTTTATTATTGTCTGTATGATAATATAAATTTTATTTATTGGAAAATTTAGAAACTAAAAAAAAAAAAACTTTGAAACTACATGAAACACACCCATGTAGAATGAATGTCAAAAAATAATTTATCCAATGTTCATACATAGTAGTTATTTATATATTGGCTGTAATTAACAATAATTAGCAATTATCAATTCAAAATCATGTAGTTTTCAATGTCCAAAAAAAAAAATTTTTTTTTTTTTTTGAATAAATGAATGTGATGGTGCCAGCAACAGATAGGATGTATGGGGAAAAAAAAATATATAATGGTGGTAGAATTGAGATGATAATGATGGAAAAAAAACGTGTGTGAATCAATGGAATTTGTTTGTTGAATAATAAAATATATAAAAATGCCGATTGATTGATGTTATGTATATATTGTCGTTGTCGTTTTGAAATCATCAAGCAAATTTAATCGAATTAACACCCATGTTGATGGGTCCACCACCATAACTACCACGTTTTTTTTTCGTTTTTTCACGACGGAAATCCTTTCCACGTACTGTTGATAATTTAGCCGCAGCCTGTTCACCCCAACGATCGAATCCACGTTTTGAATTGAATGAATTATCACGAAGATCTGGCCGTGCAATTTCCACTTGTTCAACATTTACACGTCGAAATGGTGTATTCGTTTTCTTTTCTGATCCTGTACCATTGTTCATTGTAATAACGGATTTATTGTTCGATTTTAAACCATCACCACCATTTGTTATCGTTGGTTTTAACATCATCATCATCATCACTATCATCGCTTGAATCTGATGAAGAATTGGCCACTTTTTTCTTTTGTTGGGCAGTTAATGTTTTATTTGCCAATACTACAGGTGTTGTTCCATTTGGCTTCGATTTAATCGTTGGTTTAGCATCATCATCAGAACTACTATCATCATCCGAATCAGAAGATTCATTAGCTTTTGATACTGGTTTTAGCGCTGATTTAGTTATTGCTGCCGTTGATTTCGCAATATTCGGTGTTACTTTTGTTGCTGGCTTATCATCATCATCATCAGAGCTATCATCAGAATCTGAAGATGATTCTTGCGCTTTTTTATTCGCTGAAACAATCGGTTGAGATTTAATGATTGGTGTTGATGATTTTGCCGGTGTTTTCTTCGTTGCTGGCTTAACATCATCATCCGAACTGTCATCTGACGAATCATCTGATGAAGAAACTTTTTTTGTTGTCGGTGTACCTTTCACAAATGGTTGTACAGAAATTTTAGCCATCAGATTTGATTTAACAGCAACTGTTTGTTTAGCCAACGCAGGTTTGGCTTCTTCATCTGAATCACTATCATCCGACGACGATGATGAGGAATCTTGTGGTTTTTTAGCCAATGTTTGTTTTTGTCCAATTGAAACGGGGATCTTAACTACTGGAGCTGGTGTTCCCGGTTTTTTAGCAGAAATGGTTGATTTTTCATCATCCGAACTATCATCTGATGAATCCGAAGATGATTCTTTTGGCTTTTTAGCCGGTGTTACTTTTGGTAAGACAGGAGTAGCTTTGACTACTGGATTGACTTTCTTAATTGTTAGTTGACCATCATCTGAACTATCGTCAGATGAATCATCCGATGAGTCCTGCGTCTTTTTAGCCAATTGCGCTTTCGGTGTGGTAACTACGGGTGTTTTTACCAACGGTGTAGATGTTGTGGGTTTTTTGATAGTCGGCTTTGCTGGTTGATCATCATCCGAACTATCAGATGAATCCGAAGAGGATTCTTTTGGCTTTTTAGCCGATTGCGCTTTCGGTGTGGTAACTACTGGTGTTTTTACCAACGGTGCAGATGTGGATTTTTTAATTATCGGCTTTGCTGGTTGATCATCATCTGAACTATCATCAGACGAATCATCCGATGAGTCCTTTTTAGCCGGTGTTACTTTCGGTTTGGCAACTACAGGAGTTTTTACCAACGGTGTAGATGTTGTGGGTTTTTTAATAGTCGGGTTTGCTGGTTGATCATCATCCGAACTATCAGATGAATCCGAAGAGGATTCTTTTGTTTTTAGCCGGTGTTACTTTTGGTGTGGCAACTACAGGAGTTTTTACCAACGGTGCAGATGTGGATTTTTTTGTTGGTTGATCATCATCTGAACTATCGGATGAATCTGAAGATGATTCATTCGGTTTTTTTACAGATGTTGGTTTTGCAATTACCTTCGGTGTGACTGGAGTTTTCATTACATTTTGAATCTCTTCATCAGAACTATCATCGGATGATGATGATTCCGGTTTTTTTGCTTGTGTAATTTTCATTGTTGATTTTTTTGCTGGTGTAGAATTCATTTTAGAAATTTGAGATTGTTTTACCAATGCTGCTGAAGTTGCTAATTTTTTCCGTTGAGGTTCATCATCATCAGAACTATCATCTGATGACGAACTATCCATTGCTTTTGTAGTTTTTTGCATTATTGGTTTTACGACAGGCATCGGTTTCACTGCAGCTGGCCCCTTTTTCAATGGTGGCTTTCCATTTCCATTATCAGCATCATCATCGGAACTGGAATCATCTGAACTCGATTCTTGTGGTCGTGGTCTTTTTGATGATATATTAATTTTCTGTGGTGGCTGTATCGATATTGGTTTTTTAATCGTAGAATTATTTTTTTTACCATCATCATTATCATCATCGCTTGAATCATCCGAACTACTTGAATCTTGGGCCATTTTTGATTTATTATCATTATTATTATTCATATCTTTCTTGTTGATATTCGATGACCAATTGGTATACAATTCTTTCATTGAAGGACATTTAACATTTTTAGATCGATTCAATTTATTCATTGTCCATTTCATTTGACGAAATTCAGGATATAATTTCGAAAGACGTTGTTGATTTTGTATCAAATATTCAATGACAATCGAATCGATTGTCTGCTGTTGTTGTTGTTGTAAATTCATTTTATTGATTAATAGAATTTTAATTATCGAAAAATGACGAATGATGATTTTTTGTTTAAATTAAAAAAAAATCGACACATCAACACGAGTAAAAGCATGCACCACACATTCGAAAGACGAAAGCATGGAAAAATGTGATTCCCGTGATTCGTGATGGCCGAATACTATCGATATAATCGATTAATTATTATTTTTTTATTTTGAAAATTCGAAATTTTTTCTGTCCACCTTTTGGTGGAATAAATTCAAAAAATGTTTGAATCGAATACACATTAAATCATAAAAAAATGTTTGGTTTTGGATTTTCTATCGCCGATTTCAATGCCATTGATTGGACGATATTATTTTTTCTATCATTCATATTGGCCATTATTTATACATTGATCACTGGTTATCTGATTGGTATGAGAAGTTTTCATATATTCCTGAAATGCGTTCTTGTGAATCCAAGATTATTTTTCTTCATTCTAAGACGACCATATTATTTGTTTAATTTTACACTTCAATTTCAGTAAGTTTTCCATGTTTTTTTTCCATATTTAATCGATTTATTCATGCCAGCATCATCCGTAAATTAATGAAAATGTATGTTTTCAATCGACCATCAATGGAACAAATTAAAAAAAATGTCATTGCATTCGAAATCTATAAAGAAACCTTACAAAATGGTCGCCATACAATACTGTTGAATTTGATTGAATTACGATTGATTCAATTGCGTCGTGATTTTGAAAAAAAATATCTTGGCTTCTCTGTTCTGAATCGATATGGACGTGAAAAACGTGTTAAAAAATTAGTCAAAGATATTGTAAATCAATTTGGCCTAGCAGTTGGATGTGGACAACCAGATGATGAACATTTGGCACGTGCAATACGACTAGAATCCAGATTAGAACAGGAAATTGTACGTAAATTAATGATGCCTGGTATTGAAGCTGAATATCTACCAACGGGTTTTAATTGGGGCAGAAAACTATCGATACAAATTTACATGTGGATATTTCGTTCCACACGTAATCGATAAATTCGATTATCGAATAATCCAGAACAGAAGAAACAAAAACCCGATAAAAAAACCAAAATCAAGAAAAAAAAAATATAACGAAAAAAATTCGTGCAAAATGGGATCGACAAAATCGAACGATAAAGAAATTGTCCAAAACGACAACAACATCAACAACAATGATGATGATTATGAAGAAGAAGAAGACGAAGAATCCAGTGATGAATCATTACACGATGAATGGATTGATCCATTATTGGAAATGTATTATAAATATATTGTAAAAAAAGAAAAATCGAAACAAAAATCAAATGATGATAATGGTGGTGGTCAAAATAATACCCAACGATAAAATATGGTCATCATGTGTCTGTATGTTGTGTGTTTATGTTTATTATGGTTATGATGATGATGTGATTTTTTTGTTTTAAAGAAAATAAAATTACAACAGAAAAAAATTGATCTTGTCGTTTGGTTTCTAAATATATTCATATAAATGTGTGTATGTGTGTGTGTGCATGAATGATAAAAATCAATATGTTGATGATGTGCTAATGATAATGATGAAACGAATTTTTTTTTCTCATTGAAAATAATTCTGTTGTTGATCATAATTATCCATTGATGAGAAATCTTCTTGTTGCTGCTGCTGTTGTTGTTGTTGTTGTTCGGCCATCATTTGCTGCATCATACTTGCATATGATATTGGTGGTGGTTCAATAATATGATTATCATTGCTATTATTACTATTATAATCATTATTATCGGCATTATTTTGTGAATAACTATCATTATCATCATCGTCATCATCATTATTGTCACCATCATTATCCACATCATCATCAGCATTATTATTATTATTATTATCAATATCAATCATCATCATCATCATCAGGATCATGATCATTGCCATCATAATCATCTTGTTCATCATCATGACGATCTTCTTTCGTACGTCTCGATGATGATGTTCGATGTCGATCTTTCGATCGGCTACGTGATGATCTACCGGATGACCGATGATGTCTAGATGATGATTTCCGTTTACTATCACGATCACGATCTCTATCGCGGTCTCGATCACGGTGACGATCTCGATCACGTGATGAACCACGACGACGTTCCATTGAACGTGATCTTGAACGATGATGATGATCCATATAACGATCACGTTCACGATCACTTGCATTACGACGTTCCATAGCCGCTGCACGACGTCTACCATAAAGTTCTCGTCGTAATTCTCTTGATATTGGTTTGATGTGCATAAAATTACAGAAACCGCTACGGGTACATTCACTATAGAGAAAATTTTGTCATTTAAAATTTTTAGAAAAAAAAGACAATCTATTTACTCATACCCCATTTCATATTGTCGACAACAAGCTTCACGAAAATCTGTAACCGGTGATAATTCAGCACAGATTGCTCGACCACCAAACCAACGATTATTTAGATCAGATACGGCACGTTCAGCATCTTCTTCGCGACGAAATTTAACATAAACATTGCCAACAAGATGATCACCAAGATTATCGCATACATTCATTTCTTCAATTTCACCATATTTATCTTCAAGTTCAATGAAAACATCTTCGAAAAAATCATCAAAATGTTCTTGTGCTTCTTCATCGCTCATTGTATGTACACGAGTAATCGTGGTTCCTGTTCGTGTGTGTGTGTGTAACAAAACGAATTTATTTGTTGGAATTAAAAATTCAAAAAATCATACTACTCACTTGGCATCTCTTTACCAGATCCTTCTGTCGTCTGTGTTACATTCTGTGGATTCTGGTATAAATTTTGCAATAAAATTGTCTAGAAAAAAAATTCATGGAATTAATCCAGAATTGAGATATGTTGTGTTTCTAACCTGACTAAATGTTGGTTTATTATGAATACGTGAACAACGTTCTCCATGTCGACAGGCACCAATTTTAAAATAAAATGAACAATTTACTCTTTGAAAAAAAAATTTCATCAGTAAATTTCCAATTCAAAACAAACAAAAAAAAAATTCTTACTTGTCTTTTTCAGTACCAAAAATCGATGCTAAATAATCGGCCATTCTCTTTAAATTCTTCGGACGATTGATTTATTATTGATAAAGATTGATTTTGTGGTTCGATAAATTAATTTAAAAAAAAAAAATAGTTCAAATGACCGGCCGGAATTTTCCGAACCCAAACAAAATTTTTTTTTTCGATTCAAAATAACAACAATGTACACACACACTCGTCAACTTTGAATCATGACACAAATTAAAAAAAAACGCGTTGTGAGTGGCATGGACCAACACACACACACACACACAAAAAAGTGCGGCTTTTTTTCCACCCAGATTTTTTTTTTTTTGTCATTGTCAAACTACCACTGCCATAACTGCCACTACCAAAAAATTAGCAGAAATAAAATATGGATAATGAAAAACGAATCAATCGATAGAATCGATTGTGTGAATATATATTCGAATGAATTTGAAAAAAAAAATTTTTTTCTTCTCTCGCCACTTTGTGTGAAATTTTGTTTCTTCTAATTAAAAAAAACAATTGATATGTGAATCAATCAATCAGTTCAACCTAGAAATCAAAACCATAAATATGGTATCGTTTTTCAATGAATCAATGATCTTGTGAAGATATCATCATTTTTTTTTCTTTGTCAATCAAAACTCTTTTTTTTTATTCTTGAAGAAGATTGTATTTCGTGGATGGGAAAAAACCCAAAAGAAAAAAACTGGCTATTGTAGATGACAACAAATAACGTGTGTGGGTGTGTTCGTTCTTGATCTTGGAATCCACATAATTCCTATAATCAAATGCAAAATTAACAATGTCATGGTAGCCAATGAATTTTCCCATATTTGTATTTATTAAATTCATTCAATGGCGTAGGTTGATTTTTTTTTCACTTTCACTCATTTTTTTTTTTTTTCACAATAGCCCTGAAGTTGGTGGTGACGATGATAATTAAAATTTATAACCATTCGCAACAACAACAACAACAACAACAAGAAATCATACAGGAACAACAATTAAAAAAAAAAAACTAAACAACAACGAAAAAATTTTTCAATTCCTTAAAACACTTGGTAATTAATAAATGAACAACAAAACCCACATCAATTAACCATCATCATCATTAATTAAATTTAACTAAACTTGTGATTTTTTTTCTTCTTCTTCTTTGGTCATCATCATCATCATCAATGAGTTAAATTGATTTCAACTTAAAAAAATGAAAACAATGGAAAAATTTGGCCTCAAAATCGTCATCAACAACAACGACAACAAAATCGAATCAAATTGAAAATAATGATGACGAAATTGGTGTTTTTGTTTTATTCAAACAACAATTCTCAATAGACGATTTACGGCCTTGTGTTTTTTTTCATTCATTCATTCATTTAAAAAGTTTTGGTTTGTTAAAATTCAAAAAAAAACTAAAATGTCTCACCATCATCATCATCATTATGAAACAGATGTATTTATTTGATCAGTGAAAAAAAAGAGATAGATAGATCTATCGAAAGAGTGAAAACGACGGAGAGAGAGAGAGACATGGAAAATTGATTGCAACTGTGTTTGTGTTGTGCCATACCATCACCCATTATTATTATCATCATCATCATCATCATAATTGTTGTTATGCAACCCACATGATAAAGTAATTTTCTATTAGAACAGAGAGACACTCCCAGCAACAAGTGTATCTATTTAATCATCATCATTCAGCCAAACTAAACAACCACCAATTGTCATTTTCTATATTGTGGATCGTCATATAACAACAACATTGTATATAAAAACGGATAACGATATTATTATGTTTGTCGTTGTGTTCTTCCGCGCTTATACATTATACATGTGTGTGTGTGTGTGTCTGGATGATTGAAGTCGATGATGATTGTGTGTAAATGTAATATTTTCCTATTTGGTAATGATCATCATCATCGTTGTCGTCGTTGTGTGATTATTTGGTATTGCAAATAAACAGCATTTCAATAACAGTAATCAATCCGTATGGATGAAATATTTTTTTTCCAACCAATACAACTATAGCGGTAAAATTAAAACCCGATTTAACTGTCAGAAACGATACCAGACGACAACGACAGTACAAACTCGCCATTCAAAGAAGCCGAATTAAAATAATTTCAGATTATTGAATTTTTTTCCTGTGTAAACAAACGGAAAAAAATCAACCTAATTTTTTTTTGATAATGAACACCGATGATCTGATATCTTCATTGATTGTATCATCATCATTGTCATCATCAACGAGTGGATTATTTTTTATCCATTCAATGGATTGATAATCAACAAAAAAATCATTATTTTTTTTATTTGGGCCAATCAACACGTTCTCATTATCCAAACAATACAGGTAACCAACCATTATCAAGTATTTATAAATGTGTAATGTTTAAACATTCATTCTCATTGTTGTTGTTGTTTTTTGTGTTTGAAAACTTTCATTATCATTTCATTTCATCATCTTCTGCTGCTGCTCTCTGTGTGTTTTCAATTCAAACAACAAAAAAAAAAAATTTTGAATTCAATATTACCGTCTGTTATTACCATCTTTGGTGGTTTTTTTTCAAAATCAAACGTGTTTGAAATTAATAGCGCGCTAACCAGTTTTTGTTTTATTTTTGTTTCTTTTGTGTTTGTATATGAGTGGACCAAACACACACACACTTTTTAAACATCTAAACATCCCATCATCATCATCATCATCATCGCATTCAATAACAAGTTGTTTCTTTGTGAATAATCTTTGTATATGTGATTTTTTTCTCACATGGTATGAAATCACAATCGATGAGTCATCATCATCATCATCATCTTCATCACCCATATAGCATCCTTTAATTATTCGTTATCATCAATAAGTGAAAAATTATTATTTTCAAATTGGAAAAAAGAAATTTTTCCTTCAATCTGACTTCTGTTTCTGCTCGACTAGTCTATTTTTATTTTATTTTTTTTATTAAAAATCTTAAACGAAAAAAAATGTCACATTTAACTGGACAAGCTGGTGTTGGCGATTGTGTACTATTGGAAAACATAACCAAAGAATCTTTGATAGAAAATCTTAAAATAAGGTAAGAATTTTTTCTTCTCTTTTTTTTACATCCTAAATTATTATATTATCAAGTTTAAGTTGCATCGTTGAAATACTCGATTAATTAATTGTGATTTTCAAACTAAAACTTTGATTAGATTAGGTTTTTTTTCAATCATCATCATCTGAAATGTGTTTGTTGATGACTTGAAAATTTTCTATTTAGTAAGTTTGTTATTGCAAAAACTAAATGATGATAACGGTGATTGTCCTGGATACAAAAATGAAATGCAATTTATCAAATAATTTACCTTTATTTAGATTGATCTCTTTTTTTTGATTTTGAAATTTTCTATCCATTAGTTTTATTGGATTTTTTTGATACAATTTTTCTATTTATAACTTATCACATTGAATTTAATTTTTTGTTTTCATCAGATATCAATCAGGCTATTATTATACATACATTGGTGAAGTTTGTATATCATTAAATCCATATAAAACATTATCAATATATGGCCCTGATAATGTCCGTGAATATCGTGGCCGTGAAATTTTCGAACGTTCACCACATATATTCGCTATTGGTGATGCTGCATATAAAACAATGCGTCAACAGGTACGTGATACCTGTATATTGATATCTGGTGAATCTGGTTCCGGTAAAACAGAAGCATCGAAAATTATAATGCGTTATTTAGCGGCAATCACCAATGTGAATGGACAAGCTGAAATTGAACGTGTTAAAAATATTTTATTGAAATCAAATTGTATTCTAGAAACATTTGGTAATGCTAAAACAATTCGTAATGATAATTCATCAAGATTTGGAAAATATATGGACATTAATTTTGATTTCAAAGGCGATCCATTAGGTGGTCATATTAATAATTATCTATTGGAAAAGGTAAACTAATCTAATATAATCCATCTGTTTGTTTTGTGATTAACCTATTTTTTTCCGTTTTGTTTATTTTTTTTTTTAATTCAAAAATGCTTCAATGAACAAATGAATTTTTCGCAATGTTTTTGTTTTGCTCCCCATCACATTATTATTACTAGTCACGTGTTGTAATGCAACAACCTGGTGAACGTAATTTTCATTCATTTTATCAACTATTATTTGGTTGTAATGAAAAACGTTTAAATGAATTATCGTTACAACGTGATCAACAATTATATAATTATTTACGACAAGGACAAGTATCAAAGCTGACAAATGATAGTGCCAATTATAAACAAGTTGAATCAGCAATGAAAACATTACAATTTAGTAATGATGAAATTTCAACTATTGATTATATATTAGCTGCTATTATACATTTAGGTAATGTCAAATTTGTATTGAATCAATCTGGTGGTGGTGCTAAACAATCATCATCAATGGTATTGATTGATCCAAAAACCAGACAATCTGCACAAAATGTTTCAAAATTATTGGCAATATCAATGGAACAATTGGAAAAAACATTATGTTCAAGAACCATTGCTGCTAATCGTGAAATAATGCGTAAAGATCATACTGTTCAACAAGCAGAAGCTGGTCGTGATGCATTTTCAAAAGCCATCTATGAACGATTATTTAACCAAGTTGTTTCCGGTGTTAATCGTGCATTAATGATTGATCATAATGCAAATCCAAAACAATTCAATCGTCGTAATCAACAGCATTCATCACAATGTGCCGTTATTGGTGTACTAGATATCTATGGTTTTGAAGTACTTGAACAGAATAGTTTTGAACAATTCTGTATTAATTATTGTAATGAACGTTTACAACAATTATTCATTAGTTTAGTATTACGACAAGAACAAGAAGAATATGCACGTGAAGGTATTAATTGGATACAGATTGATTATTTTGATAATGCACCAATTTGTTCATTGATGGATAATCAAAAAACCGGCATGTTCGCTACAATGGATGATTCATGTCTGGCTGTTGGTCGTATTACGGATCCATTATTATTGGAAACAATGGACAATAAATATCGTGATCAACGATATTATGATTCAAGACGTAAATCACCGACAGATAAATCATTGGAACATGATCATCATTTTCGTTTGAAACATTATGCTGGACCAGTTGTTTATGATATTGATGGATTTATCGAGAAAAATCGTGATACATTATTCCAAGATTTTAAACGGCTTTTATATTCCAGCCAGAATAAAGTCATTTCAGGTATGTAGATTTGTCCACATATTTTTTTTGATTATTTATTTATCTTTTTTAAAATTTTAAATATAGAAATGTGGCCCGAAGGTTCGAAAAATATAACTGAAGTAAGCCGAAGACCAGTTACAGCCGGTTATTTATTTAAAACATCAATGAATGATTTGATTGAAAATTTGAAACAAAAAGTTCCATTCTATATTCGTTGTATAAAACCAAATGCCGATAAATCACCATCAAAATTTGATCCAGCCATTATATCACATCAAGTGGAATATCTTGGCCTGGTTGAAAATGTTCGTGTACGTCGTGCTGGTTTTGCACATCGTTCAACATATGAACGTTTCTATCAACGTTATAAAATGATTTCACCATTAACATGGCCAAATTTTCGTGATGGTGATGCTATGCAAGCATGTCAAGCATTGATAAATGATAAACGTTTTACATCGGATGTTGAATATGGTAAAACAAAAATTTTTATTAGATCACCACAAACAGTAGTGGAATTGGAACAACAACGTGAACGTTATATAGGAATGATTATTGTTTTATTACAAAAAAATTGGCGTGGTACATTGGTTCGTATGCGAATACGACGGCTTCGTGCTGCAATGTATATTCTACAAGCATATCGTCGTTATAAACTTCGTCAATATCTTTCTGAATTACATTCATTAGCCATACAAACACGACAATTATATCAGCCAGGTCAACGATCATCATATCAATCGACAAAAATGACCGCAACACAACAACGTTTAGAAATGGAACAAAAAGGTTGGCCTAAAGCACCAAGAGCATTAACCACGGTTATTGATGTTATTCGCCGTATTTATCGCCGATGGAAAGCATGGTTATTATTACGTCGTATACCGTATGAACAATGGCCAGAATTTCGATTGAAAATCATTGCAACAGCAGCATTGTGTGGACGTCGTTTGAATTATGGTTTGGCCGATAAATGGCTTGGTAATTATCTTGGACACAAAGAAACAAATATCAAAGCAAATCAATTTCAAGCAGAAGTACGACAATTTTTACCGAATGAAACGGTTCTATTTTCAAGTCGTGTAATCAAAGCATCATCATCATTTCTACGAAAATGTGTTGATCGTTGGATTGTTGTCACTGAACGTACCATATATCGTATTGATTGGAAAACATCGAAAATTGTTGGACATGCAACACCAATTATGGATGCAACTGGTATTGCCATAACAAAAGGTTTTGATCAATTAGTTGCCGTTAATGTTCGTGGTGGAAATGATTTTGTCGTTGCATTTATTGATTCAAATGATCCATTTATTAGACCAGTAAATCGTATTGGAGAATTTGTTGCAATCATTCTAAAACAATATGCCATATTAACTAAACGTGATTTAATGGTTACCATTAGTGATTCAATACATTGTCGATTAGGTAATAAAGAAAAAGTTTTAATGGTTGAACCAAGTGGTGGACAACATCCAGAACAAGTTTTATTTAAAAGAAATGGAAATCATCTTAGTTTATTGTGGCCATCTTCATTTGGTCAACAACAACAACAACAACAGCAGCAGCAAACACAACGTTCGAATGGTTTGTAAATGACTACAGCCACACAACAACAACAACAACAACGAAAATTCATTGAATTATCGATCAAATTTTGTTTTTTAAAATTTAAATTATTATGATGTTCTTTTTAAATGAATTTATTTTTTTTTAATCAACAAACAAAATAAAGATTTCAAATCATGCCATTATCATGTGAACTTTTGAGTCATTCTTATATATTCATCTGGTATACCATTTTTAATGATAATTTTTGTGGTATTTTCTTCGTTTTCTTCTTCTGCTGATTGATGGTCATTTTCATTACGATTTACACCGACACCAGCAGTACCACCACCACCACCACTATCATCATCACCATCATCATCATCACCGGCATCATCATTTTGATAATAATAATAAAAACCAGCAATAATGAATGCCACTGATATAACGATTGGTAGAAAAACTATGAATGTATATGCAGAATAATGTGATTGTCGTATATGGATATTATCATTGTCATTTTTATTTGGATGTTGTTCACGATAAAATAGCCATTTTTCAAAATGTTTGGAATTTTTTAATGCTATGAAATGAAATGAAAATTATTTCAGTGTTGTGTGGGTGTGTGTTTACTCGTGGTGTATTTACCTTTTAGTATTCGAATTGATGATAGAATCCAATGTTCATGTTTTGATAGATTTGTAAATAATGCCGGTGCAAATTGATGATCCTGTTCACGCATTGTTAATTGATGCGTCATCATACCAATGATGCGATTATTACCATCCAATGATGGACAAATCAATGGTGAACCATGATCACCTTCATATAATGCTAATAATGATGAATGTTCATGGCCAACACAAAATGTTTCTGTTCCGACGATACATTTGATAATGTTTACCACATATTTGACCAGATTGTGGTTCATCATCTGGATTCATTGTTGATACATGAATAGCATGTAATGTGCCTGAAGATTTTCGTGTAATTTCACGTTTTTGTTTTTTACTCAATTGTCGTATTTCTGATTTACTTGGATAACCATATCCAACTATTGAACATTTGGATAAATCCAAACGATTCATCACTTCATTATATTTAATTTTCGGTATAAAATGTGCAAACATTGATATGTTCAAATTATCTGGTATTGGAATATTTAATTTAATAATGGCCAAATCATTCAAATGTAATACATCCATATGTTTATCATGAATGGCAAATATTTCTGGATGATATGAATGACAACCATGTGAATGTATATTATCACAATTCATTAATACACGATATGATTCTATTGTACGTTGTAATTTTATACCATTCGATTCTGTACGTTCTAAACATTGGGCAGCGGTCATCACCAGATCATAACCAATCAAAACACCAGTGCAGAATATCTTTCCAGATTGATAATCTTTTAATGCAGCCATAAATGGCCATCTATGTGTAAGATGATTATGTTTATCACTAAATTCACGTATTACTTGATCATTTTTATTGTTATTATCATTGTTATTTGTTGTTTGTTGATCTCTTGATTCATTTGGTGTCATCAAGGCTATTTTTATTAATGCAGAAAATATTAGCCATTGAATCGACATATTAAACAACATCATCATCGATTGTTTATCGGTAAACAAAACACACACACACAGATAGAGAAAGAGAAAATTAAAAATTAATAATTCCATTTGAATTGGCTTTTATCATCTCTATTTTTAAGAAAAAAAATTCGAAAATTTAATAAAAAAAAAAGTTTTTTTTTTTGAAAACAAAAACATTTTTTTTAAACATTTGGCGCCATCACATATGATTGGTGTGTTGAACACAAAACACGCATGTGCAGAATGATGAAAATAAACATGCACACATGATGCACAAATAATATATCATCAACCACACACGCATTGGTCTTTAGGCTGAATGGTAATTTACATTTGTTTGTTTGTTGGTCGTTTTTGGTCACAATGATGTCATGATTTATGGCTAAATGAATTTTTCTACATTACCATCATTATTGGATGCTTCTACCCTTTAACGTATAACATTGTGATGGTTGAAATGAATCAATTGTAGCCATAACCATTAAAAAAAATCTAACCAAAAAAAAAAAACGGTGTCGTGTGTTTATTGTGTGATGTTTGTTTGTGTGTGTGTGAATATTCTCTCATTTGGTTTGTTTTGGTTCAATTTAATTGATATATCTCGACAGATTAATTCCATATTGGTCTTGGTGGTAGTATTCTAAACATTTTAGAATTCAAATGATAATATGGCCAATGGTTGGTTATTGTGTTATAATTGTTTGCGGCGAATGGTTGCGGTGCAGAATTTAAGAATTTGATTCAATTACAATAAAAATATATTGTACAGTTTGAAATTTTAAATTTAAATTTATATAGATTATAATATGTTATTAATTTAATTAATCAATTACCAATTGTGATCATCATCATCATCATCATCGACAACATCCACATGATTTGATTTTTTTTGTAATTAAATTCAAAAAAAAAATTCGAACATTCGATTGAAAAACTATGAATGTGTGTGTTTAGTGTAAAAAAAAAATTTTAATTCAACTTGTTGTCAGCCACCTGAAATAGTCTACTGATTTGATTGAGATTCATCATCATCATTATTATCATCATCAAAAAAAAAAAAAATGTCAACAACATATGTAACAGATGAATCTGGTACAAAATTCATTGCCAGTTCACAAAGGCCAGATGGTTCATGGCGTAAAGCACGTCGTGTAAAAGATGGTTATGTACCACAAGAAGAAGTGCCAATCTATATGGCCAAAGGTAAACGTGAACAACAACAACAACAACATGAACAAAAAAGGCCTTCGAAACCATTATCGGCAGATGCTCAGGTTTGTTTTACATTTTGCATTCTGTAGATGAAAATTGATCAAATTTCTTTTGTTTTCTCTTTTGTCATCAGCCATTTTATCATTTGCCTCGTATCGAAATGGAAATGCGTACAGTAACCTTGGAACCAGAAGTATTGACGCCATTGAATAAAACTTCCGGATCATCATCATCATCATCGAAAATATCATCAAAATCATCATCATCAACATTAATGCAACAATTTAATAATTTTGATTTTGATCAACAATTGGATCAAAATATTTACAATACATCATTATCAACAAATACATCAACAACATTATCTAATGAATGGAAAGTGGTCAAATCAAAAAACTCATTACAACAACAATCATCTAAAAATGATAATATCGTTGATGGTATATCATCTCAAATAGCTCAACAACAACAACAACAACAACAACAGCAGAAACCAATGGCTGTAAATGAATGTGGTCAACCATTAGCCACTGATCCAGTTAAACGGCTAAGAAATTTGAAAAAGAAATTGAAAGAGATTGAAACATTGAAACAAAAAAATTTAGCAGAATTAGAAAAAGAACAATTACAAAAAATACAAAGATATGATGAAATTGTTGGCCAAATTGAACAAGTGACTAAATTATTGGAAGAACTTTGAATATATATGAACCATCACAATCCATTTTATGTATTTCGTTGTTGATGTCTTTGTTTTTAATTCATCATCAATCCATCCAAATTTTCATCTCTTGTTTTGCGTATATATATATATATATGATGGGTCAGCATCATTTTATTTGTCCGGATTGTTTGATTTGTTTTTTTTTTTTGTTTAATGAATGAATTCTCATTTCGTAAAAAAAAAAAATTTTTGTTTGAAATTATTCAACCCCAACCCCCCGCATCATACACAACAAAAATTGATGATTTATATTATTATTATGATTATTATCACCATTTTTGAATGAATCTTTTTATTTGTGAATAATAATAATAAAAAAATGAAATTTTTATTTGAATTTTTTTTTTTTTTGTATACAAAATTCGAATCTTGTTGTCATTGTCGTACTAGTGTTTATGAATGAAATGAAAAAAAAAAATGGTTGTCATCATCACACCTTACTGCTACCTTTTTTTTGAAGTACATGTACATTCGATGAATGAATAGTATTTGCTATTGATGGATTGACCTCGTTTGTGGCATGTTATGTGTGTGTGAACTACCACCAACCACTACTGCACAAATTATTTTCATCGGTATGTTATTACCCTGCAACAACAACAACAAGTATGGTAGTAGTAGTCTTATAAGCGTTACTGTTGCTTTGATGTTCATGTTGATGTTGATGATGATGATGATTGAACCTGGAAAAAAAAAAATAAAAACAACTTTTTTTGTTGTTGTTGATCTTTGGATTCTTCTTCTTCTCTCTTCGTCTTCGTCTTCGTTTTGATTTTTGTTTATTTTTTCCTGGCAAAAAGGGGAGGGGGGATAGCGATAGCGATAGTGTGGTGTTGAAGTACCGCTATCTCCGGAATAATTTTTTTTCATTCATTCATTGAAAAAATATTTGTTGTTGTTGTTGTTGTTGTTGTTGGTCGAACAAGATTTTTGGCTTCGTGGATCTGGTTTTTGATGATGATGATGATGATGATAATATAAACGCGCTTTATTATCATCATCGTTATTCATCATCGTTGACACGAAAACGTCTATATCACAAACTTGTTGTTGTTGTTGTTATTGTGGTTATTGTGGTTGTGGTTGAAAATATCATCATCAACATTTTTCGTATATATTCACAATTTATCAATTTGGATCATCCATTTTTTTCTGTTTGTGTGTGTGTATGTCTATTTTCATTTTCAAAAAAAATTCGCCAGAATTCGACAATGATAAACATTGATTTTCATAATCATTCATCAATTTATTCAATGAAAAATATGATGATAATGATGATGAAAATTGAAAGAATTTTCTGTAAAACTTGACCATCATCACCAGCATCAACTTTTTCTTCTTCTTCTTTTTAATTTCATTGATCTTCAGATTTTTTTTTTTTTTGAAATTCATTTCGTTTTGTGTAATTGAATTTTTTTGTTGTTGTTGTTTAAAAACCAAATAAAACAAAAAATGGAACAACAAAAATCGACTGCTGCTGCTGCTGCTGCTTCAGTTGTTGACTACCAACAAAAACAACTAGATGATGGTCAAAATGATGAAAATTCTGATACATCATTGAATAATAATGATGTAGTGGCTGCCAATAACAACGACGATGATGATGATGATTATTCACCAAAATCTGATTCAATAAATGGTTCAACAACTTCAATATCACCACCATCATCGTTGAAAACAGAACAGCCATTTTTGAATCGTCGAACACGTTCAATGATGAAAACAATCAATAGATTGGAAAATAATTCAAATGGTCATTCGACGTTAAAAGTAGAAAATAATGGTGAAATTGTTTCATCCGAGCCACAACAACAACAACAACCACCACCACCACCAACATTACAACAACAAGATGATGATTATGAATCAATCGTTATGGATGACGATGATGATGATGATTATGAACCAGAAGAATCAAAAGATTATGATGATGTTGATTATGTGATTGGTGGTGATGTTGATCGTACGGTACGTGCTTCCAGATCACAAAATTCATCCAATTCATCATCATCATCATTATCATCGTCGTCGTCGTCGAAAAATAAGAAACGTAAATCATCAGCATCATCAACAAATGAAACGGGTAATAAACGTAGCCGTAAAAAATCGAAACCAAAAACAATCACTAAATCAACAAATGAAGAAAAAGCCACTAAATCAACAACAATGACAAAAAAATCGAAAACAAATTCAAATAAAACAAATTCAACGATGAATTCTATGAATCAAAATAATCAAAATTCATCATCATCATCATCAGGAATGACAAATAATTTTCGTCATCTATTTCAACCGAATGAACATGAATTTAAACAGATATTTCCACCAGAATTATTGACACGTTTATTTAAAATGACTATCGAATCGAATGCACCGGAATCACCAATCTGGACATTGATCAGGTAATAATCAATCAATATTTCATTTTTAATCATTTTATAATCGGATTTTTGTTTCGTGAATAGATTGGCACAAGTTTGTGAACATTGGCGACAATTAATCATAACAAGTCCAGCATTATGGTCAACAATTGATTTAAGTTCATTGTCGGAATCACGTTTTCCAATGGAAAGATTTCGACGTTTACATCAGGAAAATCGCCTTTTTCAATCAGTACAACATATTGATCTATCGAATTGGAAAGCCGATATGGCAAAGAAAATGTTGGAATTTTTAGCCGATTGTTCCCAATATGATCTCCATTCATTAAGCATTCGTCGTTGTCGTAATATAGCATCACCATTTCTTCAATCTGTTATTGCCCATGCGGGTAATCTTCGTCTATTGAATATATCCGGTATCACTGTATGTAATTATCATCGATTTATCACCAAAATTTTAATAAAATTTTTAAATTTGATTTCAGGCATCACAACAGCACAACTGCCAGAATCCATTCCAAACACCATCATTTAGACCATTGATTGAAAGATGTGGTGAATCATTACGTTCATTTTACATGTCAGAAAATATGATGACATCGTTTCCAACCTGTTTTTCAATGGTTTTGGTAAGAATTTTTTTGCTTTTGTGATAATCGAATTTTTGTTGATGAAAAAAAATTCTTTCTTTTTATAGGAATCATGTCCAAATCTTGAAGTGTTGGACATATCAAACGTACATTCATTGGGATCTCGTTGTTCGACCATTCCGATCGATAAATTTCAACAGAGTTGCCCAAAAATGCGTATATTACGTGCAGCAAATATTGCATTTCAACCGATAAGCCTTGGATGTAACACTGATGGTTGGCCACGATTGGAAGAGCTTAGCATACCATTCAATGTTGATTATATGGTATCTGCTGGCCATACTGATCTTGTTATTGAACAGTTGACAAAATCATCGGAAAATCTAAAATTATTAGATATCCGTGGGTCACCAAGTATAACACCACGTGGTCTAGTTAAAATACCTGCATGGTCATTGAAACATTTGTCTATATCAAATTGTCCAAAAATGCAAGATGAAACACTTGGAATGGTCTTTCAAAAGGTAAGAATCAAAATTGAATCATTTTTCTCATTTTTATTTCATAAATTTTCTATTTTGTCATTCCATAAATTCAACAGTGGAATAGATCATTGATTGATGTTGATCTTTCGTGGAATAAATCTGAATCCTGTATGGATGAATGTGTCCGTTCAATTTGTGATGTACCATCTGAGGATGTTAAATTACGTACTATTGATCTACGTGGATCAGCAATATCATTGGAATCATTAAGACGATTAATATTACATTGTGGTGAACATTTAATATCAATTGATTTACAATCATGTCGTAGTCTACCACGTGGTATGAAACGTTTATTTCAAGGTGAAGAATTTCAACGTTTACGACAATTAATGTTGGATGGCCGTTGTGATGATTAAGATTTGAATCTATCTACTATCATCATCCATTTTCATGTGGCCTTTTTGTCATCAACAAGATTTATTTATATATTATCACATCTCGCTTTTCACCGGTGAAAATCATCATCATCATCATCATCAAAATGAATAATCAATTTTAACTTGTATGCGCGTGCATACTATTATAGATCACATTTCTACTATTTTCATCTTCGTCTATACATTGAGATGATATTCGATTGAAAATGGAACAATCAATTCAATTGGTCATCAATTATATGGTAAAAACTTTATCAATTCATCATCATCAATTTATGTTGCAATCTTCATCATCATCATCATCATCATCATATTCATTAAATAATCAATATGTCCATACATTTATAAATATCGCCATTATTGATGATATATTATAATTATAATAATAATAACAATTTTAAATTGAAAACAATAAAAAATTTCATTAATTTTTTCAATGATTATCATTCGAAAGAATTTTTGTTTTTGTTTTGAATTAGGTATGGCCATCTATGGGCAAAAATTATCGCTATGTAAGCACGTGTCTGACAGAATATTTTGCTGCGTGAATTTTTTTTTTTTCATTGAAAAAAAATAAATAATGGGCAAGGTTTGTTTTAGAAATTATCGATGAAATTGATTATATTGGATTGTATTTTCTGTTTTTGTTTTGTTTTTTTTGTTAGAAAAAATTACAAATAAAAATTACCCGATTGGATGAAAGAGAAATTGATTTTGATCTAATCAATTCAGAATTTCCATTCGCCAATGCAATACGACGAATATTGTTGGCCGAAGTGCCAACAATGGCCATTGAAAAAATTCATCTTTATCGTAATACAACAGAATTGCCGGATTTTGCATTATGCCAACGATTAGGATTGATACCGATAAAAGCTGATGCTAGTGAATTTGAAATGAAAAATTCCTCTGAAGGTATGCATTCATTGATTCTAATCATTCTCTAAAAATTTTTTTTTTACTCATAGATGAAGCAACCGATAGAAATACAATTCGTTTATCATTAGATGTTCAATGTCCAATTAATAATAATGGTGAAAATCTTCATGTTTATAGTGATTCAATAAAATGGCAACCTATTGGTGATCAAACAACCAGATTCGAATCCGAACCTATACGACCAGTTGATATGGACATTCTTTTGATGAAATTGGCACCAAGTCAACAAATTGATGCACAAATGGAATGTCATAAAGGCATTGGAAAAGATCATGCAAAATATTGTCCAGTTGCTGCATGTTTTTATCGATTTGTAACTGAATTTCATTTTGATCATGACAAACAACTTGAACATGGAGAACTGGAAATATTGAAAACATTTTTTCCACCTGGATATTTAGATTTCAATGATATTGATAAGACAAATGGATTTCCATGTATCATCAATAATCGTTTTAATCGTAGTGATTTTACAATGCAATCATGGGACAATCATCAATGTTTGAGGAAAAAAATTCAATTTGAAACAAAAACCAATACGCTTGCATGTAAGTTTGTATTTTTTTTTTTTTTTTTTTTTTTTTGTCATCTGGAAATGTTTTTCTAAATGAAAATTTTCAAACTTCTAGTCACCATTGAATCGATTGGTGCAATCGATCCATCCGAATTGGTCATTCAATCTATTGATATATTAAAATCAAAATGTACAAAATTTATTAAACATATCAAACGAAATAAATGATTTTATTTTTAATGAATAAAGACAAAATTTTTTTAATTTTAATTTGATTATGATGATTATTATTGAATGATGACGGCAATTCTATCGATAACGATACCGATGACGCAAAGACATTCACAATGAGTTTGACATTTGCATAGAATTTTTGGCATTGATTGTATTCGCCACATACCAATATGATTAGCGCAGCCAGGACATTGTAATTGATAATCAATGTCCATATCCTTAATGGTTGTCACAATCATCCATGATAATGGTTCCACCAAGAAACGATTACAATCGATAATTTTTGAATTGGTTTTCGTTACAATTTTATTGATTGTAAAATCAAAATCGGATAATTTTACAGAATTTTTACCACCACCACCACCACCGGAAAGTTCCCGTAATTGTACACTTTTTCGAACCAATGAACGTATTGTTGTTCGATATTGAAATAAAAGTAAATTTGATTCTAATAGATGGATATTTTGAAAAAGTTTCATTGAACAACGTCGACATCGATACCATTGTTGTTGTTGTTGTTGTTGAATATTTAAATCCATCTGTTGTTGTTGTTGCTGCTGCTGTCGTTCATATTGTTGAATAATTGTAAAATATCTATCAATCATCTGATGTAAATGATCAATGGATAAAAACGGAAATATTGTCCTATAGAATAAATATTGACGAAATTCTTTATTACGAATATCCAAACGATAATTCATACGGCCAAACAGATTTAATTGATAAATAAATCCTTCATTTGGATTACATAATGGACGTTTTGTGCGTACGAATAACAATGTATCCTGTACGGATAGATGCCATTTGCTCAATAAATAGGCCATTACGATTGTAACACTACGTGAAACGCCCATATGACAATGAATAAAAATATTTTCATGGCGTACATTAATGGCTTGATTAATGAATTGAATACAATCGATAAAAATGGTGAGTAAATCTTCAGTAGGATTATCACATTTTTCATAATGACGATTTTGTATATTATACAGATGAAATTTTGGCAATCCTTTTGTTTCATGTGAATTGGTAACACTCAAAACGTTTTTGATTTGTAATTCTTGTAATAATGATATATCTTTTGCATGATGTATATTGCCAAGATATAATTGTGATATAATCTTACTTGGACTGTTCATGATGATGATTTCATCGAATGAATCGAATTCGCCAATTCGAATTTTTTCCATTTTCAAGAATTCTGTTTATTCAAATTCCAGATCAACGATTGTTACCACCATGGAATTGGATATTAATCAATTTATTACATGTAAGTAAAATTGAATTTTTTTTCCTGGTTTCTTATAAAAACTTTTACAATTTGTTCAAACATTCAGTTAGTTTTTTTTCCGATTGATTGATATTAGTGTAACAATATGTATAGTGAATTTTTGAAAATTATTAATCGTTTTATTATTGATATACATTTGGATGAACCACATGTTTTGCGACGATTATTTCCTGTCAATTGTGAATACATAAGACCATTATTGTTCACGAATAAAACACGACAATATGAAAATGGAATTGAAGAAAAATTACAAAGATATTTGCAAGAATTTTCAACCACCGACACCACCATCACCAAGGATGTAGAGGAAAATGAAGCTGAAAACAACAACAACAACAACAACGGCTACAATTCGATTGATTCGACAAAAGAAACATCATCATTGTCAATGTATAAACTTATTGTTGAAATATTACGGTAAGTATTCTTTTCAAATTGGAAAACATTTTTTTCTTCATCATCACATTTTTCTTTCCTTTAACACATAGAAAATGTGAAGAATTCTATTGCCATAATAATGCCATAATTGGTCCATTAGTAAATGAATGGAAACATTTATTCAAAAATAACCTCAGATATTTAAACGATGATAGTTTTCATGAAAAAGAACGAATCCAACGATTTTTGGATGAATTTTGTCGTCATATTGGTGCATGGATAATTGTTGCCGATGATCATAAGAATCAATTCTTACGAATTAGTCATATGATTAGATGGATTTGTAGCCATATTCATATACCATATCGTGTACCCGTATCATCATTGTTTAACGATCATAATAATGATGATGATGATTATTACAATGATTGTCATCATCATGATTATTTTGCTTTACGTATATCCATATCGATTGTTTATCATTTAATTCAATATCGTATTTATTTACTTGATCACTTTTATCAATGTTTGGAGGAAATTCAAAAATTATCAATGAATTCGTTTATGATGATGAAATCGTGGCCACAATCATCATCCGGTCAGTTGATGAATATAAATCCAACAACTGCTACTACTACAAATACATAGTGTATGTAAAACAAGCAATCTATACATCCGGTTTTTTGTTGAGATAGACAGAAAACAAAAATTATTGTGAGATTTTTGGAACAAATTAAACGAAAACAACAACAATGGTTCAATCAAATTCTATCAAATGTTTCACACACACACACACCCACCCACCACAACACCAAAGCATCTCCCGCCCCATTCTACCGGTTCATGATGATGATGATGATGATGAAAATGATGAATATACGTACGTATACGTACGCACTACTTCACCTGCCATTTGAGATAAAAATTTACGTAAATCCTGTTCGTGTTGTCCTAGTTTACACACACACACACACACACACACACAGAGAGAGAGAGAGAGAGAACACCAAGGTCCACTAGGGTGACCGCCTAGGACCGTGAATTGACATCATCATCATTATTATGGATGAATGAACATCATGATTTTTGTGTTTGTGTGTGTGTGTGTGTGATGAAATGACCTGTTATATTTCATTTTCAAATTCAACAAAAATGTTCATTTTGTCAAAACTTGAAAAAGAGAGAGAGCAAGTGAATGTAAAATGTGCAATGGAAAAAAATATTGTATTGTTTTCAATATATTCTCTCTTCCTATTCAAATGTGTTAAACGGATTTTCATATTTCATTCGAATCAACATTTTCTTGAATTCTGTCAAAATGAAAAAAAAAATTTTGCAGATTCGATTCGATTCGATTCCGGATTTTCACCATCATCATCATCATCATTATAAATGTGTGTATGTAATTTGGTAACAACAACACACACACACACAAACAAACACCATAATCATCACGAAAACATACATAAAATTCATTTCCCTTGAATATTGAAAATATTTCCACACACACACACACACACCGGATGATCTACAATCATCATTATTATTAATAATAATAATAAGTGCCATAATTATTGTGGTAGTAGTAGCCAAACACACACACACACACGCACTCAAATATCAACTTGAATTTATCAAACCAACAAAATAACGTAAATGAAGCCATGATTATCATCACCATCATCAGCATCAGCAGCAGCATTATTATAACAAATTTCAGCAATCATCGAAAAATCGAAAAAAAAACTGTAAATTGACGAATTTCAAACAACAAAACGAAAAAAAAAATCATTTGTTTGTTTGTTTTTTTTTTTGTTATGTGGCTATTTGATTCGGTGAATTTTTTTTTTTTTTTTATTAGTTTTGATGTCGTTGTCGTCGATAGTGGCTGTATTTTTGAATTTGTGTGTGTGTGTGTTCGACTGCTGCTTGCTGCTTTTCAATGTCAAGTTTTCAAGTTTTTGTTGTTGTTGTTGTTTTTTTGAAAATTTGAACATTTGTTAGCATCATCAACAATTTCAATCAATAATCTATCTATATATTTTTTTGAATTATTTCAATTATGCAATATCATCAAATGATTACCATGATCACCATCATCATATGGATTCTCATCATTGCTGATGAAACATTGTCTGTTCACCATTTTCATGATGATAATCATCAAAATGATCGTTATATAATTGAATCACAATCATCATTGATTTCAAATACAAATGAAATCAGTATTTATATGCCATCATGGTCATCATCATTAATATCACCGAAAATTGTTCTATTATCACATCAAATGATTGGCGATACAATCGATATCCAAGCTGGTAGTACAATACATTTACGTTGTAATGGACAGAAAAAAATTTATTGGACATTTCCAAATAATAGAGTAAGTATTAATATTTCGAATGAATAGAATCTTGATTTTCATTCCTTGACAAAAAAAATAGCTTGAAATATTTGAAAAATCAGCAAATGTCAGTATAATCAATAGCTGTGATTATGATGATGGCCGTGATGATGATCATGAAGAAATGACTAAAGCAGGCGACAACAAATCCAATAGTGATCATATGGATTTTATTGGATGGACCAATAAATGTCAAAGTGATGTTATTATCTATGATGCTCAATATTATATGACTGGTTATTATTCATGTCATTATAATGATAATGTTCAGAATCAACAACAACAACAACAACAATCTGAATCAACTGAAATACACAATATGCCTATAGCAGCAATGGCTACAACATCAATTTATCCATCAAATGATAATTCAATGGATTCAATATTTATATTTATAAATGGTTTGTTGTTGTTGTTTTTTGGATCATTCAATTAATCATCAAATGTGTGTGGTTCATATATTATTTTTACAGATCCTGAACATTTAATTGTACCATATGAAAATGTTGAACAATACATGTTTTTAGCATTGTTTCAATCACATCCGGCAACGATACCATGCCGTCCAACATATTCAAATGCCAATGTTACACTTTGGAAAGAAAATGATTATCAACAAATACAGATCCATCCGAATGCATCATTAGGCATAACATATGATCCACGTAAAGGTTTCCATTTTGATTATCCACGTTGGGACAGTAGTGTATTGGAATGTCATTATCATATAAATACAAGTGATGGTCAAAAATATGAAGCCAAATCCACTATAAGTCTTCATTGGTCAAGTAAGTTCATTGTACTGCATTGTTTGTTTGTTTTATTCAAAATTTTTATCAGACAAAATCAATCAATCAATCAATATATAATGATTGTTAATAGTGTGAATCGATCATATCATATCATCAACATGAAAATTGTTAAAAATATAGATCAGAAAAAAATTACCAAACATCAGTGGTACTAGGAGTGTGTGTGTGTGTGTATGTGTGTTGTAGCGACGACGACGACGACGAAAATTTTCTGTCTCCAAAACCATTTCCGTTTTTTTTGTCGCTTATTTATATATCGAATGAATAATGACGTTCATTCGATTGTTGTTGTTGTTGTTGTTGTTTGACCATTTCCATATTATGCATTTCGAAATGTACAGATTTCTCATAGCCAACTAATTGTTTAAGAAAAAGTCCTAATTTAAAGAGAAAAAAAAATTTCAAATTTTAAAAGATGAGATTATTTACACACAGAACATAGAAATATATTTACCAATATCATAAACATTTTGTCGTGGTTGATAATGATCAATCCAAATGGCAATCTTTATCTGATTATTACGATTACCACCAACAAGACCACAAATTCGTTCACAAATCATTGAATTTTGATATCCAACAATTAGCATACAGAATTCTGTCCACAATTCCATTGCATGATTTTTATATTCACCGGACATATCTTTATTTATAGTGAATACAAAACGGCCACCATTACGATTAAGTGGATCTTCCCAGATTGGTCTTATACCATATTTGAATAATGAATAATTACAACCATGATGTGTTTCAGTGAGCGGTATGACACGATCAAAAACACCCCAAAAACTTTCCACCGTTGAAAATGTGGCCACATCTATTTGTGAATGTTCCCAATCAAAATTTGGACCGAATTTTAGATACCAAAATGTCCAACTATTATGTAGACGATGTTCACCATCTTTTATTGGTATAATGTAATTTAATCGAATTTTTTCCATTCCAACTTTCATTTGATTTTCAATTTGGTCAACATCAGGATTATCACCATCTTGTTGTATTTTTAATGATTTTTGCTTGTTTTCTTTCAAATTCTGTTCATAATCACCATTGTTATTATCATTTATTATTGATTTCGAAATTGTTTTATTCTGTTGTTGTTGTTGTTGATGATGAAAGTATTGTTGATGATGGTGGTTATGATGATGCTGGTGATGATGATGATGATGATTATGATGGGATCGAAAACTTTGATTTCGATGAAAATTCTGATGATGGTGATGATTACGATTATGAATCTGTCTTGTAACAATAGTGGATGATATTTGTTGTGGTTGTTGGACATTATTTGCTTGTAAATTCGACATTTTTTTTCTCGAGTAATGAATGATGATGAAATAGAAAAAAATTTTGCGAAATATTTTCCTAACTCACTCAATTTTCCCATAAAAATTTCCTATTCGAATTTATGCAAATTTTTCTGTAATTTAATTTACATTTTGTTTTTTTGTTTTGTTTTGTTTTGTTTAGTTCTACCAATCGAATTACATCCAATTATTGATGATACACAAGCTCGTCATATTTTCATCAACGATACGTTTACATTACGATGTTTTGTTCATATTGATATCGGTGTTATTATTGTTGTTGATTGGGATCATCCAAATAATAATCATCAACAACGGCATTCGGAAAGAATATTTAAATCAGCAGCCGAAACAACCAGACAATTAGTTAATAATAATAGTTATGATACGGTGGCGATTAATATAACAATAGTGAATGCAACAAAAGAAGATGAAGGTCTTTATCGTTGTAATGCTACCGATGGTAATGGCCGAACATTTTCGGCCACCAAACGTATTGTTATATTTGGTATGTTTGTTTGTCTGTTTTGTTTATTTTTGAAAATTTTGATAATTTCATTTTGTTTTGTTCTCAATAGATGAACATCTTGTATCATCGATAAATTTTACAACCGATTTTCATACACCAATCATTGGTGAATATGGTCATGATATTCAGTTTACCATTAATGCACAGGCATTTCCTGACATAAGTTTTATTGATCTTTCTTGGTATAAAGATGGTAATGAATTATCATCAATAAATACGAATAATTCACATATACAGATGAATTTAATGAATTTATTCAATGATAATCAAACACAAATCACTTTATATATGATTTCGGCTCGTCCATCTGATAGTGGTTTATATACACTTGTTGGCCAAACATCATGGTCATCACAACAACAACGACGAAATGAATCAATGACAAATATTTCCATTCCTGTTTATATTCAAGGCGATATAGAAATTTTAATTGAAAATCATCAAGATTTTTACCGGTTAAATCATTCATATGAATTATTATGTAAAAGTTATGGCTATCCAAGTCCATCAATACAATGGCAATGGCATCCATGTGAAACGGTTTATTCTTGTTTGAATGATGATGGTGATGATGATGATCAAATAACGAAAATTACATGGTTTAATATTACAACCTCATCATCAACAACAATCAATGATAACGATGCTAGAATTATTGAAATCGACGATGGAAATGAAACTACTAAAGTTTCATACCTAAATATGGCTCGATTATCATTGAAAGCTCGACAATCTGGTGTTTATCGATGTTTCTCTTCGTTGCGCCACATGAATGATACAATCATGAAACATCAGGAAATTCCATTCATCGTAATGGATGCTGAAGATTTATTTGAAATCCGACCATCAACAGATGAACCAACCGTTAATGATACAATAATACTAACATGTAAAGCTAGTGTTTATCGGTATTCACAATTATGGTGGGTCAATACTCGATTAGATACTGATATTATCAATCCGATTAACGTGAATACAATGTTGGAACAGAAAAATCAATCCACATCCGATCCATTGATTGAATCAATGAATTTATCCAATGATCAAAATGAATATTCCCTTAGTTCAACATTAACATTATCATCTGTTACATTGAATCATAGTTCATTATTTACATGTGAAGCTGTTCTTCTGTTTGATGCACTCAAAACGGAACGAAAAGAATTCTTTTTGAATGTTAAAGAAATTACACCGCCAATAATTATTGAAACGAATATGAATGAATCGATTATTGAAGCGGAATATAATTCACAAACAGAATTACGTTGTTACATTGAAGGAAGGCCACGACCACAGCTTGAATGGTATCGAAATGATCAACCACTTCTAATGGATCATCATGATTCAGGTGTAAGATTGTATGATAAAGGTCAACGTATTGTTTTCACAAGATTATTGGCAAAAGATTCAGGCCTTTATGTTTGTCGTGGTAGAAATCGTGGTGGTGAAGTTACCTGTGCTGTTTTACTAAAAGTAATCGGTAATATGGATCAAACATCAATAGATCTTTTACCCATTGTTGTTTATTCAATAATGGGTGCCATCACAATTATAATGGCCTGTTTGATTGGTAAACGTATTCGTGATGAAAAACTACAACGACGTGAATTGGAATTTTTTTCAAAAACGCTATTCGAACAAGGACAGATGCAATTATTCAATCCAGATATGCCATTAGATGAACAGATTGATCTATTGCCATATGATTCTCGTTTTGAATTTCCTAAAGAACGACTTATATTGGGCCGAACATTAGGTCAAGGTGCATTTGGCCGAGTGGTGAAAGCACAGGCAATTGGCCTAGATGAATCGGATGAATCAGAATCAACAACTGTGGCTGTAAAAATGCTTAAAGAACGTGCCGATTCTAATCAACGTAAAGCATTGATGGCAGAATTAAAAATACTGATACATTTGGGTAGACATTTGAATATTGTCAATCTATTGGGTGCTGTAACAAAAAACCTGGTCAAAGGAGAATTATTGGTCATTGTTGAGTATTGTCAATTTGGCAATCTAAGACATTATCTTATTGCTAATCGTGATAATTTCATCAATCAATTAAATCCATTGACTGGGAAGGTGGATCGATCGATTATTCGTATAAATAATAATGGCATTCAACAGTCGTAAGTTTATATCAATTTTAATTTACATTTGTTTTCATTTATTTATTTCGATTATTTATCTAGTGTTTTATATCAAAATGTTGATATTCTAACACCACATACACCAGATTCACCAAGTAATAAGGAACGTTTTGATTATTTTATTGCCAATAATGGTAATGGTTCTGCGGCTATGGCTGGTATTAGTTATGTTGATCTATTAAATCGACAAATGGCAAACACTAGTAGTAGTAATGGTGGTGTTGATTATATCAATACAGCAATAACGAATCCAATCATTACCACCACCAATATTAATGGCATTGTTAATGTATCGAGTACAGGTGTTGCATATTATAATAATAATTATGGTAGTCCCGGTATTTGTAATAAAAATTTCAGCGTTGTTGGAAATGGTCAATCTAAACGTCCGTCATCATCATCATCATCGAATCGTTTTCAACGACAATGGTCATCAATATCACAACGACGACAAGGTCGTACAGTCACTACATCCGATTTGATTTGTTGGGCATTTCAATGTTCCAGAGGTATGGATTATCTTACTATGCGAAAGGTATGTCAAGTTTATATATATATGTGTTTGTGTGTGTGTGTTATTCAAAGATTTATTTGACCCGTATTTTTTTTCATACATCCAGCTGATACATCGAGATTTAGCTGCACGTAATGTATTGTTAGCAAGTAATAATGTAGTGAAAATTTGTGATTTTGGCCTCGCAAAAGATGTTTATAAATATGATAATTATATCAAAAAAGATGATGGTCCATTACCGATTAAATGGATGGCTATTGAATCGATAAGTGATAAAATTTTCACATCTAAAAGTGATGTATGGTCATATGGAATATTATTATGGGAATTGTTTACATTGGGCAAAACACCATATCCTGGAGTGGAGATTGATGAAGAATTTTATAAACGATTAAAAAATGGTTATCGTATGGAAAAACCGGATTATGCAAGTGAAGAAATGTAAGTCAATTATTTCTTTTTTGCTGATTATTGAATTCTTATTTTATTAATTATCATCATTTATTCATTTGTTAGTTATGAATTAATGTTACAATGTTGGAATGCTAATCCAAATGATCGGCCAGATTTTGCCGATATAGCCGATTTGGTTGGTGAAATGTTGGATGATAAAACGAAAAAGCATTATATCGAATTAAACAATCCATATCTTGAGATGAATGAACAGATATTGGGAACAAGTGATTATCTTAAAATGTCATCAAATAATAGTAATGGTAATGGTGTTGGTTGTGAACAATCGATAATCGTCAATAATGAAGATAATCCAATCACAACAATAACAACAACAATGATTGATGAATGTGAATATGAAACAAATATTTCACAATTAATAATGGATAATAATCGTAATCATCAACATCAACACAATCAACAACATTCAGGATCGAATGAAAAAACATCGATTATAATGGCCAATCAGAATTCCAATAATAATGTTGTTATTGAGGACAATAATAAGCCATCATCATCATCATCATCATCAATCATAAAAATGAATAATAACAACAACAACAACAATGATGATGATGATGTTGGTTGTGATGACGATGGTGACAATATAATCGAAATGTCCATTTTAGAACGTTCATTAACAGAAACATCATCAAATCATCATGATGATATAATGATGATGAATATTACTGCAAAACATAATGGCCATCACCATCATCATCATTTTAATAATAAAGATGTTCGGATGACAACAACAACAACAACAACAACAACAACGAAGAATTTGATCTATGATAATCTGACTACTGTTTAAATTAATCCATTTATGAATATTTATTGATATTTCTAGTCTTTTTCTTTTCTTATTCATCAATCCTTTTCACATTTGTATATAGTAATAATATTCTCGTGTTATCATAAATAAAGAATGAAAAATAAATTAGAAAAAAAAATCTGAAAATAATTGTCATATTGCTCACCAGTGGGCGCGATTGAAATGGAATTAGGTGTTGGGTTTGTGTTTTTGCTGTTGATGAAAAAAAAATTATGTGAAAAAAAAGATTACATTATTTGCTGGTTCAAAGGTTACGAATCGAATCAATCGATCGATCGAACGAATGAATGAATGAATTTGTATTGTATTTTGATTTGATTTGATTTTTAATCGTGGGTCTTGTTTATTGTTGTTGTTTTTTCACATGCTGCTGATCATCATCATCATCATTATTATCATTTGTTCGATGATTGAGATTGAACAATGATCATCATGATCATTATTCGAATCTTACGAAGAAAACGAAAATTCAAAGAGAAAATAGGCGGAGTTGTAACCATAAATAGCATCATCATCATCATCATCATCATCATTCATTATTATTATTATTAGATTGGATTCGAAATTGCAAATAACGAATTATTAGATCTACAACAACAAAAAAAGAAGAAAAATCAACACAAACATGAAAAACTTGAATTCAACATTCACATACATTACATTTTCTATTTCATTTTCGATAACAAATGATAACGTCGTCGTTATTGTATTTCGTTCTCTTTATGTATCTATGTCATAATCATCATCATTGATTCATCGTTCAATTTGTAGCAAACATATTAAGTAGTGGTGGGAAGACAACAACAACAACAACAAAAAATCGATCCATCAATCATCATTATTATTTGGAGATGAAACTTGAAAATGAAACGATAATAAAAACCGATTTAAAACAACCAACAACAACAACAATGGTTCGAATCGAATTCCGTTTGATTGTCATCATGGATAGGATTGAAAAGTGCTTCCCATAGATGTTGTTACCGTCATTCTTGGTTTTACTCATGAAATTCTTGACAATTAGTTTAGATATACATTATTTGAACACGGGATTTTTTCTCATCGATCAATCAATCAATCCACAATCGTGAATCACAAATATCACACCATTTCAAAGTCATTCATTCATTGATGATGATGACCTCGATATATTGCGACCAATCGATCTATACAACAAACATTTTCAATCAATGGATCAAATCACAAAGAAGATGAAGAAGAATAAAAGAATTCTTGGACAATGGTAAGTGAACCAAAAATTCAATTTTCAATTTAATTTAAACCTGTACTGGTGGTGGTTCTTATTCTTATTCACTTTTGGAAAAAAAAGAAATAATCTGATCACCTGATATTTACAATGATTATAACCGACTAATGATTTCATGTTGTGGTTGTGGTGGTGGTGGTGGTGGGGGAACATTTTGTTTTCCATTCACATTTTACCGAGTTTAGAAAATTCAGAATTGAAATTCAATCAATCGGGTGATGGTACACACAATCCATCTGTGTCTTGTGTTCCGTTTCTTTTTTTTTTTTTTTTTTTTTGTTGAAATTTTCAAACAAATCAAACAACAGACACAGATGATGTGAAAAAAAAATTTTTTTCCACAAAATTTGAAATTTAAATTTTGATTTGATTCGATTGTCAATAAGAAAAGCAGAAAAAAAATAATTTCAATCAAAAACCTGTCATGTCACATTTGGATCGAAATAGTGTGGATGCGAAATCCAAATGAAAAAACAAAACAAAAAACATGAACTAAATTTAGAAAAATAGAAAATCTGATAATCGGATATAAATGTGGTGGTGGTGGTGGTAATCATTAAGTTGATAATTGAAATTTGTTTTTGATTTTTTTTGCTAAATTTAGTTTGCTAAATAAATCGACACATCTACAATGATCATCAGATCAGATGATGGAACATTTTGTTCCATAATAATAATGAATGATATTTAGTCGTTTTTTTCTCTATGTGTCTGTTTTTTAATAATTATGCGGCAGCAATAATGAATTTTTTACAGTTATAATTATCACATTCGATGATGATGATAATAATAATAATAATGATATATTTTTTACAAAGTGTTAACTACAACTAAAGTAGGTGTGTCAAGTATGTGTGTGTGTGTGTGTGTGAAAAATTAATCACACGTTTAGCGATTTTTGTTGTTGTTGTTTGAAATTATCATTGATGTACCAAATTTAGCGACCTTGTTCTTTGAAAAATTAAATCGTGAATGATGATGATGATGATGATGAAAATGTAGCCATTTGACTGTCTGTTTAACAATTATTCATTGTGTTTTTGTGTTTTTTGTGTTCCTTGTTTGTTTGTTGATCAATTCGATGTTTGTGTGTGTGTGTTTTTATGTGAATTTTCTTCAGGCTTTTTGTTTGTGTTCATGTGTGTTGTTAATGATGATGATGATGATGAATATTGATGAATTTTGTTTTTTGTTGTTTTTTTTCATGAAACTAATATGAAAAAAATAAATCCAAAAAAAATTGAATTTTGTGGTGGCGGTGGTTGGGCTTCATGTATCGATAACTGTGTGTGTGTGTGTGTCATCGACATCATCAAAACCATCATCAGTATTAAAATAAAAAATTGAAAATTATCATCATCATCATGATCAAAAGGATTGGTCATCATCATCATCACCACATTCATTGTAATCCATCGATATATTAAAATGTTTTTTCGTGTGTGTGTGTATTTTCATTTGACTTTAGACATCCACAATATATAACATCATCATCATCATCATCATGTATCATGTATATACAAGAAAAATTTTCATTCCATTCACTTCATGTGTGTGTGTGTTTGATTGATATGAACATTTTTTACGTTTTTACATTTTCATCATTTAAATCAAGTGAAAAAAAAATATACTTTTTTTTGGCGCTGAACTAAAAATAGTCTCAACAACAACAACAACAAAACAAATTGATCTGGCCAAAAAGATTTTTGACCAAATTCAATTCAATTGGTGATAATAATCTTTTTTTCATTTTCGAACGTTCGATGATCATCATCATCATCATCATCATAATGGTGAACTCGCCTTTTTTGCTTCAACAAAATCATCATCATCATCATCGTCATCATCATTTAAGATGATTTGTTTCGTGTTTTTCTTTCCACATTTTTTTTTTTTTTGAATTCGATCACCACAATGTTGTTGATGGTGATTAGTAGTGATTTTTTTTCATCTCAATTCAACTGTACTCATTCAGTGAATATGAAATGAGAACGAAAAAAAAAATTTCAAATTTTTTTTTCATTGATGATGATTATACATTTGAATGAATCATTCAATGGTTTTTCACCTTGCCTTCAATGGTGGTTACCCTTCTTTTTCTTTTCTGGTTGTTGTTGTTGTTCAAAATCGTTTTCGTTTCGTTTTTTTTTGAAACAAAAATCACGTCTGGAATTTCGTTTTCAGTACGACCACAGTGTACAAATGTAACAGGCGGTGTTTTTTTTCTTTTTCTTGACAAAGTCGGCATTAAATAAAACACACACACACAAACATTCCATCATTCGGACAATGTAGAAACCCTGCTTGACCTTCAATGAAATGTGTTTTGTGTGTGTGTGTGTATATGGACATTCTTTTCATTCCTATTTCGTTGAATGGTTGGTTGTTTCATTTTTTTTCTTTCATTTTAAAGGTCATTTTATTGCTGGACAAGATTTCATTATATTGCATTACATGTCTGTGTGATCAAACGTTTTTTAAACGAAACGAAATGAAAATTTGTTTGAATGAAAATTTTTTTTTCCAATGAATTGCCGTCATATTAACAAACAAAAATTGAATATTCAATTAGCCACCATCATCATCATCAATAATCGATCTATCGATTGTTGATTTTCCAATGATCTAATCATCATTTGCATAAAGATCTTTTTTTTGTTTTGTTTTTGGATATTGATTTTTTTGTGAGAGAGAGAGATTTTTATTATCCAGGAAAAAAACCGATATTTAGCCTCTTTGCTTTCCAGTGTGCTTGATCGATTTTTTTTCTGGTTCTATTTTTTTTTTTTTTTTACCATCATCGAAGAAGAAGAACCTGTTTTATTCTATCACATAGTTAATGGTCGAGGTCATCGAATTTTTTTTTTTTCTCCTTAATTGCCTTACTATGGATGCAAAATGGATGACACATAAGGATGATAATGATGTTGTGTGTGTGTGTGTGAGTGTATGATGACCACTTGTGAATCGATTATTATCGGCTCGTCTTCAATAATGATGACGCGATGATTGTGGTGGTGGTGGTGATGATGGTCAGCAGTCGCCAATTTTTTTTTTGCCATCTACAAAAAAAAATTGACCGGTCACATGATCATCTGAAAATGGTAATTAGATTTTTTTTCCGTCTTTTTTTTCTTACTTACAAAATCGATTTTTGTTTTTTTTTTTTTATTTTCGAAACATTCAGTTTCACATCGTGACTCTGTTGATTGTTGAGGTCAATTTCAATCGATTTCAAATCTCTGTCTGTGTGTGTGTGTTATCTCTGTATAAAAATCCGGTTGTTGTGGTTTTTATCATTTTTGTTGTTGTTGTTGTTGTTGTTGAAATTCATAAAATTCAATGATTGATTATTGATCAATTCGATTCCATTCCCATTTGATTGGATTTCTATGGTTTTTCATAATCGTTATGGCGATTTCATTTTTTTTTTTTTGCTGGTCAACAACTACCACTATACTGATGATTCTCATTGACAAGTTAATCTTTTTTTTTTTTTGTTTTGTTTTGGTCAAAAAACATTGAAAATTTCATAATCCAGTTCATCGTGTTGTATGTAGTAGTAGGTAGTAGTAATGACCAGAATTTCAATATCCGTCGATGGATTATCATTCATTGAATGGGTTTTTTTTTTGGATAGCCATTTCATTTTGAACCAAACGGAAATTGGAAATTTTTCAAATATTCAAGTGGTCTCTATATATCCAATATATCGTCATAGTCGATGTTTAAATGTTTTTGTATATATATGTACAATGTGGTGTTCAACGATATAGTGTGCCACTACAACAACAACAACAAAAAGCAAAGTGGCCGTAGTTTCTTGTTTTGGAAATATACGAAGACGATGACGACGACCATAATCATCATCATTTGGCCATAATCATTGGTTGAAGACGTTTCGTTTCGTTTAGTGCAAAAGAAAAAAAAACTTTGATTTTTTTTCATTGAATTCATCATCAATTTGTGTTTTGAAAAGAATTTTCATTTTTTTTTTTTTTTTTTTTTGGTGTAAAAAAGTTTTTTTTTGTCAATTTCCATTTGTAACATCTGTCCAACATATACATAGTCAGCTTGTGTTTGTGTTTATGTGTGTGATGATGATGATGATGATGATGATTTCAAAGTTTCATTTTTCAGAATTTGCAATTTTTTTTGTTGCACATTGAATTGCATCGATCAATCGATTGATTGATCATTTGAATCAACCATAAAAACGACAACAACGACATTGTTTTATAAAGCCAGGTAAGCTGGAAAAAAAATCAATCATTACACACACACACACACACAGACACAAATCTATTTTGTTGACAATTTTTTTAAATTTCAAGTGATAAAATTATCATCATCATCGTCATCAATGTCATTCATGGCCAATTGATTTTCTATGTCAAATTTGGTTTTTCTTGGTGTTTTTGTGTGTGTGTAGTCATCTTATTTGGCACCAATTTTTTTTTAACCGTTATTTTTTTTCTCGAATTCAAACGTCAAACAACAACAACGACGACGACGACAAGATTGTCAATATAATCATCATCATCATCATCATTATTTGTTGGTGGTGGTGTCGGTGCTGATGGCTTGACAAGTTTCAAATGGCAATAAAATAGAAAAAAAAATGGTGTTAGCTAACAGATTTATTCATCTCGATTTTAATATTCGGTTATCAACCGAATGAAAGAAAATTTGGGCCAAATGTTTTTTTTTTCGCTGTTGCTGTTGTTGTTGTAATGCGCGACATGTTTTTTTTTTGAAAAAATCAAGGGTTATTTTTAGATCATTTAGATATTTGTACCTTGTTTCGTTTCGTTTTTGCAACTTGCGTAACATTTTTTTTTCTCTTTCTCACTTTTAATGACAAAAAAAAATTTTTTTTTGTTTAAAAATTCAATTTTTGTTGTTGTTGTGCGTTGTACGTTCCATTCCATTCTAAATGATGATGATGATGATGATGATGATAATGATAGTTTTCTTTTTTGCTAGGAACATTTGGCCGGAAATCAGATTCAGCTGTTTCTGTTTTTTGTGTTTGTGTGTGTGTGTGTGTGGAAATTGTAAATTTAAATTTTTTTTTTTTGCGTTTTACAATTCAAATTCTGTTGTTTTGTTTGTTTGTGGAGAAAAAAAAAATTTGCATGGAATTCTTTTTTTCATTGTAAAAAAACGGAAAAATTTTTTTTTTTTGAGAATTTGCCATTTGGTTTGATTTTTTAATGGTGATAGTGAATTCACAATAAACGGCTGTTCGTTTTTGTTGTTGTTGTTGTTCGATGATCATTATGATTTGGTGATGTGATGTGTGTGTGTGTGTGTGGTGCTGATGATGATGAAAGATGCACAAAGGAAAAGAATCTGCTTTTTTAGAATTTTTTTTTGTTTTTTTTGTTTTCATTCACATAAAATAAAATGGTTCTCATAATGGTTTTCGGTATTTTTATTTCAATGATGATGATGATGATGATGAAAAAGAATTACAAATTCACCTGCGTATATGTATTTGTGTGTATTCACAGAATTAAGAAATGGAAACGGATTTGAATTGAAACTTTTTTCTTTTTCTTTTTTTTTTGTTGTTGTTTATGTTGATGATGATAAAGAATTCTTTATTCTGTTTATTCTTTTGTTGTTGTTGTTGCTGTTGATAAAATTTTAATGTTTCAAGTTGTACATTCTATTCTATTTCAAATGTAGAATAGAAATCCATTTGTTACATTCGTAATTGTAATGATAATGATGTTGTTGTTGTTGTTGTTGTCGATTTTGTTTGTTTGTTTTTTTTGCATTTCATTTCGAATGTGATATATCCAAGAATCGTATGTATCATTTCGAATGTTTTATTATTGTGTTTTGTTTTTTTTTTTTTTTGAAATTCGAGAATTCAATTATTTTGATTATATACCTGCCTTTTGTTTTTTTTTTTTGTTTCACTTTTTCTTCATGAATATACAGAATGTAAAGAATATTTTCTTTTCTACTAAAAATATTCTCGGAACCATTATTAGACAAGAAAAAAAATTGATTCTTTTTTTTACGGTTCTGGTTCTGGATGAATGGAATTTGATATCAGCTACCGTACACCCACACGCATACATACACGATGAAAAAAGTTTCAAATTCTGTATATGGGTGAAACAAAACAAAACGAAACGAAAAAAAAAATCGATTCCTGATTCGGTTTTGTTTTTAGCGGTTTGTGTAATTTTTTTTTTTAATTTTTTTTTTTTTTTTTTTTGGAATCAAACTACTGGGAAAGTTTCCAGTATAATGGAAATTATACCAGAAATTATGATTATTGTTACTATAGTGTGGTGTAATTGTTTTTTTTGTTTTCCTTTTATTACCGGTTTGGTTGGTTTAGTTGGTTGATCCAAATATTAACCATTACCAGCTGCTTTAAACGACATACGTCAAATTTTTCTGGATATAAATTTCCGGTCATATAAATATAGAATGTTGTCATTTTTGGATGATGATGATGATGATGGAAATGTGAAAAAACCAGAACCCCAGATATATTATGATGATGATTCTCATTCTGTTGACGACAAAAAAAAAAATTCTGGTAAAGCTCAAACTAACCAACTGAACCAAACCTAATAATAAATTGGTTTGTGTATGGTAGAAAATGAAATTTGTGTGTAAATACCATGTCTCCATGATGATGACAATGATGGTTTTTTTTTCTTTTGGCCTAGATTTTCATCCATTGAACATTGTGATCAATAATGATCGAATAGCCATTATGGATCAATACTGCGATGGATCCATCCTATTGGTTTTTTTTCTCTTTCCATATGGAAATGTTTTTTTCCATTTCACCCATTTCTTATGATTGAATTTTGGGTGAAACAAAAAAAAATTTGTGAGAGAGAAACCTGAACATGAATTATTTAAGAAGATTGAATCAAAACCAAAATTTGATTCAATCATCAAAAAGAATCAATGTTGTCAAATCAAGTGCTATTGCATTTGGAAAAACCGATTAGCTTTTTTTTCTGTTGATGCCAGAAAATAAACGAAACAGGAAAAAAAATTCGGTAGCATATAATCATTATCCATCGTTTTGTTTCGTTTTTTTTCTTTCTCTTCCACATTCAGATTTGATTGATTAGATTGTCATCGTTTTTTTTTGCTTACAAATTTTGTTTTTCTCTCGTATGTAATCTATACATACATGATAGTTAATGTAGTGTGTGTTTATCATTGTTTTTCTTTCTGACTTTGGTTTTTTTTCTGTGTGTGTGTGTGTGTGTGTGTGTGTTTGTCCACATGATGATGATGATGATCCATCAATTTGAGTTTGGAACAACAACAACAACAACAACAACAAGATTGCCGGTTTTTTTCTGATGATGATGATGTAAGTTTGTTGTTGTTTGCTTGTAATAATAATAAAAAAAAAGTTTAGTTTTTCTTTATGGCCATTTATCGTTATCATCATCATCGTCATTTTTTTGGGCTAAAGTGGGAGCTATTTTTTTTTAGTTGGTTGATTTGTAGTTTGCATGAATTTTTCTTGTTATTTTCTCCTTGTTTTACGATTCATATATCGTATTGGTGTGTGTGTGTGTGTGTGTTGTGTAATCACATTGATGATTGTCGATGAAATAATAATGATGAATATCTCATTGAACAACAACAACAACAACAACAACAACAACGGACAGACAGACAAAAAAAATCAAATTCAATATGATTGCCTGTTGTGTTTTTGTGTGTGTTTGTTGTGTGGATGATGAAAAAAAAAAATAACAACAACAACCGGATCAACAAAATCCTATGATGCGCGCTTTGCATCCAAATGGGTTTGTCTGTTATTTATTTTTTAATTTTTTTTGGCATTTTGATGTTAGTTCCGGTTTTTTTTCGTTCTGCTTTGTTTTGTTTTGTTTCAAATTCCAGATTTATGGTTGTAGTGTTTGGAAAAAATCAACATTTTTTTTTCTCATCGTACACGCGTATTCAATTCGGTTATTTTTTTTTTTTTTTTTATTCATTAAAATGGATAATGGACATTTGAGATGATCGAGACATTCATTCATTCATTCATTCATTCGATGATGATGGTAAAATTTATTTCAAAATGAAAAAACAAACTTGCAATATGGCAATACGTGGTCGGGCCCTTTATTGTTCGCTTTTTTTCTGTCCATTTAAGGTCCTGATTTTTTTTTTTTGTTCATATTGTCTGCATTGTAAAAAAAAATTCAATTTGTTCGTTTTCTGTGAGATGATGATGATGATGATGATGGGCCCTCTTTATCGGTCATCTTTTATATTATATGATGACCGTTTGGCAATTCAAGAAAAATGATGATGATCATCATCATCATCATTGTATATGCATATATATCGAATTACAGTGTCCAGTGTGTGTGTGTGTGTAGGTGTTTAAAGTTTTTTTTTTGTAATAATCAGGATTTTTTTTTTTTGGTTATTAGTAACCATATGTATCATTTGGATTTATATTAGTATAGGTGATTTACTACTACTAAACAAGAAAAGATGACCATCATATGAAAAAAAATTAGTAATAAATGAACTGTCGATGTAATAGTTCAATCGATCGATTGATCGATTGATAATCGATATATAATATTTCGATGTTGGCAAACAAAAAACTAACAAACAGATTTTTTTTTTTTACTTTATTTGATTTTAATTATTATTGTTATACACTGCTTCTCTATCTATCTTTTTTTTGTTTGCTTTTATCCCGTTTTTTCCCGTTTGTTTGTTTTTCAAGTATATTCGGGTTAAAAAATGACCATTATTTATCGATTTTTTTTTTTTCATTTTCGTTGCCATTTATTGTACACACACGCACACACCTATTTCAAATTTATTTTTTTTTTTTTTCGTTGTTATATGATTGTGGTTCGTTTGTTTGGGTTCGAATCCATTCCAAAGTGTCCATGTGTGTGTTTAGTTTAATTTAGTTTTTTTTGTGTTCTGTTCTGTTCTGTCTGTTCCGATAACCGGTTAATTGATAAATGGTTGAACATTTTCAAATAAAAAAAAAGTAGTCATATTTTTGGATTTACAATAGTGAACAACAGAAAATTACATTTCGTGCAATGTTCATCATCATCATCATCATCATTTTTTCATTTTTCCATAACATGTGTCATGTGTTTGTTGTTGTTGTTGTTGGTGGTGGTGGATGGATGGATATTTTAATTTTAACCCCAAACAGAAGAGAGAGAGAGAGAGACATGAACCAGACTGATGATGATGATGATGAAAATGGCAACCATTATGATCGTGCATTATAAGAAAAAAAATTGGTGGCTGTTTACTTATTTTGTTTTTTTTTTTAACACTTATTTTGTTTTTTTTTCATTCGATAAAAATTGGGCACCCAAACTTGAGTGGCCGAAATTGCATTTGCCCATTGACTGTTTTGTTTCTTTTCCTTTCACTTGTCATCATTTCACATTTTTTTTTAATCCCATAATTTGGCAAATTTATAATTGAAACAAATTCATTTTTTTCTGTGATTTTTTTGGTCATTATCATTTTATGGACCAATCGATTTTTTTTTAGTTTGGCTGGTGGTTCAACTGTCTGTTTTATTTGATTTGAATTTTTGACATTAATAATGCAATGACCGACAATTTCTTTTTTTTTTTTCTTGTGATGACGATGATCATGAATCTGACATCTTGTCAATTGTTTATCTTACAACGACAACAACAACAACAACAACAAAAGGAAAAGACCACGACCATTCAAAATGATGATGATCATCATCATGGACAATGGTGAGAAAAAAAATGAGAAAGAAAAATTGAATGGCGGAAAAAAATGATAATTTCTATATGCATCAGTAAGATTCAACTATTTTTTTTCTGTTCAGTCACTTCTTCACATTAAATGATGATGATGATGATGATGATGGCATTCAGAATGAATAAAAAAACACCAAGTAAAGGGTTGCTGCTGTTGTTGTTTTGTACATGTCCGGCAAATTCCACACAAGATTTTATAATCAAAAGGTCACGAAATGATTTTCTTTTTATGAACTGGTTTCAATGTCCATGATGATGATGATGATGATGATGACCCCCACCATCATCTTCTGATTGAAATTGATCCCTTTTTTTCTTCTTTTTCTTCATCTGAAATTCTTTTCCGATCATTCACTTTGTTGTTGTTGTTGAATTTTTCATAATCTTCAAGATGATGGATATCTGTACACACATGATTTAGGATTATTTTTCATGAATGGTTGGTAGTGGAATATATATATAGTGTTTAATTGATGTAAATGTTTGAATGTTTCAATGTTAAGTTACAAGGTTTGGTTTTGTTTCCAATGATGATGATGATGATGATTGACACATGTCTACATGAATGAAAAACATGGATAAATGTAAATGTTTTTTTTTGTGCGTGTGTGGGTGGGTGTGGAATGTATTTTTTTTTTGTGTGTGTGTGTGTGTAGGTGTGTGAGATTTGTTTTTTTATTAATAACATTTGTAGCCACACACACACACACACACCATATGATTTGGTTTGATTTCATTCAAGGATTGTTCAGCATCATTCAATAATCGATTGAAAATCAAAATAATGATAAGAATGATGGTGGCTAGTTCGACTTTTGTTTGACCTTAATGAGAGATCAATGATTTTTGTTTTTGTTTTGTTTTGTTTTGTTTTTCATCCGATTCCCTTATTTTTTTCCTGTGTATTTTTGGATCGATTTTTAATGCAATCGGCCATATACAAGTTTGATTTTATTGATTTTTGTTCACCCACTACATTGTCATCTGTGTGTGTGTGTGTGTAAAGTGGACAAGTAGCAATGGCATGTCATCTTCATTCTCTGTTTCTGTCTGTCTGTCTGTGTGTGTGTGTCAGTGTGTTTGTCACAGACAAAAAAATTTTTTTTTTTCGCCATTATAAATGGTCAGTTGCAGTTTTATTTGTTGATGATGACCAAATCGAATGAAAATTCATTTCACTTTTTTTTCCATTTTTTTTTATTGCTGACGTTAACGATTTAAGAATCAAATTTCTCATCATCCAGTATTTAATTGGCCATTGGACAATGGATTTTTGTGTTTTGTGTTCTGTCCAGTCGATTCTTGCATTTTTTCCAGTGTAAATTTATGTAACGCCAACAACAAACAAACGAAACAAGAAACCCATTCGTTACTGTTCAAACATTCATCATAGTCATTTATGAATGGTTTGTTCAAAGATAATGGTGGTGGTTTCCTTATGGTTTTTATCTGTTAAAACCATAGAAGAAAAAAAACGATGACAAATGACATTGATTGACGTGGTGTGCGTGTGTGTGTGTGTGTGTGTTTTGTTTTTGGGCGTCATAAAATTCTGGTATGGTTTTTTTCATTTCATTTCATTCACACACACACACACATTCATCATAAGTTGACGTCAAGATTAAACAAAAAAAAATTTCCGGTTAAATTCAAAATTGAACCGTTATAGTTGAACAATAAATGATTAACCGGACTGTTTGTCTCTGGTTAATGTCTGTCTTGATGATTATTGAGAATCCTGAGTTGTTGTTGTTGTTGTTGTTTGGTTCGACAAATTCCAGATTCAATTTTCACTAAAAAAAAAAAATTCTTATCACTCATGACTAGATATTTTCTGGCTAAATCAATGATGATGATGATGATGATTTTTTTTTTTTGTTTTTCATATTCTTGATTCTTCTTCTTAAAGAATCGTTATGGCCAATATTCATGGAATTAGGAATTTCCATCTCTCTCTCTCTCTCGCATTTTGCCTGGATGGGATACAAAATAAACGAAAATCGTGAGTACTGCGAAAGAGAGAGACAGAATAAAAAAGTTAATCTTTGCTCTTTTTTTTGGGTTTAGTTTTTCCCAGTAATAATAATAATAATAATAGGATAGGATGGCCATTGGCCATTTATTTGGTCAATATAACATAACAATAATAATAATAAACAAAAGTCCATCTACTTAAATCCCTTTTAACAAGAGACAAAACTTTTTGGTTTTTTGTTTTTGTTTTATTATCTTAATTTTTTTTTGTTATTCCTGTTTGTTTGTCTGAAATATTCTGAATTCTCTGTTTGGCGAAAATAAAAAACATTCCTGTTTGTTTGTTTGTTTTGAAAGAATTTTTTTTTTTTTGCCATCGTTTGGTTAAGAAATGATGATGATGATGATGATCAAATGAACTGAATTATGGTCATCAATGATCATTGATCATCGATTTATATTGGTTGATTGGTTATAAATACTTCTCTTTTTCTGTTGTTGTTGTTGTTGAAAAAATTCCAATTCTTGTTTGTTTTGTTTATTTGTTTTTTTTTCGATTAAATAAAAAATAAAAATTGATCATCTCGATGATAACGACGACGATGATTGCTTTGTTGGCATATCATTGTTTTTTTTTGTTTTCTAGCACATTCGATTTGCACTCATTCACTTACTCAATCATCGATTATATCGATATATAGATTGTTCTTTGTTCTTTCAGATTTTGTTTTGTGTTGAGTTCTTTTGTGACAAAAAAAAAAAAAATTGTCACCATGGAACAAATTAAAGTTGACAGATCAAACACAAAAGATAAAATAAGAAAAGAAATCCTCTTTTGATGATGATGATGAAGATTTGTACAGTTATAATTATTGTACATATCCGATTTTATTTTTTTCCATGTCAACGACATTATCAGTGTTATCTTATTATATAAATATGAAACGTGATATGATGATGATGATGATGTAAACCATTTTTTTTTTGGTCACGAATATGATGATGATGTTTTGTATTTTGTAACTTTTTTGTTGTTGTTGTTGTTGTTGTTGTGTTGTTTGACCTCATTGACAAAATCATCATCATCATATGGAGATAATAATTTGTTATAATGATGACACTATATCAATTATCATCATCATCACCATTGTTTATTTGATGATGATGATGATAAACTGATTACTGATCGATTGGATTGATTGATTGATTCTATTAATGAAAAACGAAATTTTTTTTGCTTTTTTTTGAAATTTGATAACCTTTGAACCCACTTTAACTGTTGTGTGTTTTTTTGTGTGTGTGTGTGTGTGGAATGAAATTTTATTTTTTTTTTCACATCATCATCATCATCATCATCATCGTTTGATGAGCGTGAATGATGATGATGATGATAATAAAATTGTAAATGACAACGAAATCAATGATGATGATCATCAAATTGCATCCATCATCATCATCATCATCGTCGTCGTCGTCGTCGTCGTCGTCTGGGTGGTGGTTGAAAGTCAATTTTTTTTTTTTTTTCTTCTTCTTCACTGCTTGCTGTTTGACAAATCTTTCGATTTACAATATATATAAATTACACTATTATTAATTGATTGATTGATTGATTGTCCAATTGTTTTTATTGTTGTTGCTGTGAAACAAGTTTCATCATCATCATCATTGGTTCCAACTGGGAAGTAGGTAGTTTCCGGTAAGTATTCATTGTTGTTCCATTGGCCTAAATCGTTTTGTTTCTATGTCTGCTGCTGTTGTCTGTTGTTGTTGTTGTTGTTGTTGTTGTTGTCCACTTTAATTGAATGGAAATTGTTGGTAAAATGATTGATCAGCAATCTTTTTCTGTGTGTGTGTGTGTGATATATGTGAAATTTCCCTGTAGAAACACGGCATGCTGTTATTTTCTTGAAAAACAAAAATCATAATTAGCAATGATGATGTCAGAGTGAAAAAAAAAATATGAAAATATGAAAAATGATTTTGCAGTTTGATTATGACAACAACACTGTGTGTGTGTGTGTCAATGATGATGTTAATTGAATTTAATTTTTAATTTTCACTGATGTTGACATTGATGATGTCATCATTTTATAATTTTTTCAACAGCAAAAACGTCGAAAAATTGGCTTCTGGTGCACATGTGTGTGTGTACTGTGTGTTCATGTTACAATGATAAAAATTGATGATGACAAAAAAAAAAAAAAAAATTCTGAAAATGAAAAATTCCTCAATTATTTACTGGAATTATTTATTCATATATACAACAAAACTTTTTTTTTTTTGCAACAAAAATTCTTCATTTTGGGCAAAGATTATTATCATCATCATGTATTTACATAACACACACACACACACACACACACACATGTATATAGTGAATGAAATTATTCCGGTTTATTGCACATGACTTGTGACAATCAATTTCATTCACAATTTTCATTTTGTCTCATTTTTGCCATCATCACTGCCTCTTGGATCATTTTTTTCCCGCTGTTATTTTGTTGTTGTTGTTGTGTTGTGTTTATTTTCTCACCATTTTTTTTTCTATCTTGCTCCCTGTGTGTGTATGTTTCGTAATTCTACTACACTAAATCAGAATAATTCAGAATACATTTCATTGGTAGTATAGAACTAATTTTAAGATCCAATGGAATAATTAATTAATTAACCCTTTTTTGCTAGTTATATTCTGGTTGTTTTCATTCTTATTTTGTTTTGAATATCTTGTCTTTAGAGATTAAAACTGATGCACACACACACACACGAACAAAATGACATCCAATTTTTTTTTCTCTCTCCATCTCTATATCTTTCTTTGAAAAACGACGTTTAATGAGGTGAAAATTTTTTTTCTGATCCTGATTCTGGAAGAACAAAAAAAATAGAATATCATTATGCATTCCATAGTGTGGTAGTTTGGTTCGGTCAACAACAACCAAAATTCCGGCCAACGAAACGAAACGAAACGAAAAATCCATGACTATGTGTTTGCTTCCTATGCAAACACGTACGCAAACACATATTCACCGAATGAGGAAACTACAAAAAAAAAAAAATTTAAATTTCAATTCATGAAATACAACAACAACGAAAAAAAAAATTCAATCAAATACAAACACAAACACACACACAATGCAGTTGGATGAATATTTGTACCAAAGGATCCTAAAAATTCAAACAAAATCTTTTTCTATTCCTGTTTGGGATTTTTCTTATTTTCTAACTCAAACACTCCAATAAAAAAAAAAAAACTCGTGCTCCCATTACAAATGTTTTTCTGGGAGACACAAACTTGTCAATCGTATTGGTATGTTTAGTGTGTTTTAGTGTGTGTGTGTGTGATGTCAAGCTGCGTTTTTTTTTTTGCTTTTGCTTTTTCTTTTGGATTTATAATAATAAATACAAGATGAACGAATCCGAAAGTTATTGTGTATTGAGGATTTCCACTTATATGATATGATATGATGATGATGATAAATGGGGATGAGCTAGCTAGTTTGAACCATTTGATGAAAATTTTTTTTTTGTTTTGTTTTTCAATCAATATACACATGTGATTCATAGATATTGGATTGTTGTCACTCGTTTTTGTTGTCGTTGTTGTCGTCGTTGTTGTTGTTGTTGTTGTTGTTTGGTGAAGAAATTCTAATTGATAATTTTTTTTTCTCTGGTGGATCGATCGATGATTGAACCAAAGAAAAAAAAATTCGGTTCCATTTGTGTATTGCCTGTGCCATACATGCACAGATGATGATGGTGATAGAATTGAAATGTCCAAGAATTGATTCTGTCTCTATGTGTGTGTGTGTGTGTGTGTGTGTTTGGCGGATATCATTTTTTTGTTTTGTTTTGTTTGATTAATTTATATTTTCTTCTTTCCATTATCATTTGGCTGTTGTTGTTGTTGAGCAGAACAAAATTGAACATGGATGATGATGATGATGATACGCACACATACGGAAACAAAATTGTTTTATCCATCCACATACATGTCATCATTGATGTGAATGATGGAAAAAAAATGAGATGAGATGATGAGAACAAATGGTTATCTTTGGCCAAGTTTTTTTTTTCTTCTATACATCTGTGTGTTTTGTGTTGATGTCCATGGAAAACATTTATCCCATTCACAAATACTATGTGTGTGTGTGTGTGTTTTGTTGGTTGAAATCATCATCATAAATATTCAATATATATAAAAAAAATCCCAATCTTTTTAATTTTTGAGTTTTTTTTTGCTTGGATTTGTTTGTGTGTGTGTGTGTGTGATGTGATACATCGATTCTTGAAATTCTGTCACCCTCTTTCTGTCTGTCTTTACATGTATGTTTCACTGGGATTTGATTTTTTTTTCTCTTTCCATTGGTCCGTCAATGATAAGACATATTGCCGTTTTTCAAATGATTTCCTAATGGTTTCCCAGTGTGTGTGTGTGTGTGTTTCTGGTCCAGAAGTTCTTTAGAAAGAGAGAGAGAGAGAAAAAATATTTCATATTCTCGAGACTCTCGATTTTTCCAGTGTGCCATGTCTTTTCTTTTTCTTTTTTTTGGGTATTTCTACTTGAATTTCTACGATTCAAACAAACAAAAGAACAAAAAAACAGAATTTTATTTCAAACGAATCGATAAAAAAAACACAACAACATAAAATTGATAATAGAATTTTTTTTTCGCCCGTAAAAAAATGAAAAGTTTGAATATTTCAAAGAATTGAAAGAATCAAGCACGTACACACACACACACACACACACACATAATGGTGTGTTTCATATCAGGAATTTTTGAATGAAAAAAAATTCTTCAGATCATCATCATCATCATGATGATGAGTATATAATTAATGGATTGCAGCATCACTATTGAATCATCCTTTATCTTTTTTTTTATATTGAATTTCAATGAGTTATTCTGTTGTTGTCGAAAACTTTTGTCATGTCTTTATATTTTTTTTTGCTGTATGACCCACGATTAACTCGCACTCAATAATCTTTGAATGAATATAAACTTTAAACTTTTTTCTACGCCAACAACGACGACGACGATAATGATGATGATGAAAATCTTGATGAACACAATAGTAAACAAACAACAGAAAAAAAGAAAAGTCAAATCCAAAAAGCAGCAAAGAAAAGCAAATATTTTGCCTCTTAAGTGGAATGGAAAATTTTTTTTTTTCTCTTGGCTGTTTGAACACAGCTTCTTTTTTTCATTCTTGTGCAATGAATGAATAATCGTAATTATTCGTTTGTCGGTTGGTTGGTTGGTTGATCCAGAGCTTATCTTGGAACAACAAACAACAACAACAACACGAATGACGATGGTCCATTAAACCAATTATAATTGTCTCTCTCTAAGGTCTCTCTCTTTTTTCTGTTATTTTTTTTTTTTGGGTGTTCTAAATGGCATTGTTCAACTTTTAAACTTTTTTTATCCATTTTACTCTTTGCACATCTCGTTACTAATTATTCACAATTTTTTTTTAATTGTCACAAAATTCTATTACCAATAAAAATTATTTTTCCTTTTCTTTTTGAAAAATCTTCTGAATTGTATTCAATTTCATGTGTTGGCCAGTCATTTTCATGGCTTGACCTCCATCTTGGATCAAAATCTAAAATTTGAAAAATGCTAATAACAAGCAATTTTTCCGTATCAATGCTGATTTCATTTTGTTAAATAATTAATTATTATAATTTATCAAAAATCAAAATTAAAATCAAAAACCAAAAAACTAAAAATCAAGACAAAAAAATTAAAATTGCAAATCAAAAATTAAAAAAAAATCCAAAGCAGAAGATTAAAAGATCACAATTCACGAATCAAAAATCCAAAGTGAAAAATTAAAAAAATCGCAAATCACGAATCAAAATTCACGAATCAAGAATCAAAAATCACAAATGACGCTTGAACTTACACATTTATATTAAATTTAAATTCACATTATACACATATGTATCACGAACATTAAACACACATCATCATAACACAAAATGTGTTGTCGAATTTTTTCAAAGTTCATATGATTTCATATCAATAGAAAATGATTCCGGATGGATTATCAACCTTGTCATCGACAGTACACCCCTAAATAGCCAACAGCAGCAGCAGCAACAACAAAACTATCATTATCATCAACATACAATCAAAATTGTCATCGTTGGTGATGTACAAGTGGGCAAAACATCATTGATACAACGTTTCATTGCTAATCAATTGCCTGGTGTAAGTGTTGTTTGAATGAAAAAAAAAATTTAAAAAATTGCAGTATTTGTAGTAGTAGTAGTAGGCAGTAGATTTGAAAGAATAGACAAAAAATGATTCGATGAAAAAAAAGAAGAAAAAAATTTCGATGTAGGTGGTGTTGGTGGTGGTGTTTGGTGGTGGTATGATATAAGTGGATTAAATTCTTTTTTTCCATTTCAAAGAATCACATTTTTCTTTTGGAGTTTTTTTTTATTTTGAAAATTGAATTTTTTTTTCCATTTCACTACTACCATATCTTTCGCTGTATTTTGGATCATTTTTCTTGATTAAAGTCCATGTTTTCTTTTTTTTTTTTTTTTTTTTTTTTATTTTGGTCTAGATTTACATTCCAACCGGATTTGATAAATATACGGCCACATTTGAAGTTGGTGGCCATCATTTTCATACAAATATTTGGGATACATCGGGTAAGTGGACTGATTTTTTTTTCTTATCAATTTTGGTTGATTGATTTTGAACAACACAACAGGTTCATCTTCATATGATGCAGTACGGCCATTAGTTTATGATGAAACCAATGTGTTTTTAATATGTTTCAATCTTGGTGATTGGTATTCATTGCATAATGTTGTACAAAAGGTAAGGTTTCGTATTGGATATTTGATGAAGATTTTCTTAATTTGATTTGTTTTCTGTTTTTTATCGACAGTGGTATCCAGAGATACGAAAATATACCTCAAAATCAGATTTACCAATCATATTGATTGGCTGCCAAAATGATCAAAGATTTATTGATGCTGATCATCATCATCATCATCATCATCATATTTATGAATCATCATCAACGACGACAACAACATTACCGGCAATTGTTGATTTGAATGATGATTGTAAACGAAAAATTGTTTACACTGAAGAGGTAAATATAGTATTGTTTTGTTTTGTTTATGAATTTTATTCCATTTGAATCTGAAACAATGAAAAAAAAAAAACAAAACGAAAAACGAGAATTGAATTTTTTTTCAAAATCGAATTTTCCAATTGAAACAAACAATGTACACATGATTAGAATAAATATTTGGCTACCGACAATCTGTAGGTTCAGTTGTGTTTTTTTTTTTTGCTTAAAAAATAGTGTCTATAGTGAATTTTGTTTATTCGTTTGTTGAATCAATAATAATAATATAATGGATCAATCTCAAAAACAACAACAACCACCGCCACCATCACCACCGATGCAAAAATTACCAATCCCACCGGTAGTAGCAGCAGCAGATAATCAAACAGCATTGATTGTGGATTATTCAAATTTATCGAATAAAGAACAGCAGCCATTGATTGATAAAAATGAAGAAAAATCCAACAACAACAACAACATCAATAATGATGATAAAGATGATAATCATTTTCTATCGAAATCATTACAAGATGAACGAACACAAATGATACGTTCATTGATTGAGGAACAACAAGAATTATCGAATCAAATAAATATAAATTTAAATACAAATACAAATAATCATAGAAATTCATCCAAAAGTGATTCATCATTATCATTGAATACGGCTACCAAAATATTGAAAAGTAAAAGAAAATCAATAACAATGAAAATGAAAAATTTTAATAATGACCACCATGATGACCATGATGACCATCATAATATTGATTGATCCAATTGACTCACACACCCACACACACACACACACACATATATGCCTCTTTTTTCAGATTCAAATGGATTAAAATTGTTTGTTGTTGTTTGTTTTTAATTTTGATTTTGATTATTCGATTTTATTATTATTATTATTCAGGCAATGGAAATATCCAGACAAATTGGTTCAATAACATATGTAGAGACTAGTTCATATAATCCAATCACTGTACGTGAAGCATTCGAAGTAGCAGCATTGTCGGCACATGGAAAATTATTAACATTCAATAATAATTTAAGATCAATGATGATGATGTCGCCTACCATTTCGAATGTACAAACATCATCACCATTTTATGGTTTAAAACATTTTATTTCATTATCAACATCATCATCATCAACAACAACAACAGCAACAGAATTATCATCACCAACAACAAGTATTAATAGTGATGGTTCATCAAATCATTCATCATCAAATTTTGGTGGTGGTGGTGGTGGTGGTGGTCCGAAATTAAAAACATCCAGTTCATCTACCCATCTGACACGAAATCGTTCATTATTTAAATTACGTAAATGTAAAAGTAAACAAGATTTACATCACCACCATCAACAACAACAACAACAACAACAACAGCAACATCGTACTCATGGCAATGGTGGTTTAATATCGATGATGATGAAAATTAAAAATAATAATAATGTTGATAACAATAATGGCCATCATAAAAAATCATCATCAATAATATCCGGTTTATCATCATCGATTGGTGATGATAATTATAGTAACAGTACTAATAGCTGTAGTAATAGTGAAATATCGAAAAAATCTTGTATTATCATGTAATTTGGAACACACACACACACACACATTCTGTATTTTGTCACCTTTTTTTTTATTTTCGATGTTGTGATTCCAATGAATTTTTGTTTGTTTGTTTAAATTCTCACATTAATGTGGTATTTTGTATATATTCAATTTTTGTTTGTTTCCGTTTTTTCTAATTCTTTGATCGTCGTTTTTTTTTGTTTTGTCTTGTTTTTTTTTTTTTTTTTTTTGAGTAAAAAAGAATAAAATGAATTCGAATCGAAATGTGTGTGTGTTTTTTTTTTTTTATTTCACCAAAATCAAATTTCTGAATGTGTTCGCCATCTGTCGGAAGTGAAAAAAAATGCGCTCAAGTTTTTTTTTCATCATTATCATTGAGCATGTGTTGTGTTTTCCATGTTATGACTCAAAATGACTGTAAATTTTTTCATTTCTTTTTCATTTCAATTTTTTTTTTTTTTTTTTTGATCATTTGACATATGGTCAATCGATTTCAATCAACGCACACACACACACAGACATTCAGTTTCATTATCGAAAGACAAACAAATATTGCTATTTTTTTTTTGAAAAAAATCGACATTTTCGTTGATCAACGATTTGTTTGTTGAGAAAAAACATTTTACGATTTAAGATTGAATGAATAAATGAACAAACACACACATGCATGCATGTGTGTGTGTTATCAACCACACCCTAACTGTATACAGTATCCATCAATCCATATGGAAATCTAAATCCATTTGTGATGAAGAAGTGGCATAGTGTGTGCATTTGTTAGAATCATCATTATCAACATCATCGACCCGGTTATGTTGATGATGATGATGATGAAATGGTATGAATTTATTGTAAACACAGCCCGAATAATTTCTTATTTCATTTTTTCTTTTCATTCATTCATTCACTCTATAGTTGATCATCATTTTCAACAACACCGACAACGTGTTTTTTATTTCTTCATTTTTTTCTATGAATCTTCATCATCATCGTCTTTATGTGATATAAATCATTGTCTATCCACCCATCACCAGTAAAAAAAAAAATGGCTACTATGGGAATGGGAAGAATATTCTTTACATCATCGACAATTATTACAATAATAATGATGATGATGATAATCCAACAAAGCCATCAAGAATATTTTACAGCATTAGTACATTTAGAAAAATTATTAAAAACTGAACAACATATTGTTGAAAGTTTAAATAATTATTTGGATAATGAAGAAAAACGTTTAGCATCATTACGACAATTAGCACATCATTATAATCATCTCAATATGGTTGCCAATCAAGATGTGCAAACATATTTATCCAATCCAGTTAATGCCTATCTATTGGTGAAACGTTTGACAACCGATTGGAATCTTGTCGAATATCTAATAGACGCTGATCGTAAAGATTTAATTCATTTATTGACAGAAAATGAAACATTTCCATCAGCTGAAGATTTATCTGGTTTGTTTTGTTCTGGTTTTTTTCTGATTTTTGATTCATAAATTGTGTTTATATTATATAGGTGCTGCTGAAGCATTGCTTCGTTTACAGGATACATATAAATTGGATACAACAATGTTAGCCGATGGTGTGATACCTGCAATAAAAAATCAACATCCAATCGATTATTATGATGATCTCAATAATAAACATAAAATAATCGATGAGAATGATGTGAATTCGGCCATTGATTCGGCAACGAAATTAACAATGCCATTAACAGCGAATGATTGCTATGAACTTGGTAGACAAGCATATCATCAAAAAGATTATCATCATACTGTTTTATGGATGAAAGAAGCATTACGACGTTTGAATGATGAATATAATGAATCACCATCTATGGCGAATAAATTACGTTATGATCGTGTCAACATTCTTGAACATTTAGCATTTGCATCCTATCAACTTGGTTCATTACAAGAAGCATATGAATATACTGTCGATTTATTGGATATAAATCCAAATCATGAACGTGCACGTGGTAATCTAGAATTTTTCAATAATGAACTAAACATTAGTAATCGTTTACGGCGTATACGTAAAGGCGATACTAATGATCCGGATGTGCCGGATGAAAATTCCATTAGTGAATCAACATGGCCATTAGAAGAGAATGAACGTGATATATATGAAGCATTGTGTCGTGGTGAAAATCGTTTACATGAATCAATTCGTTCCAAATTGAAATGTTATTATCTGGATACAAGTAAATTGTTGGATAAATTTGTTCGTTTATGGCGTATAAAAGTGGAAGAAGCATATAAACGGCCAAATATTGTTCTTTTTATTGATTTTATGTCCGATGATGAAATCGAAGTGGTCAAACGATTAGCCGAACCAATGTTAAAACGTGCTACTGTACAGAATTATTTTACCGGAAAATTAGAAACAGCCAAATATCGTATTTCAAAATCAGCATGGTTAACTAATCGTGATCATGAAATTGTTTATCGTATTTCACGTCGTATTGAAGCAATTACTGGACTAGAAATGGACACGGCCGAAGAACTACAAGTAGTCAATTATGGTATTGGTGGTCATTATGAACCACATTATGATTTTGCACGTAGAGAAGAACCTCGAGCATTCGATTCATTGGGTAAGCATGTGTTTGTTTATTTGTTTTTTAATATTTTATTATCCCATGAGAAAATTAATATATGATGATTATTTTGAACACAGGAACAGGTAATCGAATTGCAACATGGCTAAATTATATGAGCAACGTACAGGCTGGTGGTGCTACCGTATTTCCACATTTAGGCGTTCAATTATGGCCACGAAAAAATGCTGCTGCATTCTGGTATAATCTTTATAAATCTGGTGATGGTGATCTACTCACTAGACATGCTGCATGTCCTGTATTGGTTGGTTCAAAATGGGTATCCAATAAATGGATACATGAAGTTGGCCAAGAATTTCGAAAACCATGTGGCCTTTGGCAAAATGAATTGAATATTGTACAACACATCGATTAGAAATTCATTCAATCAATCATCAATAACAACAACACGTATGTATGCAAATGGATGGATGGATAGAAATGACATTCAAATCCTCAAGGGAATATCCACTTTGTTTAATTAATTTGATCCGGATTTTATCATCTATCATCATCGCGCCTACACATATCGCCATTTACCCTGTAGTTAGTGCCGATGATACCATCCATTTGTGGATCAATGTATCTAGTCTTTTTTTTGCATATATATAAAATAATCGAAAATTTCTCAAAAAGACGTAACCAACGAGTTGGTCCGTAACTCTAATGTTTGTACCGTCTATAAAAAAAAATCCAATTAAAAATTACAGTTACAAATACATACGCTTATTGATATTCATTGGTCAATTTTTTATTTGCTTTTTCACTGGTAGGTAATTTCCTTTTATTCGTCGTAACCAGATTTTTTAAATGAGCATACCGGCTACACAGGCTGTCATAAAACAGGCAATAGATCCAGTTACCATTGCACGAAATGCCAATTCAGCTAGATCGGATGCCCGTGCAGGAGCTAATGTACTCAATGAACCAACTTGAATACCAATGGAGCTTAGATTTGCAAAACCACATAAAGCAAATGTTGCAATTGTTTGTGAACGATTCTATGATGAAATGAATGGAGAAAAACAAAACAAAAACATGACAATTAATGGTGAGAAAGAAAAAAAAGTATAATTAAATGTTGTTGTTGTTGTTTTTTTGGTTGTTGCTAACCGGTAATATTTTTTCCGGTAAACTTGACAACAACAACAACAATTACCGTAATGGAACCAATGGCAATATATTCGGATAATTGTTGATAAGCAACAAATTCATTGATAAACATTTTTATTCCAATTAGACCGGCAATACGTTCAGCATCGGACCATTCAACACCTAACATCATGGCTATTGGTATGAATAATTTCGATAGAATCATCTATTATCATCATCATCAAATTCAGGTCCGATCAATCAATAATTAATCGACAAAATAAAAGAAAGAAAGAAAACGAAACAAAAATAAATAAAAATGAGCCAATAAAAATTTGGTAACATTTTGATTATTATCGATTATTGAATGATTTTTTCCTATTTCTCGACTATTAACTACATTTAATGAATGAATAAATGAAATATTTTTGCTTACCTTGAAGCTTAATTCTGGTAGATCGATCATCATGCCAAAATAATTGATGACAGCATCCAAAAATGTTAGAAATGAAACAAATGCAATTAGATTGGCCAATATACTTGCTACAAGACTACAAAAAAAAATAAATTCATTCAATTTGAATTGATCAATGAATGAAAATGGGAAAAATGGAATGAAAAATTGCATTTGAAATTAGATTTCAATGGGAATTACCACATGAATGAATGGAAATAACAAAAAAAAAAAATTGGCAATACAGTACCCAGCAACAAACCATACCTGACGGCTGAAATGGCTCCATTGGATCCGGCTTCAATGGCGCTTCTTTCTGATCTGTAAGAAAAACAAAATTTTTTACATCACAATTGATTCATGAAATTATCGATAATGGAAAAAAATGATAATAATCGAACCATTTACACATTTATTTGATCATCATCATCATACCCGATGATTATTTGTTATGTACATTGAGTAGTGTCATTTTGCAAACACGTTTTTTCGAATCATCGAAAAAACATTTTCATTGCCACCTCATTTGTTGTTCATACAGAAATGTAAAAAAAAACTTGAACAATAAAATGCAAAATGATTGCCTCTGACTGGCTGATTACTGATGGCTGCGCAGTGAATAATGATTCGAACACGATTTGGCTTAATAAAATTGATGATGATGATGATTGATCATAAATGACGATACACAAGATACAAACAGACTTGAAATTCATCGAAAATTACCCTTGAATATCTCTGGCATCTCGACGATTCCATTATCATATTTTTGCCATTTATATCAATAAATCATTGCGAATCAAAAAAAAAAAAAAAAATCGAATATCGATCATTCGTTTGTTTGGATTTACTTTCATTTTTCTTTCTCATGATTTCTTATTCAAATTGATTTGAAATTTAAAATTTTTCTATGAAAAAAAAAATTGTAAATATTGATCATGATGATGATCATACATTTAAGGGAAAAGATTGTCATTCGAATCAATCGAATCGTATGATTCAATGTTTGGAATGAGTTGTTTCCGAAATCGATAACGTTTTGAATCGACTATCGAAAATCAAACATAAAGAGAGTCAGAGAGAGAGAGAGACATCGATCATTTCGAGAAGATTCTTCCGATGGAAACAAAAAATATAAAGAAAGCGAACAAACAAACAAACAAAAAAAACTTAACCCCTTGAGTCTTCTACTACACAGATGTATTACGTTACACTTTACTTGTTGTCGAACAAATGTTTCAAAATAAAACCATATTACAAGGAATTTTCTTTGACATTTCAATTAAAAAAAAAAAAAAAAAACTTCTTCTTCAAAGACCCCCAAAAAAAAATAAACTTTTTTTTCTTCATCATCTCATTCACTATTTATAATGACAATAAAAAAGTTGTTCAATCATCATGATGATGATGATGATGATGAGTTTTTTTCAAAAGAATCAAGAATATATTCTTGTAGGAAGGTTTTCTTTCTCTCTCTCTCTATCTCCATGGTTATTACTTGAGCATTAGCAATAAATGTAAATGAAAACATTGTCGTTTACATTCTTCGTTTTTTATATATATGGAATATATTCAAATGATTCAATTATTAATCATGCAAAAAAAAAAAAAATATTATCGATGATTTTTATCATCATCATCATCTGGATCATTATTATTATTCTGATCAAAAAAAAAAAAAAATGTAAAAATTGTATCGATAACACAAAACAAACAAACATTCATTGATCGAATATTTATTTTTTTTTTTTTTTTTGATTATTTATTTATATCACATAATAAACATCACACATCACCATTCATTCATTCATTCATTCATTCATGTAACTCATATTTTGTGATGATAAAATACACAAAAATAGAATGAAAACATTTTTCTAGTTTTTTTTCCAGTCTCTTTTGAAATCAAACAACAAACAAACAAACAACAAACAAAACAAAAACATTGAACATTGACATCGATTCATCGATTATTGGCAATAATACAACATACCCTTTTTCTAAACAAATATCATCTACAGTTGTTTTGGATTGTTCCGTTTCTGGATAGAATAATTTTGATAATGCTAATGCAGCCGGTGCTGCCATCACACTTGCTGATAATAAATGTGTTGCCGATATCTAATGTGATAATTGGATGATATATATAGATATAGAATAATATAAAAATTAATCGAACGAACGAACGAATAAATAAATAAAACTTACACCAAAACTAATATATGCAGCCATCACAGAACCAGCAATAGTGGCAAAACCACCAGTCATAACGGCATGTAATTCTGATTTTGTCATTGATGATAAAAATGGTTTGATTAGTAATGGACTTTCACACTATTATCATGACAGGAATTGGTGGTGGTGGTGGTACAAAGTGAAGAGAAAAAGAAAAAAAAAACACATGACAAATGAATGAATGAATGAAATGAAATGTTGTTTGATTGAATGAATATTCTGAATATTACCATTCCAAGAAAAATATTTCCCGATGCTGATATTGATTCACAAGCCGTTGTACCGATGGTTGTCTGCAGTAGATGGCCAAATTTATTCACAATAATTTGCATTATACCATAATAATATAATATTGATACGAAAAAACTGAAAAATATTATTACAGGCATACCGGACAATGCAAATATTGAGCTCTGCACCATTAATGGTAATGATGGTAATTGAACCTGTATTTGGTCATTCATCATCATTTCTATATTACTACTACTACTACTACCAATAATCAATGTATAATTTCCAGCTATTGTACCAAGTAGTTGACCATTAGATAGATAACCAAATACCATTTCTGTACCAGATTTTGTGAATGATAAAAATGTATTAATCTTATCACCAATACATTGAAATATTGATCGGCCAATTATTGTTTGCAATACAAATATACCAAACAATAATTGTACGGTGAAACCCCATAATATCTGATTCCAATTGATATGATGTCGATGTTTCTTAAATAGAAAAGAGAGAAACAAAAAAAAATTAATAATCACGACGAAACTAAATGAAAGTTTATTATTACCGAACCAATGAAACCAATAAGAATGAAACCAAAATAACCGGCAACAGAATAAATTCTTTCTGGCTGCCTATAACAACGTATACCGATTATAGTACCAATCGATAACAGCACAATTGTCCAACATAAACAACGTAACAAACGGCGAAATAAATCCGAAATACAGTGGTCATTTAAATGATTAAATGACCGCGAAATTATTGGCCAAAAATATGGTACAATTATAAAACGTTTAATTAACGACATGTAAATCAATGCCGTAATGATGACCAATAATTTAACACCATCACAATAATTTTCGGTCTGAAATAAAACAATGAAAAAAAAAAAAAATGAAATTCAATCCAATCAACAACAGGTATTATGATGATGATTTACCTTGTCCCATGATTTATGTATAGCATAGGCTAGAAATAAATTATATAAAACAAATATAAATGCATAAAGTAAATGACGTGCAAAACGATTTCCAAATAAAAATTGACTAAATTGTATGCTCAATTCAGATATTTCACGTTCATATAATGGTCGTTTTGTTGTTGTTGTTGTTGTTGTTAATTTTTCATTTTCAATAACATTTATCTGTTGCTGATTTTGATGATGATTATGATGATAATTACTAAACTGTTGTTGTTGTTGTTGTTGTTTTGATGACTGGTGCTGCTGCTGTTGCAGCTGTTGTTGTTGTTGTTGTTGTATATCGATTGGAATCACATGATTCGATGATGATGATGATGATGATGATGATTGCTCCGGTAAAAATGATGATGATGATTCTGATTCCGTTATTGTTGTTGTTGTTGATTTGTCCATCGTACGGAATTGTTTGAATTTTTTCCTTTTCACTTTTATTTTATTTGATGTGTGAAGAAAATTTGATTGAATATTTTGTGACAAAAGAAATCACAGATTGTCAAACAAACACACGCACACGCACTAATTATAATGTTGTTGATGATGATGATGATGATGATAAATCATTGCCGAAAAGCTTCAATTGACAAAATTTTTTTTTCTGGTAAAAGTAAAGATAAATTGATGAAGAATGTGTTCAGAGAGAGAGAAAAAAACAGCAAATTAATAATGTCATCTAATCGAATTAAAATCAATTTCATTTATACATGATTGAATGAATTTCATTTCCATCAAAAAAAAAAATTCAGCAATTTTGTATTGAATTTCCAATCATCCAATCATTTCCAATCAATTCATTCATTGGTCATAACCCATTTAATTTTGATCAAAATGAAAACGAAAATGGATACTCTTTCTACATATGTGTATGTGTAAGTGTAAAATCTCAAAGCAAAACATCCGAATGACGATGAATGGTGAATGAATGAATGAATGAATGGCTTTTGGTGAATATTTCTGATGGTGATTCAATGAAATCCGACAAAATAAAAAAAAATTATCAATCAAACAAACAAAAAATCTGTCAACAAATTATCTACATCTTTATCGTCGATTTTTTTTTTTTTTGGCTGGATATTAAATGGCCAAAATTGATAATCATAATCATCATCACCATATAATTTGTTTATATCATAAACATTCAGAAAAAAAAGAAAAACAAAGAATAACAAAAAATTATCAAAAACAGAAATTTTCACCCGGAAAGATGGACATGCATTGGATGGTTTATTCTTTGTCCTAGATTTTTTTTTTTTTTGCTGGAAATTTGAACATCAAAGTTTTCAGCGATATTTTTGTTTTCATCCAAATGACAACAACAGCGATTAAAATTGTAAAAGTTTTTTTTTCTGTTTTGTTTTTTTTTCTATAGAATGAAATTTGAAATCCTGAAAAAACCATCATCATCATCATCATCATCAGCATCGATAAAAATTTTTATTGATTGATCGATCGATGTTGCAATGCATGAATGAATGAATAAATGAAATGATATCATCCATGGCTCCATGGCCGTCATCATCATCATCATCATCATCATATGCCATATGCCATATGGGCAAACAACGTCATAATTATCATATCTATCCAATGATAATGATTGCAGAAAAAAATCAAACCAAACAAAACAATCAACCATTAAAGTCCAATCCATCATCTGTCATTACACATCAATGATAAATTTTTCTACTACTACTAGTTAATTTGGGTTAATTTGATTTGTTGTTGTTCAATCATTCGAACAAAAAGTGTGTGCGTGTGTGTGTGCGCTCGTTTGTTTTGAAAAAAAAATTTGAAACTTTGGTTAACACAAAAAACTAAAAAAAACCATTCGTTTGATTCTGGTTTGGGCGACTATTTTTTTTTCACTGGTTGAATCCCAATCATATAATTCAAGTTTTAATCATCATCATCATCATTATTATTATTATGGCTTCTAGTTGCCATGCTATTAGATACATAGAATGATGGCAAATAGAGCAACAAAAAAAAGATTGAGTAATACTTGGTCATAATGATAATCACTGCGTTTTTTGGAGAGTGAAAATACCAGAACAAAACAAAAAAAAAAAATTTGGCCAACTTTTTTTGTTTTGGTTCTGGTTCTGGATCTCTGTTGTTCATTTATATTCTCTCTATTATTATCACATTTTTTTCTGTCTCTCTCTCTCTCTCTCTCTCTTGCTCCTTGTGTGTGTGTGTGTCATGATAGATTACATCATATCGTTGGTTGCCATAACAAACATTTTGATTTTTTTTCTGGCCATACATACAGCCAGAATGAAACAAACCTGAAAGTTTTTTTTTTCAATGAATTTGAATCATTCACACAAGTGTGTTGTTTGTTTGTTATGCGACAGTGACAGAATAATTTTGAAAAAAAAAATTCGATTTTACATTCGATCAGTGATCAAATAATGGAATGAAAAATGGGTAAATAATGAAAAAAAACCAACAACAACAACAACAACGGAACCGTAAATTATGTGCCAAATTTTGTCCACCGAGAAAAATGATAAATGAAATTTTAATGCCACACACACACACATCGATTGTCATTCACATGCACTTACATTGGCAAACACAGACCAAAAATGTTAATTTAAAAAAAAAATTGAAAAAAAATCATACATCACAACCATAATAATAACCAGGATTTATATACATATCATAACCAGAATCAATTCGATCGGTAGAATACTGAGAAATTGGGAAATATTACATTTCTATCATTCAAATCTAATAGCATTTTTTCCATCTTCATATCATTCAATATAAAAAAATTACATGATCATGATGATTAGAATATTCTGGAGAGAAAAAAAAACTGCCACATTTTTTTTCTCTCCCTGGAATAAATAATTTACAAACGAACATAGTTCGAAACACGCATGATCATCAGTAATTTCTGGACGACGATCATCATCATCATTTTTTTTTTTTTTTTTTGGATCAATCCAGATATATTTCAATGATTTTGATGTAATGAATTATTCATCCTATATACAATTGAATTTTCAGAAACATTGAAACAATCCGAAAAGCCTAAAAAACAAAAGAATTCAATTGATTTATTTATTTTCAAATTGATCGATTTAGTCCTCGGTGTGTGGTGAATGTGTGTCCATCATATCGGCCTCGGTGTGCGTTTTTTTTTCACCATCATGGTTATAAATAGTGGGCGGCAAAATCCGTTTTGATTTATTCTCGAATTTCATTTTTTCTTCCACTTTCTAAGGTTGAAAGATTAAATTTCAAAATCTCATCACTTTTTTTTCTCTTTGAAATCCATCTTTTTTTTTGATCGTTGGAGTTTGCTGAATTGAAAATAGGAAACATTGGCAAAAAAAACTCCTTCAATGTATCATCAAAAGAGAGAGAGAATATACATTGTGATTGAAAATTCTGAATAGAAAAAAAAAATTCTGAAAGAATCGTGATAAAGTTCATCGATAAAACAGTGTGATGATGATGATGAACAAAAAGAAAACGAAAACGAAACGAACATTTTCATTTGATTAATCTTTTTATTCATTCAATTTTGGCCGCACACACACACACACACACAAAAAAAAGTTTATCATTGAAAATGGATCGCAAATCTTGGAATTTTCAAAATTTCCATTTCTTTCACTGTGTGTGTGTGTGTGTGTGTCTGTCTTTTGCACTTTATGGATACAATTCTTAAATCCAAATTCTGCAAATCTCTTAATTCTTTGTTTAATATTCAAAATTGCACACACAGACACAGACACAATGATGAAAAATGTGTAAATTAATTTCTCTGTCTCGTTCGCTATCTCTCTCTCTCTCTATCTGCATTTAAAAACTTTGCCACTGCAATCAAAAACAGAAACAACTTTACAGCAGAATAGAATATTCTTTGGTTTGGTTTTTTTTTATTTCAGAATATTTTGAAAATTAAATCTGATTTAAAGTGGGACAAAAAAACAAAGACTAACTGATTGAAATGGTCAAACTTTTTTTTCTGCTGTTTCATTGCTGCAATTTGTTTTGTTACTTTTTTTTTGCACTGCAGAGAGAACTAGATAGTTAATGAGTCGGTTGGTTGGTTAGTTTTTTATGCACTTAGTTCAGAGACCAGAAAAAAAACAAACTTGACCAAAACAGTGAATAAAAAGCAAATAAAAAAAAATTTTTTTTTTCTTCAAAATTCAAACCAATATTTACCCCGTTTTTTTTCCAAATTCGTTCCGATATTCTGGTTCTGGTAATTGATCCAAATGATAGTGAACAGGAGAGGAATGGTTAAATGTTGTGTACGTGTGTGATCAGAATCAGTGGATGGTGAAAAAAGTTTCAAACATTGAAAACAAATATATATATGATTAATTCAGCTGTTGACGATTCATTTAATCAACAATATATTGGTTGGTGGCGTTGGCGGCAATGACAAATGAAATGAAAAAAAAAAAAAATTTCTTCTATTTCATCAATCAATCAATCAATCGGTGGAAATTGTCGCCTGTTGTCAGTGTAGGAAAAAAAATTTTCAATTTCATAATAAAACACAAAAAAAATTATAACAGACTGGCTGGCCAAATAAATGCTACCATAATCATCATCATAATGATGGCATAAATTTAATTTAAATTCAACATTTTTCAATTAGGATCCAGACACACACACACACAAATTGTTTTATCACCTGGCCAATAAAATGTAAATGTAAAATCTGGTTTGTCATTTCATTTATCATTATCATCATCATCATTCCATGTACAATGTGAAACCAAAAACCAAGATTTAGGCAAGACAAGGAAAATCACCGACCGATATATTTCTAATGTAAATGACAATGTTTTAATTGGGTCAAATTCCAATCTATTAATTTTTATTATTATGAAACACGTACACACACACACACACAATGATGATAAAAAAAATGAAAATTTAAATCAAAAACAATAAGAACGAAAAAATTAATCATCACGTGCATCATTCGTGTGTTCGATTTTTTTTTTATTTTCAATAACATGAAAACAACACAAAAAAACACTCTATTTTGTTTGTCATTCGGTGACAGTTTCGCAGTGATATAACAGATCAATATATTGTCAATGGATTGCACTTGTGTGTGTGTGTGTGTGTAAAGGATGCATAAGACAGGAAAAAAAATGAAAACAAATGTTTCAACAGAAACAAAAACCAAACAAAAAAAAAGAATGAATGAATGTTATCGATGTATATATTCTTTCTATATCGGTATTTTTGTTGTTGTTTTGTTGTTGTTGTTGTTGTTGTTGTTTTTGTTATTGATTGATTTGATGGTATGTGTAACAACAACAACAACAACAACGACAACGACAACGACAACAACAACAACATTGTCATTTATAGCATGTTGAATTTTTTCCCTTGTAACAATTTTTTTTTCATCATCATCATCATCATCATATCATATCTGCTGCTGCTGCTGCCACTGTAGTAGTGTTGATATTGATGATGTGTGGATATTTACAACAATGTCAAGTTAACAGTGAAAAAAAATAATAATAAAATATCATCTATCTCTATCTATCTATCTCTTTTATCTATTTTGTTGTATTTCAAAGGATTTTGTTGAAAAATTATCAACAAACAAAACAGCAACGAAGAATAATGGGAAAATTTTTTTTTGTTGCATGTCAAGAAAATATTTGGTTTTCTAGTAGTATACATACAATATACATATATGCATGTATGTATGTATGTGTGTTGACAGTTGTCCGAAAAGAAAAATTGAAATAACAAGACAAAAATGATTGACAAGCAAAAAAAAAAAGAAAAGAAGAGAGAAGAATATTCTGCGATAATGAATTTTTTTCGTTCGTTCTTCTTCTATAGAAAAAAAAATTTAATTTTTTTTTCTGTTGTTGTTGTTGTTGTTGACATATCATCACATCACATCATCATCATCATTTTTTTTTTTTTGTTTTTGTTTTTCATTAAAATTGATCACCATTTTTTTGCAAATATTCTACTCATGTCCATCAAGATTACACACACACACACACACATCAGATTCATGAAAAAAAAATGATTACTAAATTCTAAAGAATGAAAAAAAAAATTCATAGACAGAATATCTACAGAATATCTTTCGAAAAACAGATGGTGTTTCGTGTGTGTGTGTGTGTGTGTGTGTGTGTTCGAATGCAGGTAATATTGTCATTCACTTCAAGATTACCATTAATTTCTAATGATAATTTTTTTTTTTTCGTCATTTTCCATTGTTTCAAGATGATGATGATGATCCTAATCAATAGACAAATTTAATTATCGAGAATGAATCAGATGATTATCTTTTTGTTTGTTTGTTTGTTTCGGATGGACAGAATTAATATTTATTATTATTATTCTTCTGTTTATTAATTCCGTAATTCTTCAGTGGATGGTGGAATCAAAAACAAAACAAAAACCGGTGTAAAAAAAACAAATTTTTTTTGGACATTGAGTCATGTGTTGTTTTTTTTGTAAAAGTGGAAACGGTGGAGCATCATTTTGTTGTTGTTGTTGTTGTTGTTGTTGTATACGGCCGCCACTACTACGAAAATCATTTTGGATAAAACTATTTTTGGAAATGTAATTCTGATTCTGTAAAGATCTTTGTCTTTATCGAAGTGTCGGCACACGGCAACCAAAATCTACTAAATCTAAACAACGACAAAAAAAAAAATTCACAGAATAAGTTGCCGAGCAATGAAAAAAAAAAAATAAAATAATGAAAGAATCGGTAGTAGTGGTGGTGGTGGTGGTGGTTTGTTTTCTCATTTCTCATTTTTGTTTTTCCATTTAAATAATTTATTATGAAATTGAAACGTTGACAAGGATACAATGAATGAATTTCTGATGATTTTTTGTTGTTTTTTTTTCTTTCGCGCAACTGGAATGTTGAAATTTGAGATGAAATGAAACAAAAAAAAAAGAGAAAATTGAGTCACGAAAAATTTAGATTCATTCATTCATTCATTTTCGCATTAAATTCCCTTGAAATTCATTAAACAATTTTTTTTTCTTGGTTCCGATTACCATCTTATAGCTTGTCCGATATTTTCAAGGACAGGAAAAAAAAAGAGGAAGAAGAAAAATTTTCTCTCACCTCAATCAATCAACCAACCAACCAACCAACCAACCGACCGACCGACCAATTAATTTTTTTTTTGTTGTTGTTGTTGTGAATTTCCATTTGTGAACCTCACATCAGCTAATTTGAGGACATGAACAAAAAAAAAAAAAGGAAATTCCAACAAACAAACAGACAGATGGACCAAAAAATTGAATTTAAAAAATTTGTCAAAAAAAAAAAAAAATTTCATCTCTCATTCTCTTTTTTTTCCAAATGACAAAAACATGAACACAAAACACAAAACAAGACAAAACAAGATCAAGTGTAAATCATTTTTTTTTTAGCTAGCCAGATAACCATTGTCATCATCGTCATTATCAAGCAGACATCATATGCCATCATAAGCCAATAGCAGAGAGAGAGAGAGAGAGAAAGAAAGAATTTATAACCCAAAAAATATGGCTCCCATGTGATCATCATCATCATCGTCGTCGTCGTCGTCGTCATCGTCGTAGTCGTCGTTGTTGTTGTTGCCATCGTCAACACTTTTTGAGCTTAATTTAGTTTTTTTTTTGGATTTTATTTTTCATCCATTTCCATTTCATTTGAAAGTACAAACACACACACACCCACACTGTAATAAAATAAAAAGTTTAAAGCTTTCACTTTTTTCTCTGTCTCTCATCCATAAGTCATCATCATCATCATCGTTCATAAATAATTCTGTTTTGTTGTTGATGGAAAAACGAAAAAAAAAAAAAATTTGAAACGCACCATAGTTCTAAATGGTGGATAGTGGACCATAGTCTTTGATCATCATCATCATCATCCACATCTGAAAGTAAGTGATTCATCTGGCAATCATTATCATCATCATCTGGTAATCCAACTTTTTAAAAAAAAAGAAATCATCCAATTAATATACAGACAACACACACACACACAAACATAATAAAATGATCAGAGAGAAAGAAAAATCAAAAATTCAAATCATCATCACTGGATTTATCGTGGAAAAAACAAGAAAAAAAAAAACAAATTACCATCATCATCAAAACCGTGTGTGTGTGTGTGTGTGTGTTATTTATCATAACAACAAAAATTTTTGGCAAAAACAACAACAACAGAAAATAAAAATCCTCGAGGTTTTTTTTTCTCTCTCTTCAACAATCATGGTCAGTTGTTGTTGTTGTTGTTGTTGTTGTTGATTATGTATGAAGATGAACAAAAACAACGAAATAAAAAAAAATCTAATGAGATGACCATTTCCGACAACAACGTAAACAACAAAAATCAACAACAAATCACACACACACACATATACACAAAAATTACTCATTTTCACATGAAGAATATTCTTTGGGTTTTTCTTTCTTTCTTATATATACAAAAACAATAATTTTTCTTCTTTGGATATTTAATGTTTGCGTGTGTGTGTGTGTGTGTGTGTGTGTGTGTGTGTGTGTGTGAACAACAGAATTTATGAATTCCGTGTGTGTGTGTGTGTGTATATAACGGAACAGAATGGGATGGTCAATGGAATTTTCATCATCATCATCTAATTCTCTCTTTAAATAGTTTTTGTGTGTGTATATAAAATGATGATGTACTATATTGGTATATATGGAACTGATGTAGTCGTTCCAAAACAAAAAGAAACTTCTGGCCATTGCAAGATAATGGAATCAATGATGATGATGGTAATAAATTTAATAAATAATTATGTCCAACTCTCTTATTCACTCTATATGTTTATGTGTGACATTAAATTTATAGACAATCTTTTTGTTGTTGTTGTCGTTGTTGTTGTTGTTGTTGTTGTTGTTGTTGTTGTTGTTGTTGTTGTTAACTATTTACTACTACTACCAAAAAAAAATTGAACATTACGACAGATTGATTGGCCATGATGATTATATGATCTATAATTGCGTCACAACATGAAAGCTTGTTGTTTTCGTTTCAAAATAAACAAAAAAGGAAAAACAATTCATTCGGAATTGAAATGAAATGACAACAACAACAACAAAAAAAAAACAAAATTCAAATTCAATGCAAAAAAATGACAAACAACAGGAATTTGAAAAAAAACCAATTAAAAAATGAATGATAATGAAAAACAAAATTTTTTTTTTTTGACCTGAAACAAACAAACAACAAACAACAACAACAGCGACAATGACAAAATACTGACATGGTTCATATGAATTTTTTTTTTTTTTGTTTTTTGTTCAATGAATAAATCCGAAAAGAATTATCAATTTTTTTTCCAGAATTTTCTCTCAGTTTTTTTTTCAATTTCAATTCTATTGTTATTGTCGCTCTAACAACAACAACAACAACGACAAACAGCAACATGAATGAATGAATGAATGAATGAATGTGTAGGACATTTTTGCGTAGGTTATGGAACCTGACAACAGTAAAAAAAAAATCTTTTCATGTTTGTGCATGGTAAATGAAATTGAAAAATAGAACCAGAATCTGCAAATGATAATGAATTTATCAAATTCTCAACAATATAAATGAATGGGATTAACCACAATCAATAATATATACAGCAGCAGCAGCAGCAGCAGCACTTGAAACTCGCGATATGAATTATGATCGAAAAAAGTTCACACATGCAAACACACAAAAAAGCTATACATCAAACAACAACAACAACAACAACAAGTAAATGAATAATAAATTCTTCAATAGTGATAGATTATATCCAGGTATTAATCAACATTGCTTTCCGGTTATTGTTATTGTTGTTGTTGTTGTTGTTGTATTGTAGATCAAGTGTTATTTGAGAATGGTGTGTGTGTGTGTGTGTGTTTGAGACTACGAAAAATTCCGATTCTTGAGAAAAAAAAGAGAAAATGAAATAAATGGGCTTATTGGTTAGTTACCGACAATGTTGCATATACAGAATCATAGAATACATGTATGTATGAAAAATATGCCAAATGAATATTATTTTTTTTGTGATGAGATTAAGTTATCATGGATTAGGAATAATCAAAAGATAATTAATTAAGTGATGAATGGAAAAAAAAGAGAAATTAATAATCATTTGGAAATTTTGGAAAGAAAAAAAAAACCAGAATGCAGAATTGAAATTTTGTTTTTATTTGAAAATAATTTCATTTCATTTTTTTTTTTCAACAAATTTTTTCCTGGAATATGTGGGGTGTGTTGGACATTTTTTTTTTTTTTTTTTTGGGAAAAGAAAATGGGAAGTGGTATGTTTAATAATTGAATTCAAAGTTTTACATCATCTTCATCATTTTTATCGTTATTAATTTGTTGTTGTTGTTGTTGCTGATGATGATGGCAATCACAATCATTGAATATTGCTGAACAACGTGATAATGTTTGATTATTACCACCATCACATCCTCCAGCACCAGCACCACCACCACCACCGCCAGTACCACCACTACCATTACCATTATTGTTATTATTGTGACTCATATCGGTTATTTCAATACGTGGAACACAAATAAAATTTGGCTGTTCAAATGCAAATCGATTCGATGATGATGATGATGATAATGTATTATCAACGATAGTTGTCAATGATTTTTTTCTCGGATATGATGAACAAAATCTACCAGTCATCATCATCATCATACCATATGGATTTTTACGTTCATTCAATTCAATTTGTATGGAATTATTGGATTTTTGTTGATTTTCAATCATTTCATCATCATCTTCTTCTTCATCATCAAATTCACTATCATCGCCATCAAGTTCATCACCAAAATCAACAATATCTTCTTCTTCGACACTTTCAAAATAACGGCGACGATATTTTTTACGTTTTGTTTTTTTTGACGATGACGGTGGTGGTTGTGGTTGTGTCGAAATAGCTTTTTCCATATCTTGTTCATCATTATCATGATCGATGTTTACATTGGTTATAATGGCCGCTGTTGTTGTACCACCATTGGCTAATATTTTTGTATTATCATTATCTGTTGTCATCATATTTCCTGGCACTATAATACCGGAAACAGATGGATAACCGGTCATTAATGCACTTGTTGTTGATGATTCAGAGAAAATGATACCAGCCAATTCACGTTGATTAAATTGTTTTTTATCTTTTTTTCTTTGTTTCTTATTTTTATCACTACCATGTTGTTGTTGTTCCTGTTGTTGTTGTTGTAACGGTTTTCGTCCAGCTATTTGTTGTTGTTGTTGTTGCTGCTGCTGTTGTTGTTGTTGTAGTTGTAATTGTTGTTCATTTTGTTGTTGTTCATGATGATGTCTTGAAAAATAATGTCCAAAAAATGGTAAATTATTAAAACAACGATGATGATGATGATGATGAAATTTCATACAGCCAAATAATGATAATGATCGTAATAATTCGATAGCATTCTGACGAAAACTTTCATTTAGCCAACAATAAATGAATGAATTGTAGCTATAAGAATATGGAAAAGAATAAAGAATAAAACAGTAAGTAAGACAGAATGAAAGGAGGAAAAAAGGAAAGAAAAATGAAAGAATTTTTTTCATTTATTTTTTTATTTATTTATTCTATAAACACTATGAATAATGATGATTAAGTACAGAATCGGCTCGTTTTTTTTCTACAACAACGGTCACAGACATTCAAAAAGAAAAAACGGAAATTTTTTTTCTCTCTGTCACTAATTGGATCGCATGGGACACATTCCAGAATTTTTTCTACTGCTGATTCTTGGTTGTTGTTGTTGTTGTTGTAAATTGCTGTAGAATTTTTTTTTATAATTTTTTTTTCTTTTCATTTCACATTATTAAAGATGAACAACAACAACAACAACAAAAACAAAAACAACAACAACAAAAAATGCATTTTAGAATGAAAACTAAAGAGTTGGAAAAAAAAGCACAAACTATAAACTGCAGGCAGGGATTTTTATTTTACTCATGGCTAATTTTGTTTCTTTCGCCATGTTCTTCTGTCTATTGGATATTGATGGAATTCTTGGATTCTGGTCGCTGTTGTTGTTATACACTAAAAATTACACCAACAACCCTTTTCATTTTCGTTTTTTGTTTTTATTTCCGCTGTAATGATTTTCTACACAATAATAATAAATTTATTATCCCACTATAGTAATACTATACTTACCATACAGAGCTCATTGCAAACCAATGACACTGTGTGTGTGTGAGTGCGTGTGTTCATTGTGGTAAAAAATTTGTTGACAATGTTAATAACGATGATGATGGTGAAAATAGTTTTTTGCCAGTTGACAAAATCATTTTGGTGATGATGAGCGATGAAAAACAGGAATGAAAGGAAAGAGAGAGAGAGAAAAAAAATGAAATTAATGATTTGTTGCAATTGAAAAATAAAAACAAAAAACGAAACTGAGAAAAATTTTGTCACTTTCAAGTGTAAATATATAAATATTATATAATTTGTCAATAATCGATTGATCCATTTTTGTAGTAGTAGATCAAATGAAAATACGGTTTTCAATTTCGGACAAATAAAATCGGTAATTGAACTGAAAATGAAATAAACAACAACAACAACAACGGCGAAAATGACATTGTGTGTTTAATCGAATGGAAAAAAAATTTTTTTTCCATTCGATTCAAGTTCAATTTAATTTACTGAATATATAAAATTTAATTGGCCATGAAATGAAATGAAATGAAATGTGAAAAAGTATAGTAAATAGTGACTGGTTTAATTACACCTACACAGACACACACACACACACAGATGTTGTAATTTGAAATTGTTGGTTGACAAGAAATTGTGAAATGTCAATAAATAAATATAAATTCTCAATGGAATCATTGGTTGTACAAAGAAAAAGAATCAAGTTTTTTTCTCGTTTTTTTTTATTCATAAAATCTAGAAATAGAACCGGAAAACGAGAATATTCTTGTTGTTCCGCATTTCCCATAACAACAGCAACAATGACAATGTTCATGGCCATCAGGTATACAGAATTTATATTGATTAATTGTTGTGAAAAAAAAATTACACTAAAGAAAAGAGAAAAAAACAATTTGATCCAATATGATCATCATCATCATCATCATGATCATATGATCGAATGTTGATCTCATCGATTCAACCAAAGATAAACAAATAAACAAACAAACCGAATAACCACAACTGTCTTTGATATATATATATCGTGTAAATATTTACACACACGCACAAAAAAAAATTGATGATGATCAAGAAAAAACAACAGCAACAGACAAAAAAAAAATTCAATGCCAAATATTGACAGTTTTGTCATTATAGAAAATCAAAATCAAAAAAAAAAATCCAAACAATGTCGATAATTCTGGAAAATTCATTTCTCCATTACCATTTCCATTTGCAAATTCAAATTATTAATCCTATTGTTATGGAATTATATTCAAATAGTCAAAAAGTTTGCCATCATCATCATCATCATCATCATCATCGTGATGGTGATGATCAGCACAAATTTAAAATTCAAAACCAAACGAGAGAGAGAAAAGAAATTTGAATCGACTATTGATGCGAAAAGGAGAAAGAACAAAAAGAATTGGAATATGGTAATGGTTCCAGAGAATTTTACAAATGAAAATCACGCGCACACACACAATGGCATCTAAACAAACAAAAAAAAGCAACGAAAAAAAAAAAAAAAAAAACAAAACGAAAATTTACAGGTACACGATCTACGAATCTATACGCACGAATAAATTTTTTTTTCATACATCACAAAACTGACTAACTGACTGATTGACTGACTATTCTGTTCTGTTCTGTTCTATTCCATCATCATCAGAGAATAGTACTAATTCGATTTGATTTGTAATCAGAAAACGGAACAAAAAAAATTTCTTCAAACCAATGAATTTGATTTCCAACAGGCAATTCTCCAATTCTCATGTATTGATCTCTTGTTTCAAATCTAGGCCGATGAAAAAAAAAAAAAAACAACAAAAAATCTAATCAAATTCTAATGTGTGCGTGTGTGTGTGAAAATCAAAAGAAAAAGTCTTTGAATCTGGTTAATATTTTTCTTCTCACCCGATAATTGAATGTGAATCTGGAAAACATTCATGGGTGTGTTTTGTATTTGAATTGTGTTGTTTTTTTTTCAATTTATTAATTGCTAGAATTTCTGGTCCAGAAAAAAAATCCAGTTATTTACACCATTCTATAGTGGTCCGGTTCGATTGTTTTGGGCATAGCCAGGGAAAAAAATCCTGTGTGTGTGATAGTGTGATAGTGTGTGGTGATAAATATAGTTGAAACCCGGGTTTACAGAGCCAGAACAATAACGACAACCAGAAAAAAAGAAGTAAAAAAAACCAGAATAAATAACATGTAATGTAAGGAAGCAACAAAAAAAAAAAAGATCTGGTTATAATTAAATTATCTTTTTTTCTCTCTCTTTCTTGATGAAAATCTGGAAATTAACAGCGAAAATAATTATCATCACATGATAATGATGACCATGATGATAATATTAATTAATTATGACCATGCAATTAACAACAAGAATGAAAAAAATGAAACAAAAAAAAATTACCACTAAAAAAACAGTCAATCGATGATGAGCAAAACCAAGATCAATAGTTAAATGATAAAGATTCAATGGTAGCCAACAAATGGCGAATACAGCCACAACCAATGATAACATTAATATTCTTCGTCGTTTTACTTCTAATTGTCTACGACGTTTACAACCACGTGATGTTATTGATGATTGTTGTGGTTGTTGTTGTTGTTGTTGTTGTTGTTGTTGTTGTTGTTGTTGTTGTTGTTGAGAAAAAACTGGATTATTCATCATTATTGATGATGATTGTGATAATGACGATGATTGTTGTTGTTGTTGTTGTTGTTGTGATGGTTGTGGTGGTGGTGGTGGTGGTGGTGGTGAATCAATCATTATCATTGATTGTGTACTTATCATTTCAGTTATTGCTGAATTCTGTGATTGTTGTTGTTGTTGTTGTTGTTCTTTTGATTTTGATTCTGATTTACCTGATGTTGATGATTATGATGATTTGGATTAATTATCGTTGTTGCTGTTGTAGGCAAACCAATCTGTGTTGATAATGATTTTATATTGAAATCACCACCAGCAGTCATTATACTGCCGGTTATTTTATTAAAACGACTCTGTCTATGTATAACGGATGCAATTTTCATATATAAAATGCCGGTTATTAATAATGGTATTAAATATTGTGTTAGAAATATTTCAATTGTTAATAATAATGATGTATTAATGCCAAAAATGAATGGATAATCCACACGGCAACGTATAACAAAATGGCCATTAACATTGGCCATTTTTAATGTATTAAATGCAACGGTTGGCGCTGCTAAACAAAATGATATTAACCATACAATGGATATTGTACGTCTTAATGAATTAAATGAACGTAATGGATTTGATGCTATTGAACGTTGTGGTTTATGTAACATAACGGTTGTTGGATGGCTAACCATACGCCAACGATGTAATGCAATGGCAGCCATAGTGAATGTTGATACATAAACACAGGCTGTTTGAACAAATGGAACACCATAACATAAGGCACGACCAAATGGCCAATATGGTAATAGAATACGTGCCAAATTAAATGGTATGTTAAATATTGTCATCACAAGATCACTGAATGATAATGAACCAATCAAAACATCGGTTGTTGTACGTGCACGTTGTGAACGGCCAGGTATCCAGCGGCCACTAAATGCAATTTTCACTACTAATGAATTACCAATCAATGAAATGATCACAATTAATGAATAGGCAATTATAACGGCAGCTCCATTCACTTCATTTGTTATAATTATCATTGATGAATCTGTTGTTGTTGAAGTTGTCGATATTGTTGACGCTGATGTTGTTGTTGTTGTTGTTGTTGTTGTTGCTGCTGCTGCTGCTGCTGCTGTTGATGATGATGATGATGATGATCGTATTGGTGTTATAGTTGTCGTTGTTGCTGTTATCAATTGATGTTGATGTAGATGTTGTTGTCGATCCATCATCATTGTCAAATTGAAAATTTGATCAATATTTAATGGTTCAGAATAATCATCAAATATTTGTCGATTACTATCTGATGATATAAAACTATTAATATGATTAATAAACATTTTTTTGGTTTTGAAAAAAAATTTTTTTTTTTTTGAACCAAAATTGAACACTGATGACGATCAAGTTTATTGATGATCGTCAACAAACTGAATGATGATGATGATGGTGATGATCAGGTTGGTTGATGAAATTTGGGCGCCTTTTTTTCGATTATTCTCGACATTGGTGTATATGTGTGTGTGTGTGTGTGGGCGAAACCGATTCCGATAATCACCACCACCACCACCATCTATATAATGATAATGTAGGAACGGAAATGTTTTTCCCCATTATTTTTCTATTATTTTTTGTTCACTCGAAACTGTAACAACAACAACGACGACGAAGAAAGAATATTTGGTCCATTGGTTCAGGCGCGTTTACGCCTGAATTGTCTATATATACACACAAGGGTTTCTTGTTTTTTTTGTTGTTGTTTTCTCCATTGGATTGATGCACAAAAAAAATTTTTGCGCGCGCGTGAGTATGTGTAGGATGATTCTTGTTATGAACTTGTTGTACCAAATATTCTATTCTTGATCAATTCTTTTTTTCTTTTATTTGCTTTCTTATAACCAATGAGAATAGGTAAATTCAATAAATACGCGCCAATCATCGTTTTTGAATTTTTAAATGTCCATCATATGTCGCCATCTAATGATTTACAAATGAAACACTTTTACATGAATGGTTTGTTCATATAGTATAGGACAAACAAATAAAAAAAATCGATAACAAAATGGAATTTTTGATAATAAAATAAAATTGAAAAATTAATCCGATGATTTTGATTGTTTTCGATTTGATGGTCTTTGTTGTTGTTGTTGTTGTTGTGGTGGTGGTGGTGGTGCTGTCGATGGTTGTGATTGTTGATCTAGATATTTTTCCCATTTTGTTTTTGTTCGTTGTCGAAAAATTATCGTTCGTGGATATGAACATTGTGGACATTCGAAACATAATCGACGTTTTGATGTTTTCATTCGATAAATTCGTTTTTCAATGATTGATTGAAAATCATATTGACAATAGCAACGTTTACAGCGATATAATTTTAATGGATCACAATTTAATCTAAATATAAATGAAATAATATATCCAAATTTAGAAAATAGAAAATTAAAAACCCAAAAAATACTTACATTTGAACATTATGTTTCATGGAAATTTCTTTTCCAAGATAACCATAGAATGAATTCAATTTAATCAATGAATTTGAATTTGAATCCAAATGATGATGATGTTGATTGATCAATAGGTTTTGTAATTGTTGTAGATATGCTAAACGTTTTGCGGTGTCCATTATGTTTTAACGTAAGAAAAAAGATCATTTACGACACATGCAACCGAATCATTCATTATTAATGATCAATTCCTGGCCAACAGATGGCAATGTTAACAATGAATCAAAATTCGGATTTAAATTACGAAAATTCCCGGAATGGATACTGGATGGCGTTACAATCAATGTTGTTGATGTTACATAAAAAAAATATTCATTCATTCATTGTATGTGTGTGTGTGTGTATGATGTCGGTAAATTTTTTTACTCACGTCGTTCCATGCATGGATGAAAGAGAGAGAGAGAGAGAGAGAGAGAGAGAGATGCTAATACTATGTGTAGCTAAAAAGATCTTGGATTTATCCGAAAAATAAATGGATTCATGTTCATTCAATCACCACGAAAAACAACAACAAACATCCATGTGAAGAATTTAATTTAAATTGAATTATTCCAAACAAATCAGATGAGTATTTTTTTCACCATCATCATCGAATGAAAACAGAAAAATGTCACACATCCAAATATATCATCAGCTGTGTTGAATTGAAAACAAAAACAAAACAAGAAACAAAAAAATTCTCAACATAAATTATACTCGTCTATTTCGTCGTTTTTTTTAAATGGTGGCTAAATTGAACCACACACTCACACACACACAAACACTGACGAAAAAAAAATCAAGCATAAATTTTCAAATAGGGAACATCCATTATCATCCATATCATCCATATTCGTTCGAATAGATTGCACATTCTAAAAGTAAGTCAATTGATCCATTGTGGGGTATATATTTGATTGATCTAATAATCGTTATTAAAATTAGAAAATTCGATACATGACAATAATCGATGGCAGAAAATTTTCCAAATAATCAAATGACCAATACAGAATCATCATCATCATCTACATTACAATTTCCATCTACAACAACAGCAACGACATCATCATCACCGATAGTAACAACAACAACGCCCACATCATCACCAACACCACCACCGCAACCACCACCACCACCACCATCATCATCAACATCATCATTAGGATATATTTCCGGTCCACATTTAGTTACCATATATAAAACGGAAACCGGTTTCGGTTTCAATGTACGTGGACAAGTATCCGAAGGTGGTCCATTACGTAGTATAAATGGTGAATTATATGCACCATTACAACATGTTAGTGCCGTATTGGAAAATGGTGCCGCAGAAAAAGCCGGCATTAGAAAAGGTGATCGTATTCTTGAAGTGTAAGTGTATTCTTTCAGTTTTTTTTATGATTTATGATTCTAATTCTGGAAAACAAAAACAAAAAAAAAACAGGAACGGTGTCAATGTTGAAGGTGCAACACATAAACAAGTTGTTGATCTGATTAAATCTAGTGGCGATAAACTTGTCCTTACTGTAATATCCGTAACGCCTAGGGTAAATATTTGTTTTGGATGAAAAATTTTTTTTTTTTTGTAAATTTTTTGCTCATTTTTAAAGGAAGCAGAAAAATTGGAACCATCAGATGATGGAAATAATTTTGTCTATGATTATAGTGAAAAACGTTCATTGCCAATAACAATACCGGATTATAGTTGGATTGAAAAAAATAATTCTGGTGAACGTTATTGTGTTTACAATATCTATATGGCTGGTAGACATCTTTGCTCAAGACGTTATCGTGAATTTCTTAATCTACATAATAACCTTAAACGTGAATTTAATGAATTTATATTTCCAAAATTTCCCGGAAAATGGCCATTCTCATTGTCATATCAACAATTGGATTCAAGACGACGTGGTCTTGAATCTTATATTGAAAAAGTTTGTGCCGTTCGTGTTATTGGTGAAAGTGATATAATACAAGAATTTCTTACCGATTATGATGATGAACATGTATGGTTTTTTTTGTGTTTGTTTGTTTTTTCAACATTTAATCTGTCTTTATTTTTTTTGCTGTTAATAATAATACACATACAGGGAACAAATCAAACGCCAGTTGATCTGAAAATTTTATTACCAAATCGGACGGCCATAACAATTACAGTCAGAAAGAATAGCTGCACCAAAGAAGTATATGATGCCATTATTGAAAAGATTAATCTTTCACCGGATTTAGCCAGTTATTTTGCCATATTTGAAATTGTTGAACAAGGATTCGAAAGAAAATTACAATCAAATGAATTTCCATATAATTTATATATACAGAAATATACAGAATACAAGTGCTGCATCCACATGTTTGATGATGAAAAAATGGTTTTTTCATTTATACACAGAATTGGAATTGTGTACAAAAGAAGATTTATTGGAACAATTTTTCTACTATCAATCGATTGAAGATGTAAATAAAGGACAAATTAAAGCTGGTAATAAATTATATGAATTGAAAGCATTGCAAGAAATATCGAAAAAATCCGATGTAAGTTGAAAAAAAATCTAGTCTATTTTAACATTTTTCATTCTGTTTTGTTTTCCCACATTATTGACACAGTATTTAAAATTGGCCAGAAAATTAGATGGCTATGGTGAGATAACATTTCCACATTGTGCTTCAGATGCCCGTAAAGAAGGCCATATTATGTGTATCATTGGTTATGATTCATTTAAATTACAAGCATGTCGTGATGATGGAATGATTGAGGATAAAAAAATTGAATTTCAATGGAATACATTGAAAGAATGGTATGTTGATGATGAAGGCATTTCATTTGTTTTTGTTTATAATAAACCGGATAATCGATTACGTCGTGTTCGTATCCATACACCATATGTAAGTTATTGGAAATTTTTTTTTTGATTTAAATTCCATATATTTATCCATTCTTGTGTGTAGAATATATTTCTAAATGAATGTTTTGATAAAGTAATGGAAGAACGTAAACAACAAATTCAACAACAACAATCGGCAACACCAACAAATCAATCATCAACATTGCAATCACAATCTCAACAACAGCCATTGAATCATCAAAAAGATTAATATAAATTATTATTATTTATTATATTCCAAACACACACACACACACATAATCGACGAAAAATTCCATATAATTTCAAAGGTCCAATAATTCACACCATTGATCCATCATTGAACTTTGAACCAAATCATCAACAATGACGAATTTGAATATGCAATATTAATCATCATCATCATCATTAAATCACCAAATACAAATTATCATTGATCATCATCATTGAAAATACTAATAAGCAATCAAAAAACCAAGAGATTTTTTTCTCTCTGTTTTGTTTTCATCATTTTGAATCTCACATCATACATACACATATTATTATTATCAACAGAATTGAATTTATTTATTTTTATCATTGATGATGATGGTGATGATTTACAAATATAATCATCATCATAATAATAATATATTAATCCATTGGTCTTCGATTCGAAAAAAAATTACAACAATCGATATCGATTATCGATTGTCTGAATATTTGGTGCTCTGTGTTTTTGTGTCTGTCTGTGTGTGTGTGTGTGCTATTTTTGTCAATTTTTTTTTTTTTTTTTTTTGAATTGGATGATAATTTTTTTTTACTTTGTTTCCTTTTTTTCTTTTGCTGATATATTTTTTTTCGCTCATCATTCAAATAAAATTTTTGTTTTATTGCAATTTTTTCGATTCGTTCATCACTTTTAATTTTATTTCCGTGTATATGGAATATTGTGCTGTTTCTGGACTTTTGGATGATGGAATTTTTTTGCATTCGAACAGAAGCTTTCCATCGTCCATAATGACGAAATGGTAGAAAAGAAAAATCCAACCATCCGGATGTTCAACGAACTTTAACCCGAATCATCATGAATTTTTTGGGCATGTGAGAATCAGAAAAAAACCAGAAATTCTCATATATAGAATTCTTTGATCAAAAAAAAAAAAAAAAAACCACTACAACAACAAGAAAAAAAGTACATAACATCCATTTGAATGAATTCTGTTCTGTACTGTTTTATTCTTCAAGTCGGCGGGCGGATGGTTAAATGGTGCCATTCAATTCCTAATAATAATGCTTATTTATTCGTAAAGCAGAAAAAAAATACTTTGATGATCGGTCAGGGCGTCCTGGTTCATTCATTTCTCATCATCATTCCATCACGTTCGTTCGATATGTATGTCGGTAGCGGCATTTAATAATGATGATGATGATCATCATCATCATCATAATAATTCAAAACAACAAGAAGGAGGACGAATGGGGTTGATGGATGTTGGAGGGTGGATAAAAAAAAAAAGAAAAGGAAGTTTTTTTGTTGTTGTACGGCGTCGTTGCCGAGTTTGTTCGTTATTCGTATACAAATTATTTTTTTTTTCGGGTAGCCTAAATACAATTTTCGGTTCGGTAACCCGAGCTCTCAATCAAGTGCTAGTCGTCGTATATATGTTGTGTGTGCGTGTGTGTGTATGTTCGAAACATCATCGGTGGAAATAGAATGAACCAGAAAAAAAAATATTCGGCAAATCGAATCCCGAAATTATATATCCACACACTATTCACACACACACACACAGAGAGAGAAAAAATGGCCAAAGTGCAATGAACTTTTTTTTTTGTTCTTTTGGTATTCTTTTCGGTATTTATGGTTGTTGTTGTTGTTGTTGTTATTGGAAATTTTGTTTTTGGGTGATCATGAGATGTGTTATGGGTACCATGAGTTTTTTTTTGGGTGCCCAAAAAAAATTATTCTGTTTCTGCTGCTGCTGTTGTTGTTGTTGTTGTTATTAAGAATCATCATCATCATCATCGTTTTATTATTGAATTCCTATTCACCATACATACATTTTTGCATTTGGAACTGGAAATGGATTGAATTCTGTGTTTTTTTTCTCTCTCTCTCTCTCTCTTCATTTTCACTAATAAATAATTTGCCAGAAATCAACCCAAAAAAAATAATTGAGAATAATGAAAAAAAATGAATGAATGATTCTGGTTTCAGTTTGTTTGTTGGACAAAAATGGAAACAATTTTTTTTTTTTTTTTTTTCTCGTTCTAAAAATAGTAACGAAAATATAATATTCGTAGTAGTAGCAGTGGTGGCAGTAGTGGTGGTTGACCATTAAAGAATAAATTTAGTCCACAAGAATCATCATCATCATCATGGTTATTATTGATAATGATGATGATGATGATTATTATTACCAGAATTTTTCTTCAAAATTCAACTAATGGAATATTCTTATTCATGCTATCCATAAACAACAACAACAACAACAGATCAATAAGATGATGAACAATAACAACAACAACAAAATAAATGAAGATTCTAAAATTCTTGGATTTCGATTGAATATCCGGTATGTGTGTGTGTGTGTGAAAGTTTTTGGTTTTACTTCCCGTTGATTTTTTTTCCAATAAAACTTTTCATATACGCATGTGTTTGTGTGTGTGTGTGTGTGTGAAATTTTTCTTTCATAATATACGAAAAAATATCATCATCCAAAGGAATGGATGATGATGATGATGATGATGATCAGAAGGTTGGTCGGTCGTTCGGTCATTCAGGTCATTCGCGTTTTGGATCGACCCAAATGACATGCGCCATGATAATTCCATGAAAGTTGAAATGTAAAGCAAAAACGAGGTTTAAACAAAGTTTGATTTCCTGTTTCGTGTGCAAATATTCGAAACTTTCTTAGCATCACCATCATCATCATCGTCATCTTCATCATCATTTCCTATAATTTATTCCACACACACACAAAAATAAAAAGTCGAGACAATTTCCCAAGAAAAAAACATTTTGGATGAATGAACTTTATTGGAAAAAAAAAAACGACGACAACAAAACAAAACGTTCGATTTTATTATAATCGATACTATCGATATGATGATGATGATGATGAATTTCGAATCATTTCATGTGAAAGAAAGAAAAATTTCTCTCCCTTTTATCGCTTGTTTTTGGCTAAATAACTCCCACCCACACACACACACAAAACACATCACGTTTGATCCAAAAATATCAGATTTTTTTCATTTTTTTTTTGGTCCATCCATCTATATAGTATATATTACATCGAAACAAATTCCAAATTCCATTTTTCATTCACCATATATATAGCAGCAGCAGCAGCAGCAGTAGATCCACAAGATTTCGTTGTCGAGAACAAAACCAGCAAAAAAAAAAAAAAAAAAAATCGAGGTCTATGACCTTTTTGTATTGCTTTTTTGCTGGATCGTTGGTTTCATTCGATGCTTGATTTTTGCAACAACAAAAAAAAAAAAAATTCTTGATCCCAACTTGATAATAATGTTGGATCACGAAAGAGAGAGAAAAAAAAACATAATGGAATCATCCAAATTTAGAAATTTTCAAGCAAAAAAAAAAAAAAAAATTAAAACAAAAGAAAAAGTCTGTGAATACCACACACACACATGTGTCACTTTTACTTTCATCGTCATCATCATCATCAATGGTTGTTGTTGTTGTTGTCAACCGGATGTCATTATCATCATTGGCTAACCATGAAAGCCATTCTTAGCCAGTCATTCATTCATTCACATCACTTATTCTTCACACACACATCGTTTTTGAATGAAATAAAAACAACTAGCAAAGAAAACACAACCCTTACACATATGAAATATTTTTCTTTTAAAAAATTTTTTTTTTAAAGACAAAAATTCATCATCACCATAATGATGACCTTAATTGAATGCGTTTTTTTTTGTTTTGTTTTGTTTTGTCTGTATGATAAAAGGTCAGACTATGGTTAGCTGGTTGGTTGGTTGGTTGGTTGGTCGGCCGACCAATCGACCGACTGACAGAACCAGACACACAACATACCAGGCAATAACAACAACAACAACAGCAAAAAACTAGTTCATCGTACTTGATGATGATGATGATGATGACCAAATCACCTAGAAATTCAGAAAAAAAACGACAACAACAACAACAACAAAAACAAATGAAAATCTTTAAAAAAAAGATAAAATTGAAAGTGAAAATTGAACTAGGATTCTTGTGTGAAAATCATGTTTGAACAATGGTGAATTGATTATCATCATCATCATCATCATCAGGTTTTTCTTTATGAACAAACGAACAAACTTGAATGTGGATGGCCGAATGGAAGGTCGACTAGTTTTCAGTTTACACATCAAGCAACAACACAGCTGCAAACGAACAAAAAAAAATCCATCCATCCATCCATCCAGTGCATCCAACCAGATTATGGCCAACAAATTCATTCATTCATTCAGTACAAACCACACACACACACACACATCATGCATCATCACTGTTTTTTCTGACATTTTTTGACAATGACGATGGTGGTGGTGGTGGTGGCAAACGAATTTTAAAATTTTAAAATTTTTTTAATTTATTTATTTATAAATTGTAAAACTGGTAGTTTTTAAAGTTTTAAAAAGTAGAAGCCAAAAAAAAAAATTTTTTCGAAATTACGACATATGTGTGTGTGTGTGTGTATATATTGAGTTTATTATTGTGATTATATATAATCGATATATATAAATATATCATGTGATCGATTCGATTTGATTTGATTGATTGAAAATTTGGTTGTTGTCGCTGTGTGTATTGTGTGTTTTTTTGGAACATCAAAAAAAAGTAGAAAAAATTTTTGAATTTTGCGATACATGAGGTGTGGGTGTGTTTGTCACATGTAGAAAAAAAAACGTAAACTAAAAATGAAAATTTCAGAAAAAAAAGACAGAAACTGTTTTTCAAAGTGTTGTGTGTGTGTGTTGTGGATTTGTAGAAAAAATTTTTTTTTCAATCAATCAATCAATCGATTATCGATCATCAATTAATATATAATAATTATTATTGAATATAAATAAATGTTGTAAAAGAATATAACACGAAATAAAAAATATAAATCCAATATTTTTATATATTTATATATATAGAGAGAGAGAGAGAGATTGTATTGTATATATGTGTGTGTAGGTGTGAATTTGACAATTTGAAATTTTTGATTGAAAATTTTTGTTGTTGTTGTTGTTGCAAAAAGAAGAGAAAAAAAAATTCTGTTTTATTTTGGCACCACATTCAGAATATATTCATTAGCTAAATGTTCAATTAACACGTACACACACACACACTGGGGAAAGAAAAAACGACCATCTTCTTAATAATCTTCTTGTACTAAATGGATCGCATCGATGGCTATTTCGACACAATTTCTAAATAACGAGAAAAAAAAATTTTTTTTTTTTTTGTACTTTTCCGGTGACATTTAAAAACATTGTTGCATATGTTTGTGTGGGTGTGTGTTGTTGATTGCTTAATTTGTCGTAGATAAAAATTTTTTTTTTTTTTAATTTATTACAGATTTAGAAATATCAAAAAGAAGAAGAAGAAATTTTTCATATCAAATAAGCACATGATTTGTAAGTGTCGTCGTTGTAATCTATTATAAAAATTATGGAAATTCAATTTGTTTGTTTGTGGATTAATAATAATAATGGATAATGGATCAATCACTATTTATATATCGGTTAATTGTTGTTGTTGTACATTTAATTTTGTATATCAATCAGATCAATGGGTATGAGATCAGAAATTTGAAAAAAAAGTCAGTGAGTTATATATATGTGTGTGTGTTTGGCTGCTGTGTTTTAGTGAGATAGAAAGAAAAAAAAAACAAAAACTGAAAACGAACAGAAGAAAAAATAATCATCACTTAAAGATGCTAAATAATCATCATAATTTATCAATCAATCAATCAATATCAATATATATAATAAAAAACGAATTGAACACATATTGAGATATTATTATTATTATTAGATAAAGGTAAAACTCAACATCATCTTTTGTTTGTTTGTTTGTCTTTGCTGATAACTAATATTTCATAAATTTGTCGCTCTAGGTAATAATAGGTATTCATAAAGATCAATTTAAAAGTGAAAAAAAAGAAAATGAACAGAAAAAAAATAATGTTTGACAATGAGATTCTGTAGGTATTCTTTTGTTTGTTTCATGTTGGATTCTGTATATCTCTGTGTATGTGTGTGTGTGTGTGTGTGTGTGTATGGGATTTGAAAAGAAAAAAAAACAAATAAAAAAATATATAAAAGACAAAAAAAAAAAAATCAATTAGATTAAATACGATATAAAAAAAGATGAAGAAAAAAAATCTGGAACATTTGGAACATTCGAGACAGAAAAAAAGCAGCAAAAGAACAATCGATAATCATCATAATTAATAATAATCAATCAAATCAAATCAAAATAAAAAAGATAGATAATTGTGTGTCTGTGTGTGTGTGTGTATATATGATTTTTGTTTGTGTTTTTATTTGTATATATTATATGAACACGAATTGTAAATCTTATGATAATCATGATGATGAATATATAAATCAATCAATCAATAATGAATCTATTACTTTTTCTTTAAAATAATAATAATAATAATCTGTTAAATAATCATTCTTTTTCTTAAATTATTAAATATATATAAAACTCTGAACTCTGATGATGATAAAAAAAAATTCTGAATTCTGTTCGTTCGTTCGTTATTTTTTTTTTTTTGTTTGTTTTTTTTGTTTGTGGAAGCTAAAAGTTTACATTTTGAATGGATGGATAGATAGATGGATGAGTTGTCATGTCTTTTGTGAATGTCTCATCTTATATCATCATCATCATCATCATCATTGTTAGATATGTGTTGCAACAAAATAAAAAAAAAACAACAAAACAATATAAATGTTTATATATGGATCAAAAGAAAAAAAAATTTGGGAAAATTTCTGGTACTGGTGAAAAGTTTGGGTTGGCGGTGGAAAAAAAATAAGTAGATATATAGATGTTTATTAAAAAAATGTGTTGATTTCATTGAAAATATTGGCAGTCATCAATGTTCATATTTTTCTATTTCTTTCTTTTGGAATACTGGTGAAATATTATGAAAAAAAATTTGAAAAATAAACACACCACACACACATACACAAACAACGTAAACATTACAAATACATACACACATTGTTATTATTATTATTATTATATAATGGAAGAACCAATATTTGATATACCGGATATAGATAAAGAAGATAATGGTGATGATGATGTAGTCATTGTAGCTAATGATAAATGATTATTATTATTATTATTATTATTATTGTTGATTGGAATATTTGATTCTAAACTTGAACGACGTTGTTGATCCATAACCATCATTAATGATGATGTTTCATTATTATTATTGCCTAATGATGTTGCATGATGATGATTATTATAATCATCAATTAATTGAAATGAACCATTTCTTGTTGATGATGTTGTTGATGATTCATTTGATGATGATGATGATGATGGCCACATTGATTGAAATGAATTAAATGATGTAAACGTATTATTATTATTATTATTAATATTAGTGGCCAATAAATGATCAAATGATGTTGGTGAATCATCACCAATACCTTCATCAATATCATATGATCCATTACTAGTTGTTGTTTGGCCAGATGATGTTAATGAATTTGGTGGTGATGTTGATAATGATGAATTATGATGATGATCACCATTCATATGAAAAATTGAACAAAGTTCTTTAAATGTTTGACTTTTATATGATGATGATGAAGCAGATGAAGATGAAGATGTCGTTGATAATGATGATGGCTGCTGCTGTTGTTGTTGTTGTTGTTGCTGCTGCATTATTGAATTATTATTACCAATCAATTTAGCAATCGATGATGGTGAATGATTCAAAAATGATGATGATGTTGAACTAGTAGACATTTTTGTTGTAGCCATTGTTGTCGATGTTGTTGTTGACATGAAAAAATCATTACATTTATTATGATTATTATTATTATTGGTCAATGCAGATATGAATAGATTATCAAATGATGAAAGTAATGGTGAATTGGAAAAATCTGAATTTGTTCCATTTGTTCCACTACTTGTTGTTGTTTCATCCGGTGTACCAATAGATCTGGTTGTTGAATCAATTATACCACCAGTACGTATGGCAATATGTGCTTCAATTTCTTTACGTGCCGTATCAACATCATCCGGTAATCCGGTTACTTCGAATACTGGATCTTTTTCTCTTGATGGTGTTATAATATATGTATTGGTTTGTTGTTGAATTCTTTTGATAGTTGCACCTTTTGGTCCAACAACAAGACCTACAACACGATACGGTACACGTACCTGTATGGTAATGTGGCCAGGTAAATGGGCATTTGGTGCCGGTCCCATATTTCCGGGATTATTTTTACGTTGTGCACGTATTTGGCTAAAATGTTCAGCAGCCGATAATATTTCACGTTTTGCAGCATTAACATCTTCTTTACGGCCAGTAACAACAAATACTGGTTCTTCACCACGTACCGGTGTTTTTATATAAGTATTGGTTTTTGCACGTAATGCTTTTATTTTACATCCTTGTCGGCCAACAATTTCGGCAACATGTTCCGATGATGGTACTGGAACACATTCCGTTGTATTCTGGCTACGTTTTGTTGTTGCCATTATTGTCGAATTTCCCGTTACTGTTGTTGTTGTGGCAATAGCTGCTGCTTTAAACATCATTTGTTGTTGATGTTGATCATTATGATGATGATGATGATGATTTAATAGATCATTTTGATGATGATGATTACCATTATTATTGTTAATATTATTCAATGCATTTAATAATGAATTAACTGCTGTCGATGATGATGATGATGATGGTGGTGATGATCGTAATGATATTTGATTATTATTCGATTGTTGTTGATCAGACATTTGTAACCATTGATTAAATTCATTTACTAAATCATTATTATTATTATTATTATTACGTTGATGTTGTTGTTGATCACTGTTGGTTCCAAAGAAACCATTCAAATTGCTAAAATTATTATTATTATTTCCAATCATTGACGTTGACGATGGTGATGATGACGAAATTATATCGGCAAAATCGCATAAAAGACTAGCCGGCATTTTTATTTCGTGTGTGTGTGTGGTTACGGTAATAAGAAATTTTGTACTTTTGTTTCAATTAGAATCGAGAATCGTTGTTTAGTTGTCGTCGTGATGTGATGATTATGAATCAAGAATCCGGTATGAATTCGTTTGCCGTTGTATTTCTTATCTGTCCGGGTCTTTGGGACCGGATTTTTTTTGTTTGTTTGTTTGTTGCCAATATATATTATGTTGGTACTTGCGTCGATAATGTTTTTAAGCAGCCGTTTTGGTTATTGCTTCTCGTTGTTATTTCGTTGATTCATCATCATCATCATCATCATTACCAACAATGATTATGAATACCAAGACGACTACTACGATGATGATGATGATGATAAGAGCACAACGACATCCAATATTTGTGTGCGTGTGTGTGTGTGTGTGTGTTTCACATATGCCAATGATCGCCAGCTACACAGAACAGAAGAAACAAATGAAAAACGCCAAAATGAAGAATATAGAAATCGTGGTATTTTTATTATATTTTTGGTGCTGGATTTTCGTTGATGATGGATGAGAAACAAAAAAAAAATTTCTATGCTGTATGCAAGAGAATAAGAACAAAAAAAAGCATGAAACAACCGCCAATCACACACACACACAAAAAAAAATAACAAAATCCAACGACAACGAGAACACGAATGTGAAAATGAATTAAAAAAAAACAAACGAACAAACGACCAACGGCAAAAAATACAAGCAGATCGAACACAATTGAAACTTTGAAATGAAAATGCGCGTGTTTTTTGCACACAATATGAATATGTTAGGAAGTGGTAATAATCCACTGCTAGCAGCATTGAAATTAGTTGTAGGAAAAAAAGTTTTATTTTTTTTTCATCTTTTGTTCTACTCCTCCTCCTTGTCGTGTGTGTGTACGTGCAATACCCTGCTGTATTTTATAAACGAAAAAAAAATGAATAGAAAACAGAAGGATACCCTCCTACACACACTAACAAACAAGACACAAAAGAATTATGTGAATGTTATAATTCGACAATGCTACTACAACGGCTACAATTATTACCCCTCGGCTCGGGTAGTGGTGATTTTTTTTTTATTATTCATTTTCAGAATTTTCATTTTTTTTTTCGTTTTCAATTCACTGGGGGTACCCAATTTTTTTTCTGATTGAAACAAATGATGATTATGTAATATTTCATTTACGTAAGTGGATAAATTGATTTTTCTCGAAAACGAAAACGAAAACGATGAAAATTGTGAAACCAGATTTTCACAAAAAAATGAAACCATTACCTTCAACCGGATTTTCACAACCTGATATTATTATTATTATTATTACTGACCTATAGACCTCTATCAAATGAACATAACCTAAAGGCCACATTATATCTTATCTTATCTTATCTTTCTGTCTGTTTTGTTTGTCCATTTCAACACACACACACACACACACAGAGATATTGAAAAAAAATTTTTTTCGTTCTTTTCCATTCAGAAAAAAAATTCTGATTTTCATTTTATCGATGATCGCGATTCATTGAATATTTTTTTCCCAATAGTTCTTTACTGATTTAACATGAAATGAATGAGAGAGAGAGAGAGAGAGGGGAGAAACAGAGAGAATCCCTGCCGATGTATGTGTTATGTATATTAGAACTACTGATGATCGATAAAACACACGGACCTCACGCGTACAGTATTTGTGTGTGTGTGTGTGAATATTTATTATTCACAGGTTTGATCTTCATCATTTTCATTGGATTTTTATCGATTGTTGTTGATCCAATAAAATGGGCTAATTGTTTTGTTTTGTTTTTTGTTGATTTGATTTGACCTTATTTCCACACACACACACACACACACCACTAACGCCACCACCACCACCAAAATTTGCCTATCGGGCATTCATGTGTTTATATTTTATAATTTTTTTTGTCTTTGTTCATCACATGTTGTATAAATTTTACCAAGTGAAGAAAAAAAAAATATTGTTCACACAAACAAACACACGGCCAAAGGCCAAGGGTCGCGATCTATTTTCTTTAAGAAATAAAAATGAAAAGTTTCTTCTTTAACTTGATTTCGTTTTTTTTTTTTTTCATCGTTCGTTTGTTTGTTTGTTTGTTATAAGAGAACAATCAATCGATGAGATGACCTATGGCTATCAAAAAATGAATGAAATAGTGAAGAATTCAACCTTGAACTTTTGATACAGTAGCCAATGTATAGTGATGATGATGATGATGATCAGAAAATTTTTTTAAACTTTTCCCTACCTCCCCCACACACACACACACATACAATGAAATTTAAATCGTCCACCACCACCATCATCCAAATAATGATGATAATGACCAACCAAGTGTCCAGCTAACACACACATACCATACAATTTTTTGTTGTTGTTGCTGTTGTTGATAATCAATAAATAGTGAATTGGATGAATGAATGAAAACATGTGTGTGTGTGTGTGTGTGTTTTAACAAAAGAAAAAAAATCCACCACCACCAAGAAAAAGACCAAAAAAAAAAATCAACAACAAGCAACAAGTCGTTTTTTCGTTGTTTGATTCATAATATATAGAAGTGCGTGTGTGTGTGTGTGTAGGGAAAAATTTCAAAAAGGCCTAGCTTGCTCGAGTGCACATATGAAAATATGCGTAATTTTGAAAAGAAAAATAAAATTCTTTTACCTTGTATTATTCGCAAAATTTGGTTCCAATAAATATTTCCAATATCACGTATGTTGCTGTTGTTGGTCGTTGTTCGTTGTTGATGAAAAAGATCAAGACATCTAGAAAAAAAACGTGAAAGCAATTATTATCAAAACCAAAAAAAAAAATCATTTTTTTCCATTGCCCATACCATGGTAACCAACACATATTTTTTTTTTGAATATACAGATGAGATGAACTTTGAGCTTTTTTTTTCTCTCTGCTGATTTGATGGATGGATAGATGGATTTGATTTGATTTAAAGCCCTAATGGCAAGTGAAATCAAAGGTGAAAAAAAATTTTCGTCCAAAATTCAATGACCAAAATTGTTGGCAACAACGAAAACAATAACAGTCTGAAAAGTTTTTTCCTTCTTCTTCTTTCCATATATATGATCCGATTTGGCTATATAGTTATTCTTCTTGTCATTAGGGACGACAATTCCAAATTTCATTTTGTTTTCTTCTCAGTAATCACCAAAACCAATGACCATTTAAAAATTCAATTTAGTAGTGGTGGTTGTTGTTGTTGTTTAGTCTGTTGTAAAATATTGATAATAATAAAAAAAAATCAAACAATTTGATATGAACTGTTGTTGTTGTTAAAAAAAATAATTTTACCTTTTTACTATAAAAAATGACCTTGGTCAAATAGAGAATGAAATGAAATGAACATTTTTATTGTTCTCTTTAGCTTCTTTTTGTTCTTGCAAACACATGATAAGAGACAAATGATAAGGTAAAATGTTTGAAAATTGGTGAAATTGATTTTTGTAGCCAAAGAATAAAAAAAATAATTCCCATACACAATCGATACAATTCAATTCCAATCAGAATATTCATGGAATATTTATCATCCATCTGGTCAGAACTAAAGCAACAACAAAAAAAATTTTTATCAAAAAAAAAAAAAACAAAACAATAAAAAAACATTCGATTCGAACGTTGTTCAAATTCGTCATGGTTTTTGCTACACGCTGACGGCATCTAGTGGTCATCGTATGAATTAAAATCTAGATTTTTTGAAAACAACAACAACAACAACAAAATGAAATTCCTTTTTGTTCAAATCAAAGAAAAAAAAAAATTTATAAATAAACATGAATGAAGCTAATTATAAATCATATAAATTAATGAATGAATGATGATGATCACACATTGCCATTAATCAATGAATGAATATATCATTGCAATATACAGGTATCAAAGTAAAAAACAAGAAAAAAAACCGTTAACATTCTTTTTCCATTCGATAGATGTTCAATGAATCCAGAAGCTAAGAAAAAAAAATTCTCCATCCCTTCTTTTTTCACATTGATAAAGAAGAAGAAGAATCGACCACCACTATAACCACCATCAGCCACCGTGTTTGCCTCTCTCTCTCCATCTCTAAATATATCATGCGATTTCCACAAAAAAATGAAATGATGATCATTGAAATACAGCAGAATGAAATTTGGAACTTGGCTATATATAGTTTACACACACACACACCACACACACACACACACACAGTGTGCTGTTCCAAAAACGAAACGAAACGAAACGTTCGAAGATAGTTGTATATACAAGTATGTTGTTGTTGTTGTTGTTGTTATTTGCATTTTTCTTGATTGATAATTGGCATCATTTTTGTTTTTTAGGATTTTTTTTCTTATCAAATTTTCTTCTCTCTTTTTTTCCCATCATTAATCGACGTGGTTATGAAACAAAAAATGATTTTATAGTGAATAATAATATTCAGTGAGTAGTTGAAAAAGAAAAGTGTTCGTTTGGTGTTTGTGGATATTTTTTTTTTTTTTTTGGAGGGGCTACGAATCATCGAAGTTAATCGATGTTGATAAATGTTTCTATATGCATGTTTTGTGTTGCGTGTCGAACGATAGAAGAAAAGAAATGTCTGGTGTTCGAAATGCATTCAATTGTAGTTTTGTTGCTTGTCGTTCGAATCTTCGAAAGGTAAATTTTTGATGATTTTTTTTTGGGGTTCTCATTTCGATTAATTGTTTTTGTTTTTTACTAGTGTTGGCATTTTATTCTATGCTATAAGCCACAATTATTATCATCATCATCAACAACAACAAATGAACATCAATATCAAGTACTTTGTTTAGGTTTATCTGGTTCTGGTAAAAGTACATTATTAGCACAATTGGTTGGTGAACAGATTGGTGTCGATACAATTGAACCAACAGAAGGTTTCAATATAAAAACATTACCATTAAATGGTATTATGTTGAGTATAAAAGAATTAGGTGGCTCTGAACGTTTACAAACATTTTGGTCAAATTATTATGAAAATAAACATGCACTGCTGTTCATAGTGAACATTGCATCCAATGAAACAATAATGCAACAATCATTGGACACATTACGTACCATATTAATGAATCCTGGTTTACGTGGCCGTCCATGTATGATTATCGGTACACATAAAGATCGACCAGAAGCACGTACTGAACAACAGATTGAACAATATTTTCAACCATTACTAAATGGTCATAAATGGAAAATTTTCTGCTGTTCAGCATTGGATCGTAAATCCATAATGGATGCATTTGCAGCATTAATTGTATTGATTAAAAATGTCTTTCCTTGAAACGAAACGAAAAAAAAACATTCCAAAATGAAAACAAAACAAAACATTTCTCATCATCATCCATTCATTCATTTGTTGTTGTTGTTTCTATTTATTAATTTCATCATCATCAATTATAATCAGATTAATTATTAAAAAAATTATGTAAATTTTTTTTGTTGTTGTTGTTGTTGTTGTTGTTTTTCATTTAAAAAATGGTGGATATTTCATTTCAATTTTCGGTCGTATACGTTTAACATCGATAAATGCTTCTTTATGATTTTTATATACCGTTTCCCATAGATTAGTTTTTTTACGACGTGCAACAAATGTATCAATTTGATTGGCAAATTTCCTACGTAAACTATATGTTAATTCATCACGTTCACGTTGTTGTTGACGGCTATCGATGGATAAATATGGCCGAAGTTCTAATGGTGATAAATGGTTATCAACAGTTTTCATGTTCAACATATCAATCAACAGATCCAATACGGCAGTGTTGACATTTTGAAGTTTACCATTTTCATATGAATCAAATAAACGCATTTGACCACTTGACCAGCATAGATTACAAAGACGATTGTCATCGTTTTCATTATCGGCAACAAGATCATCATGAAAACAATGATTATTCAATTGATAAACATAAAATGACCAATGTTGTCCATCCGTTATGATTACATTTGTAACCAATGGATATGTTAATCGATCATATAATGTAAAACCAAGATTATTAGCCAGTCCGGTTAACCAACTAAATGCTGATATGATTGCCATACCATCAAGAACATCTTGATCATCCATACATTGTGATAAACCATATCGTTGTTTTCGTTGTCTTAATGATTCATAATTCATAGCCAATAAGTATGGAAAATCATGACCACCGGAACGATCAGGCCAAAATCCAGGCAATGACATAATATTATGACGACGTAATGTGACACCTAATTTCAATAGATTATAATTACATTCCGGAATTTTTGTACACGATAATGGATCATCGAATGATACAATCGATGGCAATGGATTCATTGTTCGCCAATGAACACTATGATTACCACGATAAGTGATCAATTGATTTATTCGTTCATTATCACGAAACCAATGTGATTTTCGAAATGGAATTGGATAATCACCCAGCCACCATGATGTACTGACGAATGGTGTGAAATCAAGATGATGATCAAATCGTTCGGTTGAATTATTATTTTGAATCAACAATTGTATAACATCGGCAACGATATCATCTTCTGCTAATGATTGTATTACATTCGCACGGCTACTACGGCCAATAGTTGACAGTAATGTTTTACGAAAATCAAACGATACGATACGAGATTTAGCTTCAAACAAACGTCCAGCAATTATAGCCAGAATTTGTTGTCGTAAATGTTCAATATTTTTTCGATCATTATTGGTTGAACGATATGATTCTGGTAATCCATTTATTAAATGTGTACGTGTTATGAATTGTTGTGCCGGTAATGCATTATAGGTGGCCATTACCGGATCAATCATAAGACTTAAATGGCCATAATGTTTAGTTATTTCATAGATTTTTTGTTCAGCTGTTGGTAATCGACGTATTGCATTATACCAATCAAGACGAATTTGTTTTCGTTTTCCTTCTGTTGTTGGTTCAAATATTGGTGGATATTCTGGTTGTTCTGTATATTCTTGCTGTTCATTGGGCAATGTATTAACATCAACGAAATAACGAAATTTCCACCATGGTTTCTGTTTTTGTCGTTTACGTAATTGTGGCAGATGATCCGGTAGATAGCTAATCGGTTTCGGTACTACACGTTCATTAATATCGGTACCGGATTCAACATTGAACCAATCACTATTATCACTTATTGGTTGTTCATTTGATTTTGATTGCTGTGCATTCGAAACCGATGATGGTGATGGTGATGATGATGATGATAATGTTCGATTAGCATAACGACCAACATTAATATAATTAGAATTTTGTGACAAAATAATATATCGTAATAATGGCCGATTAACCGGTATCAACATGATTTATTGAATTTGAATTTTTATTTTTTTTTGTATGGAAAAATAATGATAACATGTGACCATATTTTTTTTGGGGGGAATGTTTCCCAAAACGTGGACAACAAAATGATGAGCAGAAAGTTTCCCGTTAAATGTATGGAAAAATATGAATTTTTTGGTTATTTATTTAAAAAAAAAATTATTTTAATTAATTGAATGGAAACGTTTTTGTCAGATAAGATTTTACACATTCACACACACACACCCACACAAAGACAAAGACAGGATTAAGAAAAAGTTTTAAGCAAATATACATTAATTAATTAAGATTATCAAACATAAAATTAATCATCTGATGATCATGTTGTGCTTTATTCCGTAACTGTATAATTAATCTGGCCAATTGTTCAGCATTGACGCCATAATTTAATAATTCAATTATAATCGATAATTGTTCTTCATTCAAGCCTGTATTCAATAGGCTGGCCATTTGATTGATTGAATCGAAAAATGTATACACATCATTCTCATTGCCATGAACATTTTCAATCGGATTCATTGATGGATCCATTGTGAGGATTTTCTTCTTTTTTGGAAGTGAAAAAAACCAAAGAAGAAAGAAATGATACAAAATTAAGTTTGGTCGTTGTGGGAAAAATGATTTTGAAATTAAAAAAATAAAAAAAAATTCAATTAGGTCATTTTTGTCACTGTTGTGAAAAACAAAAATGTAAACAATCATTAAATAATAAACAAATCAAAAGATGGCGCACTATGATCAAATAGAATTAAATGTGAAAATTTTTTATTTATTTATTCGAAATTTATTCAACTTGGTATAATTTCATCAACACAAATGGACATTATATGTTTACCTGGTACCATGGCCAGACCAAGTACACGTGGATCTTCATCATCATCTATAATAATAATAGTGATTACGAATCAATAATTTAATTCAATTCAACAATTCATATATGATGATTACCATTAAGATATTCAAGACTTGAACCAAGTATAATATTTTGATGACAATCAGTGCAAAGAAATATGCCAACAATAATACGATTATCCGATAATTTTATACGAAAATTTTTATTCAACCATTTTTCCAACATTATTTTATGTTCAGGTCTTTTCTCATCAACAACAATTTTGGTATTTGTTTCCTAAATATATTGGAGAAAAGACAGAAAAAAAAAAAATGGAAAAACATCAATTATTTGTCGAAAATTTTTCGATATAAATCATCAGCTAATGATTGTGCATTCGGTGTGGAAACTGTAAACCAAACATTCATGTTTTTCGATTCAATTCGTTGTGCTGTTTGCCGACCAAATGCTATGTATCGTAGTAAAATAGAGGATTCATTATCGTGAAGATAACGTTGAATATGATCATAAAGATTATCTACACCGGATGGACTAAAAAATACGATCGGAATTTCAATTTGCATTTCCGACGTGATTAATGTTGAAAGAAATGTTTTAAATTTACGAAAATCATCATCAAGATTTTGGTTGGCCAATGTATTGTAGCAATGAATTTCATGTACTGAAATATTGTTTTCGTTCAATATTTTCATCAATGGATCGGTTCTGATTCGGCTACATGGATATAATAATGGTCGATGATCGTTGCTGTCGTTTGTTTTGTATTGTTCAACAATAAATCTGGCTAAATCTTCGGAATTTCCTGCATGATAACCTTTTGAATCGATTGATAATTTATCCAAAAGATATGTACGTGTTGCTGTTCCAACAGTGAAAAATTGCACCACTTTCAATAAATGTCTGTTGTTGGATGGTTCAATAGACATCATCAAAGCATCGATACAACGTTTACTAGTCAATATAATACCAGACCATTGATTCGGATGGGACAATAATTCACCAAGTTCGGCAATATTTATAAAATCAAATTGTATTGGCTGAATAAAATACGTACAAATCGATCGTTTAAATTTACGTTCAATTTCCAATGAATATTCATCATTATTATTATTATTATCCGATGAATCACTTTTAGCCAATAAAATGATCATTTTATCTAAACGAACCTTTTGATTAACACCATCATCATGATCATGATCATTATCGTTATTCATCATCATCATAATTTTAATTCGAATAATCAAAACGGAGAACAAAATATCAAGACTTGAAAAAAGAAACTCAATCTGATACATCTCAATCGCCATCTATGAATAAAAACCTGCACTGGTGATGATGATGATGATGATGATTGCAATCAAACACATGTTTGCATTTCATAAAAGTCTGTGTGTGTGTTTGGATCTAAATTCTATCTAATCAATGGATGACCATCAATCATCATCATCATCGGATGATGATAATGAATATATTGAACAAGAAGAACCATTAGAATTTAATATTAAATGTTTATTCTGTAATCATTATGCCACTAATTATCAGCAAATGTTCAATGAACATATCCACGATGATCATCAAATTAATCTGTTGGATATTTGTCGTCGACAACAAATGGAAACATTTGATTTTATTAAATTAGTGAATTATATTCGTAAACAACAAACACCAGCATCAAATGTTGAATCAATAGTTGTCGATCGATTATTCGATCATGATGAATATCTAAAACCAACGATGGAAGATGATCATTTTCTCATGTTTGGTTTGTTTTGATTTTTGAAAAATGTTTTTTTTTCTGATTTAATGAATCGAAAATTTTTTCTTCCAGATTATGAAGGTGAAATCGTTGATGACGATGGTGATGATAATAATAGGCCGATGAACATCAGTGATGAACAATTGAAAAATGTTTGCCATGATTTATCCAAAGAAAAATTAATTGAAATGATCATAGAATTGAATGGAAAATTGAAAGAAACCAGAAATGATATGGCAAAAATTCGAAATTTATTCATCGATGAACCACAACAATCGAATGATGGTTTGATTAGTAATATTGTAACCAATTTGGATGAACATTCGGATAGTTCATATATTGATTCTTATTCACATTTTTCCATACATCATACAATGTTGGCTGATAAACCACGTACATTAGCCTATCAAGATGCTATACTGGAAAATGGCTCCTTATTTGTTGGCAAAACAGTATTGGATATTGGTTGTGGTACTGGCATTCTATCATTGTTTGCAGCAAAAGCCGGTGCAAAATTAGTCGTCGCTGTTGATCATAGTGATATTATTGTTAATAATGCACGTACAATTATCATGGAAAATGGTTACGAACAAACTATTCGTATTGTTCGCGGTAAATTGGAACGATTGGATTTTGAAAAATTATCATTACCAACTCGATATGATATAATTATTTCCGAATGGATGGGTTATTTTCTTCTTTTCGAAGGAATGCTCGATACAATATTGTATGCACGTGATCATTTGCTGAAGCCACAAGGTGCCTTATTACCAAGCCGTTGTAAAATGTTTTTATCTGCATTTTTCGATTGTAAATTCTATGAAAATAATATCGATTTCTGGAACGATGTTTATGGTTTCAATATGTCATCAATGATTACTGATGTTACCAAAGAAGCCACTATTGATTTAATAGCACCGGAAAATATTTGTACAACAGCAGAAAAAATTTGTGATTTTGATCTGAATTCATGTGGAGAAAATTTTTCCACTACCGACATTATTTCATCATTTGAATTTCATTTCAAAAATGATTCCACTATTCATGGTTTTGTTGGCTGGTTTGATTGTTATTTTGATTCAATGACCAAATTGATCATATTAAGTACATCACCATTTGCTGAACCAACACATTGGAAACAGACAATATTTCCATTGAAAGAACCAATTATAGTACAATCGGGTAAATCAGTATGCGGTGAAATACGTATTGGAAAACAAAAACAACGGGCAAATAATAATGATCCACGTGCATTGGAAATTTGTTTATTATTACAACAACCAATTCAATGTAAACTTGTTTATAATATTTGTTGAGTAAGAAAAAAGAAACAATAAATAAATACATTTTCAATGAAGGAACCATTTTCGTTTTATCATTGCCGAATTATCGCCAATGCTTGTCGTATGCATGGATTCGAGTTGATTCATCATTTTACTTCGTTTCAATAAATGTTTGGTTTCAAATTCATCTGCATCGATGATTGGTGGTTTTTTTCGCTTCTTTACTTTTCCATCATTTGTCGTTGTCGTTGTTTTGATATCGTTACGTTTTGCCATTGTTGTTGTTGTCATTTTCTTTTTCATTTGTTTCAATTTTTTCTTTTGTTCCAAAATTTTTCTTTTATTCATTTTTAATTTTGGTACCTTTTCATTTTTATCGAATGGTTTGGCTTCAACACCGCTGTACGTGTTCGATGAATGTTGCTGCTGTTGTTGCGAATGATGATTCGATTGTTTCATTTTGGTTCATTTGATTTTTCATTTTTTCCTGTTTAATTTGACGATATTTTTTCCTGTTCAATGCTACTTTATTTTCAATTGAAAATTCAACGATAGGTCTTTTATCGGCTGTGAATATCGTGGGATTATTATTCAGATAACGTAGTGCTTTCAATGCATGCGAATGTTGTTCAAATTCAACGAAACCAAAACCTTTGGATGAACCAAATTTTTTTTGTCCTTGACCATCCATTTGACCGCTACGATTACGCATTACTTTGGCCTATTAAAAATTTGGTGAAAAAATCATGGATTAATCGACAATCAATCAGTATATTTACAAGGAAATTCTTACCCATAAAATGCGAACATTTTTTTCATTGACAGCCATGGTAAATAATTTCCGTAGCTTCAAATCGTCGTAATTACTAGGTAAATTATGAATACAAAGTCTATGATCAGAAATAAAATAATGAAGATTTTGCAATAATTTTCGTTTCTTTTCCTCCAACAATAGACGTTTCTTGAGATCCGAAGCCGAAACACCAACGGCTGCCGGCGATTCTGGATATATAAGACCTTCTTTTGCAAGATAAATATTTCGTTTATCTTTATGTTTACGGTGATTGACATCATGAATTTGTTCCAATCGATTACGACTTACAGCTTCAGTGACGATTAATTGTTTTCCATCCAGATAAAATTTACTGTTTTCTGGAATGTTTGCTTCATTCAAACAATGTCGTGCATCATCAAGATTTTTGAATTTAACGAATGCTGAACCTTTAGATCTACTGTTGTAATCATCACAACAGATACGACAATATTCTATTGTACCAAATGATTCAAAAGCATTTGTCAACGATTTTTCACTTGTTTCCAAATCGATATTACGTATGAAAATGGTTTTACCTTCATTTACATCACTTTTGGGTCGATTTTTCTTCATACTTTCGGCCATTAGATCATCATCATCGAATAACAAATAACAAATTCTAACAAACAAATTTTTGCTATTCTTCTTTATTTCTTATGACTAAAATGATACTTCACAAAAAAAATCAAAAAACAAACAAAATTTCTCTTCAACCAAACTGAATACATGAAAATCAAAATGCATGCATGTGCTTTCAATTTTGTTACGTCATTTTTGAAAAAAAACCTTTTTCACAACACTCCACTGCCGAATTTAACAGGACAAAGAATTTCCAGAATAATTCACGAACATCAAATATAAAAAGCGTGATAAAGATTCTTCCATATTCTTATTCAACAACGATATCTTGTCTGTTTCTTTTAAATCGAAAAAAAACAAGATTGTATGCCTAATAAGCACAATATTCATAGATGGCGTTGATGATTTTGTTTTTTTAAATTTTATTTGATTTGATTCTCAAAAAGGAGTGAAAATTAAAATGTTATATAATCAAATTATTATGAATGTATGAATTCAAATTGTATTTTATGGATTATTAGTGTGATTGCATACGAAATGTATCGTGTATTTATAACGACCAAACTTGTCACACGTACATTATCGAATTGTAGCCAGAACAAAATACGTTTACGATACGGCGGTCTGGTTGGATATATTTCAACATTTTCCATCATTATTGTGGCCAATGTTGGCGATATTTTTAATTTGGGAAACCAATAAAAGGTGATTATGGCCGTTTAGAATGGACTGAAGTTTGTATCATCTACATATCAATAATAAAAATACAAAAAGAGAATAAAAAGAAAAAACAGAAGAGAAAATGTGTGAGGATTATTGTAATGAAAAAAAAACAAAGAATTCAAGATCAGAAAAACAGCAAAATAAAAAAAAAGAAAAGAAAGCAACAAAACATGTACTAATCACCGAAAAAACAGTCTGAAACAGTGAAAACGGGAAAATTCCCAATCCAATAAATTGCGTGGCCTCCATAAATCCGAATCTCCTATCTATTTCTGTGTCACGTTTAAGATAACGAAGTGCATCATCGATACCTTGTTGTTTTATTTCGTCCAATTCGAACGGATTTGGAAATAATACCTTTAATTTGCGATTTATACTTAATGGTGATATCGATATCGTTATATTTTTAAAATTAAATTTAAATAAATCATCACCCGGTGGACATATGTCACCTCCACCGGAAAATGGTGATACGGTTATAGTATTTTCATCCAATATTGGTGAATTATTCGTCAATCCACCATCAATATATGAGATGCCATCAAATTCAGGCGGTAATAAACCCGACCATAATGGTATAAAACATGAACATTGTAATGCCTAAAATATATCAATGAATGATAAGAAAGTAGAGAGAGAAAGAGAGAGAAAAAAAAATGAAAATTTGATAGATTGATCATACGATCGATACAAATTTCGTGTAATTCATTATTATGAACACCAAAACGGGAAAAAAATGAAGATATTTCTCCAAATTTTTTTTTCATTTCATCATATCATTATCAACAACAATCATTGATCATAGAATAATTAATTTGACAGAAAAAAAACTAACCTTGATCAGTTCCTTTTTAGATTTGAATTGATTGATGATAACATTTTTCAAATCACTAATCCTGGTAACACTTATGTACAGACGGCCATTAGCCCTGATATGTGCATCATTTGGTAATTTGAGCTTAAGACGATCATATAGAAGACGATTTATATTCAATGATGATTTATCCAATTTTTCTAAAATAACATGAACTGCTAAATATATAAAATCGCCTATAATTTCATCTGTTGATTTCAATGAAACAAAACAAAACAAAAATTAAATAAAAATTAAATTACGGAATGAAAAAATTTCTTTAATGAACAAAGAATTCATCGGGAAAATAATGTTCTCAGCGATTGAATTTTTTGCCTGAATCGATCATGTGATGAAAGTTTTTTTTTAAATTGAAATCCTTGAAACACCGCTACCCCAAAATTTTTTTTTAAACAAAAAATTTTCCATTCATACAATTTTCTTATCGGCAGCCACACATCATCATTATCTTTAAATCAAAAATTAACAGCAATATGGGGGAAGGAGAAAAGGTGTGGAACACAAATAGGATGTTGTCTGTTTAAAAAAAAAAAATGTTCCATAATGTTAATAATTTGAGAGTGTATACGAGTATATATCGTCAATGACACAATACACTCAACGTATATACGTGATATGATATTGCAGTGTGTACAAAGATTTTGTAATTTAAAATTTTACTTTTTTTCTCGAAATTACAGCTGAACACATTAAATTTTTTATAATATTAATATATGTATGTATATATCAGAAAAAAATTGATGTTTAACGTTGCACTCAATATTCACATGTAAAATTATCGTATTTTCTTATTAACAAGCGATTAAATTCGCTTTTATAATAATCTGAAATTCATGATTTGTTTTGATTTAACCATCGGATGTACAAATGCCACATTACCATTTGGTAATATGTCATTTGTTGTAATCATGATAGGATGTTTTTACATTTATTAAAATTCCTATTTTGATATTTACTGATGTTCATCACATCCTTTGATGATCGGATGTTTAATCGATCATCATTTTTCATTTTCGGCATTATGATTTTCATGAAATCAAACAATATCCTGACATATGTATGAAACAAAACAAAGCAAATAAACAAAAAAATAATAATAATTACCAGGTGGAATATCGCAGGCAAGACAAGCTGCTACTAATGAACCGGCTGATGCTCCTAAAAATTTTGTATCCGGTGATATTAGTTTATTTTTAAGAAGACAAGATGCAACGCCGAGATGATAAGGGCCCAGGAAACCACAACCAGAAAAGCTGAATGAAAGTTTCTTGGTTGGATCTAATTTTGCCATAATTTCTTTTTTGGATTGATTCTTATTTTATCACAAGAATTCGATTATTATGATCATGTATACGTAATGAAAAAAAAATCGGTTAATGCTCGAAAACTGGGAAAAAAATATTCACAAATTCAAGTTTTTTTTCTCGATAGTGGAAAATGAAAAATTTTTCGACGAAAAAAATAAATGAAAAAAAACACGCAATATAACTTGTTGCAAACAGACATAAGATTCGATCATAAGATTTGACGATTTGTTTGTGTGTGTGTGTGTTTGATCAAAAAGACAGGGTTTATATACTCCGATGAGAAACGCAAATACAAGAAGAATACAGTAAAATACAGTAAAAGCTCCTTATTCGCGTTTTCACGTATTGATGGTTTGATGCAGCGATGATTATTAATGCATTTATGTGTTATATAAAACCACATTGAAAAAAATGGGGAAAAAAGTCTATGTAAGCCACGCCTTTTTTATACCAATATTTCAAAACAATATAACTGTTGCTGTACAAAGTTTGCCCTTTTTTCCCGGTAGGATTTTTTTCAATATATTCACGGTTTCTGTATTCGCGGCATATTTATAGAACATATACCCCGCGAATAAAGAGCTTTTACTGTACGTTTACGCAATGAGAAAAAAAACGACATTTTACAAAAAAAAAACATAAAACATAAAAGTGCTAAATCATGCTCTCATTCACAATGTATAATAATGAACATGACTCATCACAAAAAAAGTGAGCGATGTTCTACACTGCAAAAATGATTGCTCTTTAATGAAACGTCCGAAAGGCTATCATCGGGTAACATAGAAAAATCGGCCGTCCAATCTAGCCTATATTTTTTTTGATTGAATCTTCCTCATGGAAGGGTCAATAACGCATTTTCACCATTTTTAGGTTTCCAACCCCACCCACTTCCGCTAGAGCCATACACGCCGCTTTTCTTCAAATCGCTCCTGAACAGCCGCCGCTTGGAATATTTTTGTGAAACTTCGAACAAACATCCGTCACACCACAAGGTACAAGAATCATGTCATATGAACTTGATACCTCGAGTCTCTAGAGGTCAAAGGGCAAAAAATTGTCACTCCTAGCAGCGATGAGGTATCATAAAAATGACTTTTTTTTTGAAAAAATATTCCATTTTTCTCTCAATTCTGAAGTTTTGATAAAAATCCAAGTGGTGGAAAATGGTTTTCCCCCAAAAAAACCACCAAAAAATCGATCAAGATAGCTGTCCCGTTTCCTGAACACCCGTGTACATCCCAAATAACGCCGTATACCATCGGCTGTTTTGCAGTAGATCATTCATAAAAGCAGTGATATTTAGAATGTACACGGCTGTTCAGGAAACGGACAGCATACTTATTATTGCTCATCGATATCGATAAGTTGGCGAAATACGATATTTTTGGTGTAGATGCTGCGGTCGTTGTTGACATTCAGCAAAATAGCACTTGCTTTTCCTCAATTTCCTCGACAAAAATCTTAAGATTATTAGGATTTTTGCATCGGGAAAGAGCCACATACATCATTCCATGTTGGAATACTGGTGTTGGAAGGTATACACCTACTTTTTCGAAAGATTGCCCTTGAGACTTATTAATTGTCAGGGCAAATGCCAACACGACAGGAAATTGTCTACGCACCAATTTGAATGGCAGCTCAGGATCTTGTTCGTTTTGTTGGAAAATGATCCGAGGAATCAAAGCTTCCGTGTTTTTGTGCGTTCCTGTCAATATGCGAGCTTTAATGGTGCGTCTTTTTAGTTGAGTGACAACTAAACGCGTACCATTAAGCAAACCACTTTGTGGTTCAACATTGCGGATCAACATGATAATGGATCCAACTTTTAATTCAAGTTTGTGTCTAGGATAACCTTGTGGGTTCATCGCATGAAGACACTCAACATTGAATAGCAAACCGCTGCGGTTTTCAAGATGAATGTACACACAAAATGTTGATTTCATCATCAAATGCACACACAGACACACAAAATGATTTCGAATTCGAACTCTTTCTTTGTTCTATTGTATGACTGCGCCATCTATTGGATGCAAAAGCTGCAGCAGCGTGTGCTGAGCTAGCACAATAAAAAAAAGCTTTGTCAAAGCTACATACCACAGAATGCGTTTCTTTGGAAGCAGCTTCTACTACTTCTGAGCTGAACGAACTGTTCAGCGGCATTCAAAAGTTTCCCCGCATGCTCAGACACACACACGCAACACACTGAATACTAATACTAAATAGTTATGTTTGTACTAAAAATAAGCAGGAATGGCCGGCTCGGCTTCGCCGCAGTTTACAGACATCCTAAGCGTCATAGACTATTAAAAAATAAAAAATAAAATATAATAAATATATTAATAAAAAAATAGATAGATTGAAGAAGAAGAAAAAGAAAAATCATTTTCAACTTTATAACTTTTTATTATTTTTATATTGCTCACTTTGTAGGAAGAGGAAAGAATAAATACATTTTATTGAAAGAACCATTTTCGTTTTACCATTGCAGAATTATCGTCAGTGGCCGATTCGAGTCGATTCATCATTTTACTTCGTTTCAATAAATGTTTGGTTTCAAATTCATCTGCATCGATGATTGTTGGTTTTTTTCGCTTCTTTACTTTTCCATCATTTGTCGTTGTCGTTGTTGTTTTGATATCGCTACGTTTTATCATTGTTGTTGTTGGCATTTTCTTTTTCATTTGTTTCAATTTTTTCTTTTGTTCCAAAATTTTTCTTTTATTCGTTTTTAATTTTGGCACCATTTCATTTTTATCGTATGGTTTGGCTTCAACACCGCTGTACGTATTCGAGGAATGTTGCTGTTGCTGTTGCGGTAATGATGATTCGATTGTTTCATTTTGGTTTTTCATTTTTTCCTGTTTAATTTGACGATATTTTTTCCTATTCAATGCTACTTTATTTTCAATTGAAAATTCAACAATAGGTCTTTTATCGGCTGTGAATATCGTGGGATTATTATTCAGATAACGTAATGCTTTCAATGCGTGCGAATGTTGTTCAAATTCAACGAAACCAAAACCTTTGGATGAACCAAATTTTTTTTGCCCTTGACCATCCATTTGACCGCTACGATTACGCATTACTTTGGCCTATTAAAAATGTGGTGGAAAAAATCGTGGATTAATGGACCGGTATATTTACAAGGAAATTCTTACCCATAAAATGCGAACATTTTTTTCATTGACAGCCATGGTAAATAATTTCCGTAGCTTTAAATCATCATAATTAGTAGGTAAATTATGAATACAAAGTCTATGATCAGAAATAAAATAATGAAGATTTTGCAATAATTTTCGTTTCTTTTCCTCCAACGATAGACGTTTCTTGAGATCTGAAGTCGAAACACCAACGGCTGCCGGCGATTCTGGATATATAAGACCTTCTTTTGCAAGATAAATATTTCGTTTATCTTTATGTTTTCGGTGATTAACATCATGAATTTGTTCCAATCGATTACGACTTACAGCTTCAGTGATGATCAATTGTTTTCCATCAAGATAAAATCTACTGTTTTCTGGAATATTTGCTTCCTTCAAACAATGTCGTGCATCATCAAGATTTTTGAATTTAACGAATGCTGAACCTTTAGATCTACTGTTGTAATCATCACAACAGATACGACAATATTCTATTGTACCAAATGATTCAAAAGCATTTGTCAACGATTCTTCACTTGTTTCCAAATCGATATTACGTATGAAAATGGTTTTACCTTCATCTACATCACTTTTGGTTCGATGACGCTTTTTCTTAATACTTTCGGCCATTAAATCTTCATCGTCATCGATGTCATCTTCATTATCATCAATGGAATCATCTTTTTCATCATCATCATCATCATCATCATCATCACTTGTTTGATGATCATCATCATTGATTTGTTCACATTTTTCTCTTCTTCCTGCTTCTCCTGCTCCAGATGTTTGACATATAAATCTTTTGAAACAGCAAAATCAACAGCAACCGTACGATTGAAATGTTTTTTTCCATTCAAAAATTTTATCGCTTTCAATGATGATCCAACATTATCATAGGATATGAAAGCAAATCCTTTAATGTTACCATTCGGTTTTTTCGGTACATTTATATCAACAATATTACCATATGGTGAGAAAAATTTTTGCAAATCTTCACTAGTAATTTTGAATGATAAATTACGAATAATTAATCGTGAACGTCGTGCATTACGTGCCAATTTATCTTGTGGCTTTTTATTATCTGTAACAATTTCAAATAAAATTTATTTTTTTTTGTTTTTAAAATTTCAAATTCAAAGAAAAAAAAAACTCACCATCCATTTTCTTGATGATTGAAAAAATAAAAAATAAAAATTTTTCCGCGTGTCTTTTCCAAACCAAATAAACACACATATTCACAAATGACATGTAATGATGTGACAAGTTTTTTTTTCTTGTCTATTTTATTTTAGGTGGAACCAAACAAAAAACTTGGCCTTTTTTTTGTTCTATTTAAATTTTATGAAAAATAAAAATGAATTCAACATCAAAATATGCTAATCTACCATTCATTGCATCCGGTGAACGTGATGTTTATGAAACGGATGATCTTCCTGAATCTGATCGGATTATTCAACAACAACAACAACAGCCTGATTCATCGATCGAAATAATACCATCAAATAGTGTTGATGCATTCAATAAATTTGCTGTTGCTGATTCAATACAGAAATCATCATCATTGGAATCAAAAGAATCAAATGTTTCATTAGTGGAAAAATATAAACAGATTCAATTGGAAATTGAAAATCTTCAACATTCGATTCAATCGAATGAACAATCCACAGCCGATGATTCTTCATTCATGCCTAAAGATATTGAAAATTTATTCACACAATTGGCTAATTTACATGATGTTTGTTTCAAAAAATTGGACACATCACAATTGATTAAAGATGTTCGCCGTGAACAGCAGCAACCAGATGATCAACCAATCGTATATGAATTATATCGAAAACCAGATAAAGAAGATATTGTTGAATTGGCCAGAATGAATGCGCTGGAACAACGGTTGAAAAAAATTGAATCAACCATTGGTTTGAATGAAATCATCAAAGATTCATCATCATCACATCCATTGTTGAATAATTATCTTAAAGATCAATCAATAATGGATATTGTGATCAATTTGAGCAATAAAATCGTACAACTTGATTATCAATCATTGGATCGTTTAGATGCCCGTTTACAATTGATTGTGGATAGATTACAACAAATTAATGAAAAAAAATCCACACTAACTGAATTGGATAAAGAAGATAGATTGAATGAACTATATAATTGTTATGTAAAAATTAATGAAAATCGTCCATTATTACCAAACATATTGGAACGTCTTCAAGTGTTGAATGATCTCCAGGATCAAGCGTCCAGATTCGCCAATACAATGACGGCAATGGAAACAATGCAAAATGAAATTAAAACATCGTTGGATCATAATAATCAAAACATTAAAAATCTTACGGAAATGTTCGGCAAATTATCCACTATACAAAATGTTGTGGATGATTTTCAAAATCGTTTGGATAAAATTACAACAAAAACAAAAAATTAATTAAGACACCTGATTGAATTATTGGAGAATTCTTTTTTTTTATTTATAATTAATTAATAAAATTTTTCACTTTTTTCTGTGTACACCTTTTCCAAACCAAGCTGGTTGCATTGTATTCAATTTTTCAATATTAATCATTTCATTATTCGTTTGAAACAATTGTTCCAAACGTATCCGATTACATGTATGTTCTTCTTCTGGTAATAATGGCTTGTGATCACGTAATACTTGATCATTTTGTCTTTCATATGATGATAATGATATGTTTAACATGGCCATTAATTCTTTCATGACTATGTCACATTTTCCATTTATTTTAACCACTGCTTGTGAATCTTTCGGTGTCCATTGTAGATTGATTATCGCTAATTTGTTCTTTTTATTTTTTTGCTTATTTTTTGGCCATAAACAAGCATATTTACGTAATATTTTCAGACTACTACCCATACAGATAATTAGATCAGCTTTTTGTGCTTCATTTGTGGCCGCTTCCCATCGTAATGGATGTTTAAGTTTACCTTTTTCACCAAAATGTACAATAGTGTCGATTAATTTTCCAACATCCGCAGGACATTGATGACAATGGCGACCTGTTTCATGTCGTCGTAAAGCAGTTTTTTCTGTCACATCAAATGAACGTGTATATGATTTTTTACAATTACGACAAACTTCTATATACATGTTGCCATGAATTTCGGATAAATGTTCGGATGGTATACCACTACGAAGATGAAGTCCATCACAGTTTTGTGATACAACATGTTTGATTATGTTTTGTTTCATCAATGAAACAATGGCCATATGTGTAAATGTTGGCTCTGTAAAAAAACATTTAAATTACAAACAAAATTCGAAATTATTATCCAGGTACCATACCTGAAAAGGCTAAATCATTAACATTGGGCGTATTGTCACCATTTTTGATACGTGTCCAAACACCATTTGGACCACGATAATCTGGTATCGATGCCGATGTACTGATTCCGGCACCAGTATAGACAATAATATGATTACTTGAACGAATCAATTCAACCAATTGTGTACATTTATATCGTAATGTATTGATATCGTCTTCGATTTCTTGTTCACGTTCTTTACGTAGATTATGATTTCTTCGTTGTGATTGCACAAGTTTCGCCAGATTTTTATAACGTTTCAGAATATCTTTTTCTTCTTTCGTTATATCCGTTTCACACATTTCATCAAAAAAATTCACATTTCTTGGATTCTCTTTTTTTTTTTAAAATAAACTATACTAAAACGCAACAGATTTTCGTAAAATTTTTATTTAAAATGAGGTCAAAATGAATGAAAAAAAAACTCTCTTACACATGTTTAAATTCTTGAGCAACAAAACTTTTATGTAAAGTTTTCATTTTACATGCTCGGCTATAAGTTTCGGCCATGATTTATCCTATGATCATGAATCGTGAATACAAAAAAAAAATTTCACACAAATAAAAACAAAAATTGTAAACAAAACAAAACAAAACAAAAAATTCACAATTTGACAAATTGAGAGAGTGTTTTGCTTTGTAAAAGTTGAGTTGTTTTTTTTTCCGGAAAAATTTCCCAACACAATCGACTATTGCAGATTTTCGTAAATATTTTTTATTTATTTGAAATTTAAATTTTTTTAAACAAAAAACTGAATATAAATACAATTTCATTGCATATTTTTTTTCTATTTGTATATGAAAATCTAAAGTTAAATGCAAATAATATTGTTCGATGATTAAACGTGAAGCTTCTTTAATGGTTTTATTGCGAACACGATCCATCTTTTCAAAAAAAAAAAAAAAAAATTCTCATCAAAAAAAAAAATTCGAACTGATGTTTTCTTTTCATAGAAAATCGAAAATGCTAAACATCTGTTTTTCGATTCGAAAAAAGTGTTTTTTTTTTTTTTTTCCCCAAAAATCAAAAAAAAACTGAATGTTTTACATAATTATTATAAATCAATCAATTGATGTATTGTTTTTTAGATACGGGAACGAAAATCACCCGGCGATGTTGTTGCTTTTTTAAATGTTAGTCCCAAATCTTCCAACATGACATATGTATCGGCATCAACTTCAATCAATGCGTTTTCCAAGGCCGACACCTATTAATCAATCGATGAGATGATAAATGGGTGAAATTCAATTTGAAAAATGTAATTTTTCTATGGTATTTACCTCTGGAACATAATTGTCACGACGTTCACGTTCCTCTTCTTGTAATTTGATTGAAATTCCACGAACTGGACCACGTTGAATACGTTTCATTAGATGAGTAACAAATCCGGCAATTTGATTTCGAAGCCGTTTGCTTGGAATAATAGCAATTTCTTCACATATTCTTTTGTTTGTATGAAAATCCATCGTCAAACGTGTATAGTATTTTTCAATGATAACACGTGAAGCTTTTTTGATGGTTTTAGTACGAACACGACCCTAAAAGTGGATAAAATATAAAAATTAGATTTTTTTTTGTCAATCAGAGAATCAAAATTACCATTTTGGATATTTAATTTCTTTTTTTTCGTTTAAAAAAATTTATTTTTTAAAATTTCAATCACAAAAACACACACACACGCGTTCACACAAGCGATGACGGAAAAAGGAAAAGTCTTAATGTGTTGACGATATTGTTGTATGTTTTAGCAGCATGTACTGAAAGCAGTCTTGTTCATGCTCATTCAACTATGATTCATGCCTCTCCTTTTTTTTCATTCGAATATCATTCATAAATGATGTATCATGTATTGTTGTTATATGCTGATGATTGTCAATATAGTGTTGTTGTTGGGAGTATAATTTGGATTGAAAAAATTTTTTTTTCCATGCTTTAAATTTTCAAAATTAATTATCGTCATCATTCAACAACAACAACGAAAAAAATGGGTCCATTAAATAAGCTAATCATCTATAGCCTTTCAATGATCATATTACCGATTATGAGCTATTTTATTTCGGATTATTTTTTCAAAAATTTCACTACAGATCATTGGGCCAATATTTATTCGGCCATTGTAGCCGTATTGGTTGTACATTGTGTACTGTTTTCATTTGTCTATCAGGCTTACCACGAAGATCGTATTGAAACAATGCGTATTTCAGAAAAAAAAGCCGAATAAATGGATTCACGGATTTATTTTTTTCATCATCATCATAATAAAATTCTGTAAACTTCACACACATATTACATGTGAGATACGAAAAAAAAAATCTCATTCATTTCAAATCATGCAATTTCGAATATTTTTTGATTTTTTCATTTCATTTTATAATTTGATTCATTTTCTCCTATTTTTTAATCAAGATTAAAATGATTAATAACGATTGATCCAAATTGGAAAAAAAAAAAATCTATTTCGAACGTGGCGCCACCTAGTGCGAACGATTATGACTACTCACAATCGATATATCGATATTCTTTGTGCATGTGTTTTTGCGTGTGTTGTGTGTGTGTGTGTTGTATAAATGAGTTGTGTGAGTGTACGAACAAAAAAAAACATTTCCTTTTTCCTTTCTGTTTGATTGGTGTGTGTGTGTGTGACTTGTTTCTTTTTTTTGGTCAATTTTTTTTTGTTTATGAATTTAATCAAACAACCAGGTATGTCAATTAAACAAAAAAAATTTTTTTTCATTATCATTTTCTTTGAACAAAGAATTTATTGATTGATTTCTATTTTGATGATTGATTTTTTTTACCTTCAGTATAATTGGTTCAATAAGACATTTTTTTCCTTTGTTTTTTAGTTTGAATAAACAACAACAAAACAAAAGAAAACAAAAATAAAAATGGTGAGCACTAAAAAAACACGTGGCGATAAAAAAAGCAAATCAGCTTTAAATGAAGTAATCACTCGTGAATATACTGTTCATCTACATAAACGATTACATGGTGTTGGTTTCAAAAAACGTGCACCACGTGCCATTAAAGAGATACGTAAATTTGCACAAAAACAAATGGCCACCGAAGATGTACGTATCGATACCCGATTGAATAAATTTATTTGGTCACAAGGCATCCGAAATGTACCGTTTCGTGTTCGTGTCCGTTTAGCACGTCGTCGTAATGAAGATGAAGATTCAGTGAATAAATTGTACACATTAGTTACATTGGTTCCCGTTCCATCATTCAAAGGATTACAAACCGATAATGTGGATGAATCGAATTAAGACGTTGGTTTTTTCAAAAATTTTCAAAAAAAATGTGACCATCTAATATAAAACATTGATATAAATAAAAATTTTTTTTCAATCCAAAAAGAAATCAATCTTCAAATTCTTTGTTCACGTTTCTTTTTGTGGATTAAAATTGTGGAATTTTTTTCTTTGTTTTCACGTTTAGTACTTTGGGCAGCTAGGTCCATATTTCGTAATCGTTTTCATAGTGAGACAATTTCTGAACAACACGCTACAATGGATGTTCATGTCGTATCGGCATTAGTGGACAATTATATGTATCTGATTGTTGATAAACAAAGTGGTGATGCTGCAGTTGTTGATCCAGTTGAACCGGAGAAAGTTATGGATTTAATACAATCAATTGATAATAGTAATCGAATTAATATTCGTACCATACTTGCTACACACCATCATTGGGATCATTCAGGTGGTAATCATAAAATGTTACAATTAATTCCTGGATCATCCGAAATATCTGTTGTTGGCGGTGATGATCGTATAGATGCTATTAATCATCGGGTAAAAAATGGTGATAAATTATCATTAGGTCGCTTGTGTATTGAATGTCTTCATACACCATGTCATACAAGTGGTCATGTTTGTTATAAAGTTTCGTGTGATAATGAAATTTCCATTTTTACTGGCGATACACTATTCGTTGGTGGTTGTGGTAAATTTTTCGAAGGAACCGCTCAACAAATGTATGATGCATTGATTAAAACGCTTGGTTCATTACCCGATCATTCGGTATGTTTGTTTGTTTTTTAATTTTTCGTTCCAAATCCGATTTGATGATTTTTTGATTTTTAATTTTCAAAGAAAATATATTGTGGCCATGAATATACACTAAGTAATCTGAAATTTGCTAAACACGTTGAACCGAACAATGGTGATATTGATGAAAAAATTCGTTTCGCTGAAGAATGTCGCCATCAAAAACGGCCAACAATACCATCGACAATTGGTGATGAACGACGATATAATCCATTTATGCGTGTTGAATCCACATCTGTGCAACAACATGTCAAAAAAGATGATCCAATCAAAGTGATGGCCGCATTACGTGAAGAAAAAAATAATTTTAAAACAAAATAAGCATAATAATAATGAAATGATGATGATGATTTGATGATTTGAAAAAAATAAAATTCATTCGAAATTTTAAAACAACAAAACAAAAAAACTCTCACTAGATGGCAACACAGTCATTTAAATGACAAAAAATATGATGTGGACAAATTGTCTTCAATTGTATATTTCATCATTGTTTTGATTGATTGAAATTTTTGAAATCTAAAACAAAACAAAAAAAAATGTTTGCCAATGAAAATTTTACCGCTGCTCATCGAATCGTTGATGAAATACAAGATTCATTGTTTCGACGATTAGAATCATGTAAGGATTCCGTACAAGCACAAGCAATTGAAGGTGCTATCGATGAACGGTTGAAATCATTGGAACAATATGTGGATAGAATTGAAATTTCCGTTAATAAAACATCAGGATCGCAAAGGAATACGATGAAATTGAAATTGGATCAATTAAAGTAAGTTTCAAAAATTTTTTTTTTTTTTTTGGTTTTCATTTTAACTTTGATTCTGTTGTTGGTACATATATAATAGATATGATCATAAACACCTGTTAAGTTCATTCCGTACATTACATCAACGAAGATTACATCGTGAACGTGAACACCGTGAACGTGAAGAATTACTTACAAGACGTTTTACAACGAATGCTGAATTACGTTCACAAAATAATGATACACAAATTGATCTTGGTGTTCAAGAATATTTTGATCAAGAACACAATAAACTTGGTGGTTTTAATCGTCATGTTGATGAAATGATCACAACCGGTTCTACTGTATTATCAACACTTCGACAACAACGATCAATGTTGAAAAATACAAGAAAAAATCTTCTCGATACATTGAACAGTATTGGTTTATCGAATTCAGTAATGCGTTTGATTGAAAAACGACATATTGGTGATAAATTCGTTCTATTTGGTGGTATGACCTTAATGACCATATTGATGTTTCTCATATGGTTCTATTTGACTTGAATTCCATGTTTTTGTTTTTAATTTTATTTTAAATTTCTTTTCAAATTGATAATTTGTATAAATGTCTCTAATAAGGATTTCAAAAAAAATTGAAGAACAAATAAATGTCATTATTTCTATGAACGTCTTCGTTGTGCTTGTCACGTGATTTGAGTGTTTCATGATTTTTGTTTTGAATCGAAAAAAAAAATTTCTGATCAAAATGGCCGATAAAACCACAATTGATTCACAACGACAACGAATCATCGATCATCATATGGTTCAGAAATTGACCGATGATGTTCGTAAACGAATACGTTTAATTGATGATAGTAATCAGACTAATAATGAACAACAGCAACCAAATCAAGGATCACCATCATCATCATCAATAGTGTCAAGCCATAATACAAGAAAAAGTTATTATCATTGTAATTCGATTATGAATCAGCCAGTCGTTCATCCACAATCAACATCTACAAATTTAGGTGTATTCAGTCATAGTAAGTAATCATTAATCATATTTTTAGTATGAAAATTTTCTTATAATCGTATGATTTGTATAGATAAAATTCGTATTGGCATCGATTATCAAGCACAAATTGATTCATCAATACTGGAACAAAAACCATTCAACAATGACCACAACAATGATGGCGTTGATCATTATTCTAAATCATTATTATTATGGAAACCACAATCCAATATTGATGATGATGAACGTAAGAATTTTTTTTTTTGTTTTTTTTTAGTCACGAATTCGAATATTTAACTCGTTCATTTGATGATTTATTCAACAACAGTTCGAGAATTCATCGATCTGGCAAAAGAAGTGGCCAACATGAATGAAGAACAAGCATTGGGTTTTTTGACGGCATTAGATTTTCAATTAAAAGAATGTACACAAATATTGAGCCAAATGTCATTTGCACCACAACCAATGGATTATGCTGAACGTGCACATATTGAACGTTTCATTTTCACTGAACATAAATTAGATATGATCAAAATTATGATCAATGATGATGATATTGTCAATAAATTATTCTATCTATATTATACTAAACAAAATCGTCCACCAAGTGTTTCCGAGGTGTTGATGATTAATCGTGAAGGTGAGTGGAATGTTTTTTTTGTTGTTGTTGTTGCTAAAGTTTAAATTGAATTTTTTTTTTAATTTTGCAGAAGATACAACTATTTTCGATCTAATTAATGATCAAATTGAATGCAATCGAAATGTGGACAATAATAATTGCTTAGATTTGGCCACAATTATTGGCGAATGTTATCAACAAAAAACGGAGAATCCAAAATTCGATATAACACGATTAGAATGTTTCCAGGAACGTCGTGAACAAATCAATGAATTACGGCGACAAACACAACAATTACAGCAACGAAATTTAATTGAAACTTGTAAATTACGAAAAAATAGTATGGATTATTTGAAATTTTTACATTTCCTCAAAAAGGTATTTCTTTTTAATCGCAATTTACAAACAACAAAGAATTTGATTTGATTTCCTCCCCCCTTAATAGTGTAAAAGTAATTCCAAATGGAACATTTATGAAGTAATCATCCTATTGGCTATTATGGATTTTATTCGTCCAAAATTTGATGCATTTATATTTTCAAAAATATTGCAAACAAAAACACCTGAACAATGTCAACGATTTTATCAAAAACATTTTGCTTTTCTAAAACAAGCATCCACAATTACCGTACCAAATGATCGTATTGAAGCCATACGAATGTATATGCAATTACCAGAATTACAGCATACAGCATTGTTGTCTAGACCAGCAGCAGCAGCACAAAATATGTCAAGAATGAAATCAAATTCATTGTTTAAAAAAATAACAGATAAATATCAAGTTTAACAAGTTGTCAATGACAAATCGACATTCCACGAAAGATAACGATGTTTTTTTGTTGTTGGAAAAAAACAACATGTGTTGACCACTTGACATCGACAACAACAACAACAACAACAGCGACAATAGAAGAAGAAATTTGTCATTTTTTTTATTGCTAATTGATTATCATCATCATCATCATTTTTTGATGATAATTACCATCGTCATAAGAAATTTTATTGATAATGTAAAATATTATATGACACAGTTAGTTAGTTAGTAGTATATGTTTCCGGAGGTGTTGCAAATACATACACACGCTAAATTTTTTGGCTCGATAAATGATTATAATCATCGCTATAAATTGTAGATGATGATCATATATTACACACACACACACACACACACACTTGTTGAATGGGGGCTTGAATAAAATTCGATCTCCATTCAATGATGATGCTGATGATGATGATGATGATGATCAATTGATTGATTTATTGATTAATTTGGACTCTAAATATATAAATTCAAAAATCTTGTTGTGCATGTGTTTTTTTTTAATATTGTGATTGTATTGATGATCTCTCTGTTTATTTGTTGTTGTTGTTGTTTTTTTTTACATTAAAAATTTCAATTTGTAAATTTCGTTTTTTTTTCACACACCCTGTTTTTCTTCAATTTTTATCTCCATTACGAATTTTCGAATTTATCATGTAAGTATGTTGTTGTTGTTGTTGTTGTTGCTGCTGCTGCTGCCATTTGTCATTATTTTTATGAATCGAATCAAATCGAATGTCACGAACTGATTTTTTCCATTGGTCATTCTTGGTGATGAATTTATCATGTGATTTCAGTTTTTTTTTTTTTGTTTTTTTTTTTTTTGTTGTTCAAAATGTGTCTGATCAACAAAAACATCATCATTATGTTATGACGAAAAAAAAAACAAAACGACGACAATAATGATGATGATGATGATAATAAAGACATTCGAATTGAATTGAATGATCATCATCATCATCATCATCATTCAATGAAACATCTGCCCAATTATTATATTATTATTATATTGTGATTATAGTGTTTCAAATTACAAATTTTTTTTCGCTTCGTCTCATCCATTAAAAATCAATCGATGATGATGATGATGATGATGATAGTGGTAAATCGATTTTCATTTCTTCTTCTTCATTTTCATTTTCATCATTCATGGTCGTGGTTCAAATAAATAAATGGCTGGAGCATGAGCATTATATAAAATGGAAAAAAATCAAATGGTAGAGAGAGAGAGAGAGAAAAAACCGAATTTTGGAGAAAAAAAAATGAGAAATCCAATCCAATCCAATATATATTATCATTCATTTATCGATCGATTCGTTAACACTGGTGGTTAGATTTGATTGATTGGTTGATTGATTTTTTTTACTCTTCAAAGTTTTGATTCATTCATTAAAATCTATTCATTATGATTCGAAAAATATGGCCCTTGAATTCGGGCCGTCAACAAGCATATATAATTAATTATTCATTTGATGAGAATGAAAATTTATTCATTACTAATGATGATGATTATAATGATTTATCCGGTGATTTTAGTTCCAGTGGTTTTATAAAAATGGCCAAAACAACAACAACAACGAATAATCCACAAATACGTGCAGCTGATAATGATCATGAACGTATGATACGAGTATCGGAAGAGGTGGCTGAACAAATAACCGGACGTTATAGGCGAATATCGGCAACACATGATGTACTTGATGAAGATATCCGTAATGCTGTTGAACAACGGCAAAGACATCGAATGTTGGGTAAGTGTTCTTTACTGTTTTGTTTTGTTTTGTTTGAATCAAAGAAAAAAAATTCGGAAATTTTTTTGGTTTCGGATAAACGAAATTGCATGCAAACCAAAAAAAAAAAAATTAAATTCCTGTAACAAAAAAAAACCAACGCATGAGCAACATAATGATTGGTGCAATCAAATGCTGCTGCTGCTGCTGTAGTATATAGCAACAAAAAATCGACGACTGCAACGGCAACCAGAATCGCGAGTTAAAATTTTTTGGCCAAAGAAAAAAAAAACCAGTTAGCCAAAACAACCGGCGGCTCACATTTTTTTACACACACACACACAGCCTGGCCCGTTTTTTTCCAGTGTACACACACACACATGTGTGCGTGTATTTTTCTTTCCTTTTTGTTGTTGTTGTTGTTGTTTTGTTTTGGTGTGACACGAATGACAACGAATGAAAGATTTTTGATTCAGTTTTTTTTAATGTATGCCAAAATAAACAAGAAAAAAAAAGAAATTTCTAAATAATGACGACATAAATGTTACCAAGTGATCATCATCCTGTTGATCATCATCATCATCATTATTATATATGTTGAGCATCGTCAAATGAACGAGAAAAACGTTTTTTTCTGCTTTTTGTTTTGTTTTTGAGGAAATTGATTCGATTTTTTTTTTGGTTGTTGTTGTTGTCGTTTCACACAATTAATTTCAAGAATTTGTAAGGTTTTTTAACAACTGTCAATTTGATTCTGTTTTTTGTAATTGAAATTAATTTTGTTTTGTTTTTTTTCTATTTTCACATGTTACGTCATCATCATTGGCATTCGAATTTTTTGGGTTGAATTTTGGATCGAATCAATCAATCATCAATACTCACACACTAATCAGGTATGTGTGTTTTTATAAAGAAAAATTCAATTGATTGCCAAACAAACAAACGAAAAATCATCATCATCATCATCATCATCATGCCAAAACATCGACAGATGGTATCTGATCATTATTTTATTTTATTTTTCATTCTTGGCTATCTTGATTCACCACTACTGTCTCCCATTCTTTTTTTTTCTCCCACAATCTAATTACCTTGTAGTTCGAGGTTGTTTATCTTTTATTTTTTCTTTTTTTTTGATTGTCATCATCATCATCATCGTTTTATTTTACCTGATTCGTTTTCGTTTGTACTTGACAATGTATTTTTTTTTCTCCCGGTGATGATGATCGTGATTCATTGATTTTTTTTTTTTGCTTCAAATCTTTGCACTCATTTTTTTCGTTTGAAAACATTTTTGTTGTTTTTTTTTTTTTTTCATTAGTCTTCAAAACGATATAAAACACACACACGCACGATTGAAATTATCGTTTTTTCTCTTTATTAATCTCAATGTTTTAATCGATCGATTTTTGTTTTTATTTTTCTTATTTTTTATGATTATCGTGGACAATAAAATAAAAAATAATAAAATCGAACAACAACAACAACAATGCCGTATGTATCAGAAAAATCTTCAAGTGCTAATGCCATTTTGAATCCATCATCTGGTAAAAGTGGTACTGGTGGTGGCGGTGGTGGTGGTGTTGTCGGTAGTAGTGATTGTCGATCATCAACATCATCATCATCATTATTGGCATCTGGATTATCTAAACCGGCCGTATTAAAAGCTGCTGCTGCATCGGTCATTCCACATTCACATTTACATCAATCATATCGTATTCGTCATTTAAAAGAAACATTAACACGTTCACCACATAATTCACGACGTAAATTATTACAAGATCTTGCAGCACAATTAGCCATGTCAAGTAGTGAACAACATTCAACAACATCGGATTCATCAACACTTTCATCCGGTATTGGAAATTGGCCAAATAATGTTGATGATTATGAAGTTGGTGAAATTATTGGTATCGGTGCTACGGCTGTAGTGCATGCAGCATATTGTAAAACAAGAAAAGAAAAATGTGCCATCAAAAAAATTAATCTAGAAAAATGGAACACATCGATGGATGAATTGTTGAAAGAAATTCAAGCAATGTCTGCATGTAATCATGATAATGTTGTTACATATTATACATCATTTGTTGTTAAAGAAGAACTTTGGTTAGTTATAAAATTATTGGGCGGTGGTTCATTATTGGATATTATTAAACATAAAATCAAACATGATGATTGTCGCCATGGTGTATTCGATGAAGCTACTATTGCAACAGTTTTACGTGAAGTGTTAAAAGGATTGGAATATTTTCATGCAAATGGACAGATTCATCGTGATATTAAAGCTGGTAATATTCTATTGGGTGATGATGGTTCCGTTCAAATTGCTGGTAATGTTTTTTTGGTTTTGGTTTTAATTCATAATTCTAAAAAATGATTTCTTTTATTTCTTACACATACACACACAAAAAATGAATAGATTTCGGTGTCAGTTCATGGCTAGCCACAGGTGGTGATTTATCCAGGCAAAAATCTCGTCACACATTTGTTGGTACACCATGTTGGATGGCACCTGAAGTAATGGAACAAGTTACTGGATATGATTTTAAAGCCGACATATGGAGTCTTGGTATTACAGCCATTGAATTAGTGACCGGCACGGCTCCATATCATAAATATCCACCAATGAAAGTTTTAATGTTAACATTACAAAATGATCCACCAACATTGGAATCAGTGTCCGAAGAAAAAGATCAATATAAAAACTTTGGCAAATCAATACGTAAATTCATACTGGAATGTTTACAAAAAGATCCAAACAAACGGCCTACAGCAACCGAATTATTGAAACATCAATTTTTTCGTAAATCAAAGGATCGAAAATATTTACAAAATACATTGTTAACAATTGCTCCAACCATTGAAGAACGTTCAAAAAAAGCTCGTACTAGTCGCCGTGCACAAGGTGCAAGTGGACGTCTTCATCGTACAGAAGCTGGTGATTGGGTTTGGTCATCATCGGATGAAGAGGATAATAATAATCAACAAGAACAAAATCAAAATAAAAAACCGAATCCAGATAATAATAATAGTAATGAATCATCACCAAATCGGCATCAACCTATATCATCATCATCATCGTCATCAGCATCTTCCCAACAACAACAGCAGCAACAACAACAACAACAATCAAATGATGTAAAACAACAACAACAACAACAACAAATACCCGTCACTAATATTTCTAATGTGAATAATAATGCAACCACAACCATCACTAATGATTCGACATTAATGCCTACAATGCCTAAAGGTATTTTTACATTTCGGAATTTTAGAATTTTGAATGGAAAAAAAGTTTTTTTTTACGCTGATGCGATATTTTTTTCTTTGGATCAATTAAGCTAATTTCTTTATTTTTCATTTTCTTTTTGTTTCTGAATCATGATTTGTGGCCGATACAACAACTAAATTTGTCCTGAAACCAACAATTTTTTTTTATTTGAAACTTTTTTTCCTGTTGTTTGCCTTTAAATTAAATTAAATGCAAAAAAAAGAAATCCCTAATGAATCATCGGTGATGGTACAAGTTCAAGGAGATTCGGTTCCAACAGCAACAACAACAACAACAGCTGCATCTGTATCGGAGCAATTAGTGAGTCAGAATCAACCGCCGTTGCCATCTACTACAACGACCGTTGAGGCAGATAATTTTCAACAACAGCAGCTGCAGCAACAGCAACCATTGAATGATGATGTTCCGATCAATCTTGTATTGCGTATCCGTAATTCTAAACGTGAATTGAATGATATCCGTTTTGATTTCACTGTTGATAAAGGTTTGTATTTGTTTTTACTATAGTAATGATGATGAATGTTTAAATTTTTTCTTTTTAATTTAAAAAAAAAACTAGATACTTCAAATGGTATTGCACAGGAACTGGTATCGGCCGGTCTTGTTGATACAAAAGATTTTGAACCAGTGGCACAGAATCTACAGAAATTAATACTGGATCGTGCAAAAATGAAGAATATTGTCTTTCCATTGGTTTGTTTTCAGAATCGATTTGTTTTGTTTTTTTTTTTTTAATTTTTTCCAATTTTGTCCCCAAAATATAGAATTCTTGTGACAAAAGTGAACCATTGGATGAAAAAACATTGACCGGTTTTGCACAGATATCGATATCATAGATCACAAGCAGTCAATCAATCAATCAATCAATTGATTGATTTTTTTTTTCGATTTAAACGTTGGAAATTTTCTTCATTTCAAAAAAATCAATTATTTATTCTACACACAGGAAAATGAGTCATGAAATAGCTTGACTCATTTTCCTGTGTAATATATATATTATTATTACATTGATTGATATTGCATGACTTTTGATTTTAATTTTTTTTCAATTTTATTCACAATAATCAATGAATTATAATTGTGCTTATAAATGATGATCGATGATGACTACTGATTGATTTTCATTTCATTTCATCGTTTTTTTTCTTTCTCTCTCCCTTTCTCACTAAATATAATTTAATTTAATAAAATAATGAAAACAAGTGTGTCTTGTTCTGGATTTTTCCATTTGTCCATTTATTTACTTTATTATCTGAGAAACGGAAAATTAATCAACCTACGCACACGTACACCGCTAATAGAAACACGAACAGAAAATTCAAATGAAAAATTTGTGAAAACCAAAAACCAAAAAAAAAAAAAAAAAATATTAATTGTGTAGCAATGAATTTTATAATTCATTTAAAAGTACACCGGAACTGGACGACATTGATAAATGATAATGAGGACAAGAATAAGCGTAGATTAGGTTTTTCAACATTGTTTCAATTTAATTTGAACAATTTTTAATTGATAGAGGCAAAAAAAATGGATATTTTTGTTCGATTCATTCACAAAAACTACATGAACATGAACATGATAATTGATTATCAAACAAAAAAAAAAACCGGATCTGTTTTTGTTCCGTTTTGTTGTCTGTTCCCGAATTTTTTTTTTTATTTATCGGATGATCATGAATTGGTGAACGATTCGTTGATTTTATTTATTTTCAAGAATTTATTTCGATATGGCCGGTTCAAGTGTATGAGTGTGTTTTGAATTTATTGATTTATGTTTTTTTTTGTTTTTTTTGTTTTTTGTTGTTTTCTCTGATCACTACACAGTTTTTTTTTTTTGGTTTTGTTGTGCAACAATCATCAAACCATTTTATTCGGTCAATGGACCCTATTGAATATTATGATGATGTTTTTTGGAATCGTAAAAACTGATCATCATCATCAAACAAACAAACAAATGGAAACGGATATTTTCAATAAAAGATCATTCCATTCTACTCCCCCATTCCCTCTACTACTACTACTGCTGCTACTACCGTGTGTGTGTGTGTGTGTGTGTGTGTGATGACAGATTTTCAAATTCGAATCTTAACGTTTTTTTTTCTGACGATCAAACAAAAAAAAAATCAAATAATTTATCAGCAATGAAAAAAAAAAAATTTTCAGATGATGATCATCGTTGATTGTTTAATCAAAAAAAAAATTTTTTCATCATTTTCAGGTCAAAATTTTTGAAAAAAAAAATTTCCTCTATTTTTGTTTTGTTTTGTTTTTCATTAATTTAATTGAATTTTATTCTCACTCACTCATTCATTCATTCACATCATGGCTATAAACATCACATCACACACCCACCCACCCAGTAACCACCACCACCACACACAATCAACCGGCATATATTCTTGGGCCTGACCAAGCATATATTTCGGCCAAAACAAAAAACAAAAAACATGCACAGCTGAATTAATTGAAAGTCACATCATAATGGAACATAAATCTTTTTGTTTTCTGTGTATATGAAACAAACAAACAAACAAACACACACACACACATATCATATATGCAATCATGCAATATATAACCGCCGAAATATTTACCGAAAATCCAAATGTGTGTGTGTGTGTGTGTGTGTGTACAAAATGTTTCATGATTACAAACTCGTGACTATTAAATTATATTATTATTATCTCTTTTTTTTTGATTTATTTTCTTTTTTTTTTATTGTTCCGTTATTTTTGTGTGTGTGTGTGTGTGAAATTCTTAAACACACACACACACACACACACACACATTTTAGGTCATTTGAATTTTTTTTTTCATCCATTGCCATTGCCATTTTTTCGTTTTTCGTTTCATTCGTTTCATTTCGTTACATTATCATTATTATTTACAACCATTTTTTTCCTGTTTTTTTTTCTCTTTTTTCAATGAAACCAAACACACACACACACACATGTCATACGTTTGTTTATGTAAATTTATTCATTTTTTACTGTTTTGTTTTTGGCTGTTTGTTTGTTTCGAAAACAAATTTGAAATGAAAATGGAATTTTTGGATTTTTCATTTATTCACCAGAAAACAAAAAATCATCATTTTTGACCCCCCCAAAAAAGGATTCAATGGTCAGTGCTCTTTTGTTGAACGAATGGTGGTGGTATTGGTGTTGGTGAGAAAAAAAAACGATACCAGAAACAAAATTTTGAATCCAGAAAATTTTGCCGGGTGAACCAAATAAAAAAATTATTGGTTGTGTGTGTTCATGGAACTTTGTCTGTAAAGTTTTTGTTTTTTTTTTTAATTTTCACACAAACAACAAACACTTAATGTGACCATGATGATATGATATGATGATGATTGAAAAAAATATTTGCTGCAATATGGATAACGGATCCTTGAATCAGAATGAAATTTTCACATTTGTTGTTTTTCGTTTGTTTTTGTTTTTTTTTACTGGCCAGATGACGATGTTTTTTTTTCTTGTATCCATCCATATCATCATTATCAGGATGATCATCACCGACGACACCATTATTACGATGATGATCATCATGATGATGATGACAAGATGGATTATATTTTGATTTCATCCATTCATCATCATCATCATCATCATTCTTTTTAAGCTTTTTTTTCATTTTTGATTTGTTTGTTTGTTTGTTTGTCTGATTTTTATATGTGCAACAATGGACGAACAACAACAACAACAACAACAACAACAAGAACGACAACAACAACAAATGAATTCTACACAACACAAATAATCATATATATAATGTGATCTTTGGAATCATCATGATGATGATGATGATGATCATTTTACACATTGAATAATAAATGAATAATGATTATTTGATTTTCAAAACAAAAACAAAAACAAAAAAACATTTTCAATCATCATCGTGATGGTTTGTTGTTTCCATGATGATGGTTTGTTTGTTTGTTTTTTAGTTTGTTTTGTCTATCCATCCATTCATACATTCATTCATATTTGACCATTATCATCATCATCATCATCATCACCTTTGGTCAATGTTCAATGTTGGATTTCGATTTTTTTTTTTTTTCTGCCTGGAAAATTTGTTTATTTTCTTTTCCATTTCATATGATGATGATGATTTGTTTTCAGTTTCAGTTTTTTTTTTTTTGTTGGTCGATGATCCAAGGTCATCATCATCATCATCATCATCACAACATCATTATCAATTTTTTTTGTGTGTATTTGAAATGAAATAAAATTATACAGACACAGACTATTTTCGATTTTATAGTGGGAGAGAGAGAGAGAGAGAAGAAAACAAAATTTTCAAAAACATTAACGTAACATGGATAGATGATCATCATAATCATCATATTTCACTTTATATATTATGATGTCTTTTGTTGTTGTTGTTGTTGTTTGTTGTTGTTGTTGTTATGTGTACGTGTTGATTATTTGTTTCTTAAATCTTTAATGTCATGTCATCATCATCATCATCATTTCTTTTTTATTATTATTACAATGTAGCACACATAAAACACACACACACACACACACACAGACAGACAGACAAATCATTTGTATCCATTTGTTGGCGTTGAATCTGTTTGTATTGGTCATAACCACGCATACCAACATATCCAATTACACATACACACACACACACACAGATAATTAATAATTTATAACAATGTCATCAAATCACCATATACATAATCATCGGAAATGAATTTTTTTTTTTTTTGATTTAATAATATTTTTATTTCAAATTCAAATTCAAGATCAAGTTTACATATATATTTTTTTTTTTGTTTTGTTTTGTTGTCATCACAAACTTTTTTTTTTTTTTTTTTTTTTTTTTTAATCAGGCTATTCTGTCAGTGGTAGTGTTTATATGTATTTTATTCTGTTTTGTTTCAATAACAATAACATCAACACATTTGTGTTGTTACTGTGGGGGTGTTGATGTTTTGAATTTTCAATGTTTTTTTTTTAAATTTCATTTGTGTCTTGTTTATTTGATATTTATGTGTCAGTATGTCATCATTCAGTATAGTAATAGTAGTAGTATGTATTGTAGGTTAATAAATCATTGGGATTGGGTAGGGAAAAAAAATCTTTTCTCATTTCATTTCAATGACAAATTCGCATTAATTTTTTTTTTTGTTTTTTGTTTATTTAAATTTAGATAATAAAATGAGAGAGAGAGAGAGAGAGACAGGGAAATGTAGAAAAAAAAATTTCTTGCTGTTATCGAAAATATACCGGTATATATATATAATATAATTACACGCATGCGCAAACATACGGACACATGTGAGGGATGTTTTTTCTCGTTTTTGTTTTATTCAATTTTTTTTTCACATCACACAATAAAACCACAATAGATGTTTGTGAAACAAAATGAAAAAAAAAATGGTAGAAAAAATTTTTTTTAAATAAATAAAAATGAAAGAAACGAAACGAAAGAAAAAAAAAAAAACGAAAAATTTGAATTACAATGAATCAGAGATGATGATGATGAAAATATCGATTGTATCGATTTGATTAAACATATATTATGTGTGATGATGATAGTAGAGATTTATTATTCCTATATTTATTTCCTATTCAATTAAGTCGCTTAGTGTATATGTGTGTGTGTGTACGGATATCCGGTTTACACTATGCAAAAGTAGTACTTGCATTGTATAAACAAATTACAACAACAATTTGGTAAGATGATTGAAAGAAGAATGTTGATGGAATGTGTGTGTGTGTGTGTGTGTAGGTGTTTTAATTATATAATGATGATGATGATGATTATATCGTGACCAGGGATGATGATGATGGTGGTGGTGGTGGTGGTGGTGGTGGGTCAATTTTGGTCAATTGTATGTATTGATTTTTGGTCCTTTGGACAATGAATTAGAATAATATATAAATTTTTTTTAAGGCTAAATTTAAAATTTTTTTTTTCATTTTTTTCAATTTTTTTTTCTTTTTGGTCGCTGTGATAAAATGTTGCTAACTTTGTAATGATAATGATGTTGGTGATGATGATTAAGAGGTGTGTGGCGTGTACACACACTTATTTTCCGGCCAAAATTTCTGTGAAAATTAAATTTAAAAAAAAACGGAAATTTGATAAATTATTCGTTTTATTCAACAGTAAATTTTTTTTTTTTGGACTTACTTTACTTGAAAATAAATTCTCATGTTCGGTTGTTTTTTTTTGTGAGTGGGAGGGGTTGTCCATTTACCTCCGGAATTGAATTTTCAATGAATAAACGAATAAACAGCGGAAACGGAAACAGTGAAGAGCAAAAAAAAAAAAAAGAATCTTTACAGTATGGGGGGAGCTAAAAGTCAATCAGTCAGCCAGTGTTATCGATTGATTATGTACAACCACATTCATTGACAACCATTTTTGGTAGATCAGCTTTAATAATATGATGATTTTGGTCAAAATATATTAATGAAATTGATGATAATTTTGTTGGTGCACAGCAAGGTGTTATTGATGCATATGGATTTTTAATACGATATTCTTCCAATACATGTGAATGAAAATATGCTAACATATCCGGTGTACGTAATTGTATACATTCACCCATACAATAATTTGCATGATAACCACGTGGATAAATAATCCAATCATTCCAGCCAAGCTCTTCAAAATTTACATATAATGATTGTTTACAACATTGTCGTATACCATCATCACAATTATATGCATGGCGACGATGACGACGTTTTGAACGAATTTTTGTTGTTAATACTAAAAATGGACGAAAATGTCTATGTTTTCGATGTTGACCTTTTCGTGATAATTTTTTTGTTGTTGTCGTTGTTTTTGATGATGAGTTTCTTAAATTATTATTATGATGATGATGATGATGGTGATAATGATTATGAAAATGATGATTAGAAAAGGTCGATATTATCGATTTTGAACTATTTCCACCATATTGTTGTTGTTGTTGTTGTTGTTGTTGTTGTTTTCGTTGTTGTTGTGATTGTCGAACCATTAAGGTTGTCATATTTCCTAAATCAATACCTAACAGATCATTACATCCGGCACAATCAATCAATAATGTTAATTTATTCAAATGATCACCGGAAATGGATGCTGATTCATTATCGCCTTGAATTTGTGGTTGCTGTTGTTGTTGTTGTTGTGCCATTTCAAACCAATCACGAATAGATTGAGTAAGATTCAATTTAATCCAACCATGACGTAATGAATTTAAACGATGTGTAGCCAATAATTGAAATGATAATCGTTTTGGTGATTTAATATGATCATTATCATCATCATCAGTGGTAGTCGTTGATGATGATGATTGATTTTGAAAAAATGGTGTTGGATAAACAGGTTGACCATAATCATCTGAATCATCATCATCATCATCATAAGATGATGTCGTAGTCGTACGTATAGTAGTTTGTGATGATGATGATGATGAACTATTCGTTACACGGAATATATAAAGTTTAACAGATTTTTTCAACACTTTCATTCGTGTTTGTTGATCCATACGATTCAATAGGCGACGATTTAATATTAAACGTAACCAAATTATTGCTTGTGATACATTTAATTTATAATAATTATCCGGTGCCATTAATGTGACAAGAATATGGCCATTTATAATGCGTTCTATATGCAAGAAAAATAACGAAAAAAAAAAAAAAAAATTCAAAATTAGAATAACCATATATATATATATATTGAACCAGAAATCATTTGTCTTTCTCTATTTCTCTTGATATATGCAATTCCGAATCATATCAGAAATTCTTGTCATTTGGATCGAACAATCATCAAAAACAAGAAATTTGCTATATATAAAAACTGATGTAATGTACCAAATACCCGGCAATGATGGTCAGAAATTTCATCAAGAAAAAAAAAGAAAGAACCAGAACCAGAACCAGAACCAGAAAAAAAAGTTTACCATCACAACAACTACTACTGTGATTTCAGTCCAACTTTTTTTTTATTGACCAGAATGGAAATGATGACAATTTTCTTCTTCCTTATTGAAGACGTCCAACAAACAACAACAACGACGACGACGACGACTCTGAATGACATTATTTTTGTGACTGGATTTTATTTATTTGTTGTTCTGATTGGTTGGTTTGAAAATTTCTGGGAATTATCGAATTCGGGTTTTTTTTTTGGACCAGTAAAGAAAAAAAAATACAAAGCAAAACCGACATCCTTCAAGTTTTGTGTATTGCGTACACACACACACACACAAAAAGTATATTTAAATTCTGACTAGTAAGTGATTGAGTGTGTGAGAGATGGGAATGCAAGAATCAAACGAACAACAACAACAACAACAACAACAACAATAGTGACTAGTAGTCATTTTTTTTTGTTTGTTTCTGGGACACAAAAAAATATTCCAAAAGGGCCTTGAGAGAACAAAACAGAACAGAACCGAACAGAATTGTCGTTGCTAATAGACAAGAATTGGAATTCAAAAGCCCTGGAACAGAATAAAATGAATATACCAAAAAAAATGGAAGAAAAGACACTTTTTTTTGTCACTACACCAAAAAAAAAAAAAAATTCTTTAATTCTGAATAGAATTGAAAAATGTTCAATCCAGTCCAATCCAATGAATGAATGAATGAATGAATGGATGGATGAAAACTATTAGAAAAGATTTGTCTGTGTGTGTATATGTGGATAGAAGTCATATCTTTTCATCCATAAGATGAAATAATGATTTATATTCTTTGCATTCTACAATTCTCTTTTTGTCCGTTTTTTTTATTATTCATTTCATTTCGGGGTTAAATCTTTCACTTGTTCGTTTTGTTCGTTGCTGTTGTTGTTTGTTGGTTGGTCATGATTTTCTTTTTCGTTCGTTCGTTTTTGTTTGTTTGTTTGTTTGTTTGTCAACAATATATATTTACACCACAATGTGAGAGATAGAAAAAAAAACTTGTAATTTTTTCCCCATTTTGGCTACTACAACATTCTTTTCATTGAATGAATGAATGAATGGTTCACTGAATTGATGTTTAGTAGTAGTAGTAGCAGCAGTAGGAATATTCTGTAGTCAGTAGTCATCAATTTGGTGTGTGTGTGTGTGTGTGGAAAACAGAAACATTTGGCATCGGTTATTATTATCATTCATCGATATTTATTATTTCAAAAATAATGATTGCAATATTTGAAGCAAATAAATAAATAAAAATCTAGATTTTTTTTTCTTAATCAATGAATTGATCAATTTATTAGACAACAACAACAACAAGTCCATTATTTTTGTTTGAAATTGATGTCATGTGATTTACAAATTCATTTCATTTCGTTTTTCGTTTTTGTTTGTTAGTAGATTCGTCTATAGTGGACGATTATTATCCATCATCAATAAACACGCAAACAGCGAAAACAGAAAATGTGTCCTTGATCTTGGACAAGCAACCACCACCACCACCACAGTACTGATATATCAACTAGGAATGGTGGAAAGAAGAAGAAAGAAAAAAGTGGTAAAATTTCTTTTCTTCTTCTACTACATTCCATCGTCATCAATGAAAATCATAATTTTTAGGCCATTAAAAAAATTTTTTTTTTGATGAGAAAAAAAAGGGTTAAATTTGTTAAAAAGGCCAAGGTTGTTGGTGTTGTTTTTTTCTGAAAAATTTTCTTTCACTTTTTTTCACACACACACACACACAAACAAAAAGTCAAGATCCATTTTTCATAAAGTTATTCTGTTGGATTCAAATAATTTTTATTCAAAACTTTCCATTCAATTTGATTATCGATATCAATTTTTTCTGTGTGTGTAATCTGATCGATTTGATTGGATTCCAAAACGATTTGTAAAATGTGAATCGTCAATGATGATGATGATGATGATGATATCGAAAAAAAACAGAATCAAATGAAACAAAGCCATTTTCATTTTCAATTTCATTTTAAATTTCAGAAATTTCGTGACTTTTTTTTTTTGTTTTGACAAAACAAAATAAAATTTATTTGGCCATTGAACTTTGACGAAGAATATAAATGTGTGTGTGTTTTTTTTTTTACTGGTTTCAATTATCAAAATGAAAACAAACAAACAAACAGAAAATTTGAAAAATAATTTTCAACGACAACCAACCAACCAACCAACGCCGATGATGATGATGATAATAATAATTTCAAGGATGATGAACAAAAAAAAAACATTTCAAACTTGTCAACAACAACAACAACCAACAACCAACGACAACAACAACAACCAACAACAACAACAACAACCAACGACAAATAAAACATTTCCGTCACATATAATTTTGTGTGTCGTGGTGGGGTGGGGGAGTGAATTCGGGATTAACACTTTTTTTGTTGTTGTTGTTGTTGTTAGGTCGGAAAAAAAAATTCATGGAAAAATCACATGTTCAACCAATAGAAACAAAAAGCGAAACGAAACCAGAAAAAAAACACATCCAACGTCATTATGGGGGCAAGGGAGAGATAAGAAAAGAAAAAAACTAATGATAAACACGAATGAATGAAGTAAATATCAAATTAAATGAATGAAAATGGAAATGGAAATGAAAATATTACCGTAATGACACTATTATTAGCTTTGAAATTAAACAAACAAAACAAAACAAAAAAAGAGAATAACATGTGTGTATGGGTGTCGCCTACACGCATACCACGTGAGTTTTTTGTTTTTTTTTTATAGAAAACAAAATGATGATTATGATGATGATAATGATAATGAATAAATAGAAAAGTTTCATTCGTTTTTTTCGATATATAATTTTATAAAGTAGGTAGAAAATAACCGTATAAATAGCATGATGATTTATCCGGTTATATATGATACGATATATATATATAATTTTTATTTTTATTATTATTTCAATCGATCAATCGATCAATCGATTCGATTGATTTGTTTGTTTGTAGTTGTTTGTTTGTTGTTGTTGTTTGACATCATCATCATGAATGTCACATGATGATGATAATGATATTGAATCGATTTCAATATATCGATTTTTTTTCTGTTTCTCTATCGTCATCGAATGATGTTGTCGGGTTAAGAGGAATAAATCATGATGATGAAAATTAATTAATTTGACAGCTGAAAAACAAAAATTTTTTTTTTGCCCCAATTTTTCCAATAAGAAATTCAAAGATCATATGCTACCGAAAACAAAAAAAAAAAAAAAAGGTAATGCTAGGTAATGTTATAACAGCAACAAAATCAATCGAAGTTCATCTTTGCATAATTTATGACAATGAAAATAAAAGTTTCAAAAACCCGAGAAAATGATCCAGATGAAGAATAAAAATTATGATGAATGTATGGAAAACAATTAAACAAAAATTTTTTTGTTTTACATACATTCTAGATTCTTATTCTTAATTCAATTCAATTGTACAATTTGACGTGGCTAGACAAAATTCATTTGATAAAAAAAAAAAAAAATTTCTGTGCGGGGCCGAGAGGGACAGGGAAAAGAACATCATGAAAAATTAATTAAGCCACACACACACACACATGGAGATTGAGTGGGTGAAAAGAACCAAAAAAAAAAAAAAAATTGTCCACAACGATCGATATCATTCATTACAATGTTTGTTTGTTCCGTTATTTCATATCAAGGTTTTTGCCACCGACCGACCAACCAACCAACCAACCAATCAACCATGCAGGCAGGCAGGCCTTGTTATTCAAAAAAAATTGATTGAATACCGGAATGTTCCATTTGATAATGATAGTGGGTGGTGGTGATGAGGGTGGGTGGTGGTAGTGGTAAAAAAAAAATTTGAAATGACCGCAAAAAAAAGTGTCAATTTCCTAAAAACTTTTTTTTTTCCACACGAAAGGATCACAACAACAACAACAACAACGACAAAAAAAAAATTCTGGATTGTTTTTTTCCGGAAAACAAAAAAAAAGCTTAAAAATTCCATTCAAATCGAACAAATCGGTCAGTCAATCACACTATTTTTTTTGGAAAATGGAGAAAACAAAGAAAATCAGACAAAACAGCAAAAAAAAATCAGTCTGATTTTTTTTTTTGTTTGATCGACAGAATTTGTCTGGCTAGCTGGCTGGCTGGCTGACATTACAATAAAATAGAAACAATGTAACAATCGCCAATCGCCAATCGCCAATCGTCAATCGAATTCGATTCGATTGTCATTCTGTACACACACACACACGCAAACACAGAATATAATTACAAATGACAAAAAAAAAGAAAAACTAGACAACAATCACAAGAAACAATATAAAAATGAAAATTGTCTGTGTGTGTGTGTGTGATTGATTCAAAATTGAGGAAATCGATACTACAATCGATACACATACATGAACAAACAAAAAACAATGAATCTAAAATTCTTATTGATCCTGATCCACAAAAAAAAATGAAAATTAAATTCCACACTAGACATGACAGAATTTTTTTTTTATTATTCTTCGATGATGATGAGTCATTGATTGTCAAAATTGATTTATTTGAAAATGAAATCATTTTATTGGTGGTAGTGGCGGTGGTGGCGGTGGTGATTGTGGCTAGCGATATTAATCAATAGACGAAAAAAAAAAAAATTTTTTTGCTTCTCATCATCATCATCATCATCATTTTATCATTTTCAACAGTTATTTTTTTTTCACCAGT